TTTACTCTTATTTGGACAATTCTTTAACCATCGTTTTTTTTCACCTATCAAAATCTTGTATTGCCCCCTTTCGCCCTTATGACTGCTTACATCCGCTCAGGCATACTTCTTATCAGATTGTGGCAGACCTCCTTCGGTGTCTCCTCCTCCCATATCTGGCTCACTCTTTCCCAGAGTTCCAGCATGCCTTCTGGAATGGTCCCATGTTCGCGAATTTTTTTTTTAAGTGATCCCACAAATGCTCTATAGGGTTCAGGTCTGGTGAATTGGCAGGCCATGTCAGTATTCTACCTGACGCTCTTGTCAATCCAATAGAGGCAAGGTAGGTTGTGACTCTCTTAGCCGTATGCTTAGAATCGTTGTCTTGTTGGAAGATAAATTGCTCTGGATCAATGTTGTACCAATCCACAGTATTCAATAGCTCGTCCTGGAGGATACGAATATACAGCTCGAAGTCCAGCGTGGAGTCGTTCTTGGCCAAGTAGCCTACAGTGGTCATGTCACGAACAGCAAGCAATGTCTAGCTCATGAATTGATGAATGACTTTTGTCTGATTCGAATCTGAAAAAGATCACGTGTGCTTGATTAATTTGTTCCGCTCATTTCCTTCACTCATTCCTCCATGCATAGTTTGCCTGTCAAGCCAAGTCGCGTCTCCTAGTTTTCTAGCTCCGTGAATAGCTCCAAGGATTCTAGAAGAGCTATAAACCAATAACCAAGACTTATAGTGCCAAGGAACCTTGAAATAAGATTGCACCAGATATCTTCCTCGGATCCTGTGTATTAAGTTAACTCAACACTTGGAGTTCCGCATATGGTAAAAGTCCTTAGGAAATATTTGAGTAAGCTTTATTTAGAGTTCTTGAAGCGCGTCTCCGCTTCAGTCAAACAAGTATAAACATGATAGATCTGTAACATAGTAAACCTCAGTCTGCAATAAAACTATTCTTGAATCTCCTAAGTTCATTCTTGTTCCTAAATCACTTACCTTCTCTTGCAATCGTCCTGTCAGTCCTTGACAGGTCATCAAAAGTCATTCAATGATTTTGAATTTTTAACATTCTCATTCCTTTTCTTCATTCTCATCTAGCATGTGGCTAGTATATTTGGGATAGTGCATTTGTTCCCCACACCTCATGATTACTTTCATGTCTCATTCCTAATTATGACTTCATTGTGAAATAAAACCAATTTCAATTTGACCTGCCTATTGAATGACCTCTGCTGAATTTCAATGTTGATTGCAAAAAAAACTTTTTCACTTCTCTTTTTTCTACCAAGATTACCTTCAGCTATATCTTCATACACCTCTACTTACAATTAACATTCCACATCGTTTAGTATTTATTATGAGGACGCTTTCTATGGAAAAGGTACAAAATGCTCAGGCCTTACTTCGACAAGGGAAGTCTACAAGCGAAGTGGCAAGGCAACTTGGTATCTCTATTTCATCGGCAATAAGGATCAGGAGGGACGTCAAGGACAATATTCCTAAACCCAGAATGGGCAGACCCTCATTGGTTTCCCCTGCTACCAAGAGGGCTATTGCACGCGAGGTTGATACGGGGAAACTTAGATCCATTCTGGCAGTTCAAGAATACATCAGATCGAGCCATGGAGTGCATGTCAGTGTAGAGACTGCCCGACGCTATGTAAAATCAGAGGGTTTGAAAAACTATGGCCGCCCATTCAAGCCTAGGCTGACAAAAATGCAGATTGCGAAAAGGAAGAATTTTGCCCTCAACCACCTTGACTGGACTGTTGATGACTGGAAGCGAGTGATGTTCTCGGACGAAAAGCTTTTTGAAAGGCTAGGGTCCTTAGGAGGAAGAACACAATATAGGCGACCCGGCCACAGGACTTTAGAAGATCGAGATGTTAGAGAGAGATCAAGGGGAGCACATAACAAACTTATGTGGTGGGGCTGTATCACTTATCATGGTGTAGGCGATGGTTGCAGGATCCCTGTCACAGTTGATTCCTCTTTATATGTTGATGTTCTACAAGATTATGTCCTCGGCTCATGAAGTGGTATGGCCAGGACCCTGAAAAGTTAATTTTTCAGCAGGACAATGCAAGTGTTCATACGTGTAGGATGGTTAAAGAGTTCTTAATTAAGTCACACATTACCACTTTGGAGTGGCCTCCAAATTCTCCTGACCTCAACCCTATCGAGAATGTATGGGCCTACATGGATCATCGGCTCAAGGGATATGAGAAGGTACCAAAGGATCCGGATGAACTATGGGAAAGACTACAGGATATCTGGACATCTATTCCACCTGACTTCCTTGATGAGCTATATGAAAGTATGCCACGAAGGGTAGAGGAGCTACATCGCATGAAAGGATCTCGTATACATTGCTGAAGAACAGAAAAAAAAACAAATAAAGCAAAGCTGCTGATTTTCTTCAAATGTCATTCAATGAGATGCCAATAATTGGCATTCATCTAAATTTTCAATTAGCAACAGGAGCTCATTGACATTGTAGTAGGAGTGACGTTGTCGATGGTCAAACTCGCTACGTAAGTTTCATTAGCGACAAGCAAGATCAAATTGGAGAAAGGAATGAGAATGTCGAAATTCCTAATTCATTGAATGACTTTTGATGACCACTGTAACAGTTAAAAAAAAAAAGTCAGACTGGAGGATGGTAATATGGTGGCAGATGGAGGATGCAAGGGAGAGCGCAGCGTAGGTAATTTGGTTTATCAGAGCTGTGCTTTATAGATGAGGAGCTTATTGACAGTATTTTCCAAGTGTAGAACTAGAGTATATCCCATGAGTATCATACGCCTAGTGATCGAGGGGACGCAAAAAGAGTTTACCTCATGTCTTTAATGGCGTGGAAGAAGTGGATGGGGTTATTACATTCATCTCTGAGATAACAGCAGCGAGGCTCATAAACTATGAGCCGAAGCCTAATTGCTGTAAGCGCTGTGGGCTCAGATGGCTAACGCCATATGAAACATGGATGTTGTACACAATGAAATATGCTGTAAAGGGATGTAAGGGATGTAAGAGAGGATGGAGCGATGTTGAATATGCTTTAGGGCCACGTCCTTTGCCAAGGGCTACCAATAGCACGGGGAAAGACCATGAAAGCTACACCGGTACGAGACAGCTTACGCACTTTAAAATAGAGCTCACACTTAATAAAAGATCGTCTTTTATCGCAGCCCCTGTGGCAGAAAGCCAAGCAGTTAAGCAGTTATCAAGCTCATTTTTGATAGTGATGGAAACAAAGGAATGACAGCGAAGGTGGCTAGGGCAAGAGCTAAAGTATTAAGAAGAGAAAGAAGCGCTGGGGCAGGATGGTATGATCAGTAGGAAGATGCATTGAGACAGGACGATGTAATCAAAAAGAAAGAAGAGCTTGGGCAAGGGGATGCGGATATATGAAATAGACTTTCTTTAGAGATTGATCAGGACAAAGGAATGATGATTGGATCAGGAGAAGCTGGAAGGTCCGGTGGTGGACGGAGCACAGTTCACTTCTGGGTATGTTATAGAATGAGGCTAAATCTGCTCCGCAAAATGAGTGAAGCAAAGGTTACCTTTGTTAGAGCTTTGCTTAAGCTTCTTTTAGATGTCTATTGCTGTACCATGAATGATAAGCTTGTTCCCTCCCTGCATTCATGTCCACAGTCTTCAGTGCCTGCCAGCGCAGGACCAGGATCAGTATTGGGACTATAAGCTTAGCTCGAGTCTTCTCATCCTACCATTCCAATCAAGTGGTAAGACTGAAGGTCATACTTTACTGCCCATTAGGGCCAAGGCAAAGAGCATAGAGGGAACCTTAGATCGCCTGTTTACTTGTTTTGATTGATCAGTCGAACAGGGATACTGCAAGCTGGTGCTATCAAGGACTTTGGCTTTGAGCAAGATAAAGTATAGGAAAGTCAGAGCAGAGAAAACTGTTTTTATTCATTATATCTGGATCCGTCTTAATCTATCAAGGTGATGCAGACGCTTCGAGACCAAATTCGAAGAGGTCTGTTGTAATAGGTTGGTACAAAGGACAAAGGGGCTCGCTCGCAGGAGTCAATGTTTGGAGAGGAACCCTGTCTAAGGAGATTCATCCATGCTCTATTTGGAGTGAGACTTCAGGATGGCAGCAGCCTTTGTTCTGGATGAGCTTGTTTTGAGTTGAGTTGGGCCTAGGAAGCCTTGAGGTAGGTCACATTAGGCTGCAGGAAGACAGGGTTGTCTGTCGAAAGTACAGCAAGGCAAACAGGGAAATGAGTCCTGTGTGGTTTGCAACAGGAGTTTAACTTGTTGTAAAAGTCTGGGCCAGCGAAGAGACGGACGAGCTGTCAGAGTTGATTAGAAGTGTTGACAATGGGAGGATGGGATAATAGGATAGGATAATGGGCTAATGAAGATTGTTGGTTCATCGTGGACAATGACGACTGTATGCTTCTAGCGACAGACGATGCGCGCCGCTAGATGAAGAAGCAAGGGTCTCGTGATAAGGGAAAGACTGAACTAAGGAACGAAGCACTCTCTTCTTTTTATCGCTGTCTAGCAGTGCTCAGCGAGTTTATTCCATTCAGCTCCAGAAATTGTTTTAAATTGTTTGTCATTACAATGTTTGTGAAGTCAGATGATAAAGCAGGGATCAATCACCTAGAATATCACTTTTGTTTTTTTCTTCTGTATATATCACACACGTCGCTCAAGTTCCTCAGTTCCTCAGTTCCTCAGTCCTCAATCCTTCGGTACAGCAGCATGCCACACAAAGCCAGCACTATCCAGGCAGGACAATGTGGCAGCCTCATGAACCAATGCATGCTCTTGGCAAGAGAGAGAAATGGATCCTCAGAAGAATCTGAAAAGCTAGTAGTTGTAAAGGTTTTTTTTTTTTTTTTTTTTTTTTGGCTCCATCTGTTCGGGCTTGTGGAAGTTAATATGGGAAACACTGCTTTCTCTTTTCATTTCTCAAGTGAATGCATGCCGTGCTGGTGAATTTCCACAGGGTAACGCTGCCTGCAATGCTGTGGCAAAATGCAAAATTGTTTTTTATTGTTTTTTGTTGCTTTTGAATTAAAACTATTAAACAATGTCTAGCCTAAATAAACGATACAGGAAAGAAAAATGAAATAATAAAAAGGTTAGTAAATCATTCGAATCAACGTTTGTTTGTATGCTTGTAATGAACTCCAGGACAACAGCAGCACAAAATGATACATACTTTGCCTTGAGCTTGACAACCAAGGCCCATTCCTCCTTGCTCAGATCATTACGGAAGGACTCCTTCAAGATATTGATGGATTCACGTGAGATCATCGAGTAGAACTCGGATTGTTCGTTGAAATGTCGCCCGAATGTCTTTGCGTTTTCGTAGACAGCACACTCGATCTTGATAGCCACTCCTCCTCCCGAACCTCCCTTCTTGACTACTTCGACTTGCTTGTGATTCTGCTCCATCGATGTAATCTTGCCCAGATACACAATCTCCTTTGCCTTTGTCTCTGGATCCACGTTAATAACACAAAGAGGGGTACCTTGTTTCATCACACCTTCTACAACATCTACACCAATAATGATAGGATCCTTCTTATTGAAGATAGCACCCGGTACCATCTTGAGAATACAGGGGAAGACTGCGGAAGGGGCCTGGTCCTTACGGCGTTCCTCTGTTAGTTGCTTATGATAAGCTGTGAATTGGTCAAACAAATGATAAATAATATCAGCCTTGAAAATCTTGATGCCCATCTCTTCCGCCATCTGTTCTGCTTCCTTATCGACCTTGACGTCGAAACACAGCAGGCAAGCTAATTCTTTGGACTTTTCCAACATGGTACTGGCACGCATGATATCTTTCTTATGAACCGGTCCAATATTGATGCCCGAGACTGGAATCTTGGAAACACGCAAGAACTCGAGCAAGGCTTCTAGTGATCCCAGAGTGGATGCTTGTACACAGACTCCTTGGCCCGATTTATCAATAGATGTCAACAGCGTCTTGAGGTCACTCATAACCTCGTCCTTCAATTGATCCTCATCATCATCAGGGCCTACAACTAGCAAACGAGAACCTGCAATGGCCTTTTCGAGATCAGGTGCGGCAATCTTAATACCCATTGCAGCCTTGATCTCTTTATGATGGACATATGCAGACTTTACACGTAATTCTTTGAGGGGTTGTGGTGTCAATAGTGCACGAACGGTTGTGGCGATTGCCCCATTGAGACCACAGACAACAATACGATCACCTTCCCTGAGGACACCGTTTGATAAGACAACGTCAATCGTGGTTCCAAGACCCTCAATAACCTTGACTTCCAGAACCGTACATTCCAGTTCCGAGATATACATGAGACTTTCACTCATACGGTTCTGTGTCAATTCTACCAACAACATGATCATGTCGGGGATACCCTCCCCTGTGTGAGCTGAGGTGGGGACCAACGAGACATATTTGCCCATGTTCTTGTTATCATAATAAAGTGTGGCGTTTAATCCGTTCTCCTGGAAGGCAGTGATGACGGCGTCTTTACGAGTCTCAAACTCACGCTGGACAGAGACTGACTGCTGTGAGAGCGAATCCACAAAGGAGTTGTCGGGGATGGCTTTCCAGCCGAAGAGACGATCGACTTTGTTCAAGGCGACAATGAAGGGTGTCTTTCTGTCACGGAGTAATTTCAGGGATTCAAGTGTCTGAGGCTCAAGACCGTGCATGATATCAACGACTAAAATGGCGATGTTGCAGAGTGAGGAACCACGCGAACGCAAGTTCGTGAAGGACTCGTGTCCAGGTGTATCAATGATCAAGAGACCGGGAAGCTTGTAGACCTTGGAACCATCCTTGTTCAAAACCGCAGTCTTGGCCTTGATGGTTTCCAGAGGGAAATAAGTAGCACCAATCTGCTGGGTAATTCCTCCAGCTTCACCTTCCTGAACGTTAGTTTGACGAATCTTGTCCAGTAACTTTGTCTTTCCAGTATCGACATGTCCCAAAATACAGCAAATAGGTGAGCGCAAATCATCCTTTGAACGAGCGGCCATGGCAGCAGCAATACGAGCCTTTCTACGCTCTGCAGCTTGTTCCTTACGAATACGCTCTGCCTTTGCGGTCGAAGTCTCCTGCTCTGAATCCGAGTCTTCATCCGAGTCCGAGTAATCTGAAGAGTCATCCGAGCCCCCTTCCGATTCATCATCCTCAGAGTCTTCTGAAGATTCTGATTCGACCTGCTTGTTGGCAGGTGCACCCTTCTTGTTGGTAGGAGCGCCCTTTGCGGGTGTAATTTTTGTAGAGGCGGCCTTTGCAGGAGCACCCTTGGTAGGGGTAGCTTTGGCGGGGGCAGCCTTTATTGAAGTAGCCTTTGATGGAGTGGCCTTTGCCGCAGGGGGGGTAACAGTTTTTGCCTTCTTCTCTTCCTTCTTTTTTTCCTCATCACTACTTTGGTCCCAGCTTTCCTTGACGTCATCTTCCTCTTCACTAGGCTGGCTCCAGCTCTCCTTGACACCTTCGTCCTTATCCTCAAGACTAGGTGCCTTAACCTTCTCTGCTGCGGCTTCCCAGCTGTCTGCTTCCTCATCCTCGTCCTTGTCCGAGGCTGCGGCCGAGACGGGTGCAACGTCTTTGACAGGAGCAGTGGTCTTTGGTGATGAGGGTGGTGATGTCTGAGACTGCTGCTGCTGCTGCTGCTGCTGTTGTTGTTGTTGATTATTGTTCTTCTTCTTCTTACCATAGACAACCTTTTTGGGCTTTTCAGTGGTATCCTTCTCCAGACCCTCAACGATGACTCCAGATTCTAGGAGCTGCTGCTTACGCAATGCAGCTTTAGCCTGGGCTTCCTTTTGCGCCTTTGTTAAGAGTGTTCCTTCCTTTCGCTTCTGTTCGAGTTTAGCCTTCTCCTTTTCCTTTTTCCTGGCCTTTGCTGCAGCTTTGGCAGCTTCCTCTTCTTCGATCTTGCGCAATCTCTCTTCTTCCTTAAGTCGCTCTTCCTCCTCTTTGCGACGCAATTCCTCTTCCTCGGCGCGCTGCTTCTCAAGCATTGCCTATAGAAGAAAGAAGAAGGAGAAAAAAAAAAAGTGTGTAAATTGTTAATGATGAAACAAATGGTGAAGCTCAAGATCATAATAATGAGGGGCAGTAGCATCAAGAGGAGACAAGAATGGCTGACAAACCTTGAGAGCATTCAATCCTGCAGGTCCCTTCTTCTTGGGCTTGACCTCTTCCTTGGGAGCAGCAGCTTTTTTCTTTTTCTTTTTATTTTTAGATTTTGATCCACCGGCGGCGTCATCTTCATCTTCATCATCCTCGTCATCTTGGGCAGGGGTTGGAGCAGAGGCAGAGGCAGGAGCAGGAGCAGGAGCAGGAGTAGGCTTGGAAGCAGGAGCGGCTTCTGTAGATGTTGTCTCCTCATCCTGTTTCTTGGTGGAAGCTTCTTTCTTTGCCTTTTCAGCCGCAAGACGCTTCTTTTCTTTTTCCTTCTCCTTCTTCTCACGCTCCTTCTCCTTCTTGGTCTTTAACTTGACTACGGGCTCGCCAAAGTCATCAAGGTTATCGTCAGCAGGGATTACTGGTTCCTGTTTCTTGGGCTGTTGCTTCTTGGAGGCCTTTGCAACCATGCTCATCAAACCGCCATCCTCATCGTCATCCTCATTAAGGACATGTTGAGGAATATCGACCTCGGGAGCGGGTTCTGCACTGGTGACACCAAGAGCTTCCTGGTCCTGTTCAAACTCATTCTCCCTGTTTGGTCGATGTGATAAAAAAAGATAGGACGTCAGTGGATGTACTTTTTTTTTTCTTTTTTTAATATTGAGTGGAGAAGAGATTTTTTTTTTTTTTCCTTTGTCCCATGAAGAATCCCGTTAATATATTGTTTCAGATCAAGACAGCGTGATGTGAATCAAAGAATGAGTGTGAAGAGAGAGAATGGAGTGAAGTATTTACCAGTAGTCGTCCTGTTTTTTTTTCTTGTTTCCTTTCTTTGGCGGCATTGTGAATGTTGGTGAAAGTGAAAGAAAAGCGATTCAACTGGAGAAAATAAAAAAAAAAATAAAAAAAGGGACCGATCGTTTAAAAAGAGAGGGAAAAAAATAAAAATATGGAGGGCATCGAAGTCACCGAAGAGTTGATTCGCTGTAATTTTTACGTGCCGCAGCGCAGAACAGGACGAATAAGGCAGAAATAGACATTGCCATACCAGATCATAATCTGTAAAACATGGTGTATCGTCGTACTTCCTTCCCTCTTCCTCCTCTTATTATCAGGAATATAGGAATATACTAAAAAGTAAGAATGGTTGTTCCTGATCCATGTTTGGCCCTTCCTTCCGCAGTAGCAGTTCAGTCTATGCAAGTCACTAAAAAAAAAAAAGCTATTCAGCAAGTGACTGCTCTCCTTTTGATATTTACGTATTTACGATATTGACTCTTGATCGCGTCCAAAGGACTCAAAGTTATTTAACAAATGACGCGACTACATGGTTCTTTATTTTTTTTTAATTCAACATTCATTCTCGCCCAGACTCACACAGGAAAGTAGACATTCCCAGCAAACATCATGGCACTTTGGGTAGATAAACATAGGCCCAGCAACCTTGATAAACTAGATTTCCATGCTGATCTCTCCGTACATCTCAAAAAACTGGTAAAACAAATCTAACAGTAATAACAATAAAAGAACCATTGGAAACTAGGCAACGCCACCAAAACTAGTCCTTCACTTTTCACTTTTACATATTTCAGAGTAATATTCCTTAATAAGGGGGTCAATTCACCTGATATTAAACTTGCATTAGTGCTCATCTGGAGACTTCCCTCACATGCTTGTCTTTGGGCCCCCTGGAGCTGGCAAAAAGACTCGTATCGTCGCTATTCTACGTGAATTGTTTGGTCCAGGTTCAGAAAAGGTATTTTATTTATCCCTTTGATTTTTTTTTTTTTTTTTTTTTTTTGTTTCTGCTTTTGCTCTTTGCTTTTGCTTCATATTAACCTTTTCCTATAACCATAATTACCATAATGTGAAAAAATACCATAAAAATAGATCAAGATTGATCAACGTATCTTTGAAACGCCCTCCAAAAGAAAAATGGAATTAAACATTGTCTCCAGTAATTATCACTTGGAAGTCAACCCAAGGTACACTACGGTTGCTTAACTAGAAAAAGAAAAGGAAAAGGAAAAGGAAAAGGAGCTCAATCAATTTCTTAACCTCTTTTATTCATATTTCAAACTAACTTAGCGATGTTGGGAATTATGACAGAGTCGTCATCCAGGAGTTACTCAAAGAAGTCGCTCAAACACAACAGGTCGATGCTGCTGCTCAGAAGCGTTTCAAAGTCGTCGTCATCCATGAGGCAGACCTCTTGTCAAGAGATGCTCAAGCTGGTTTACGTCGAACCATGGAAAAATACATGGGCAACCTTCGAATCATCATGTGCTGTAACACAACCTCTAAAATCATTGCTCCTATCCAATCTCGTTGTCTCTTGGTCCGTGTGGGCGCTCCTACGACACAGGAGATCTGTAAAGTATTACATAAAGTCGTCAAGAAGGAGCATTGTGGACCCTTGCCTGAATCATTCGCCCTTCGCTTAGCTGAAGACTCGGGACGGAATCTGAGGAGAGCCATTTTAATGTTGGAAACAGCCAAAGTACAATGGTGAGGATCACTATGTTATGAAAACTCTACTGGTCAATCTCTATCAATCTCTATAAGGTTTGTGTTTTATTGGAAAGCAAGAAAAAAAAAAGAAAACTTAACCGGGGAGCAACTGTATTTTTTTTTTTTTTTTCCTCTTGTTTTACCATCTTTATTGTTATCAAGCCATCCGTTCAAAGATAATCAGGAGGTTCCACGCATGGATTGGGAGGATTTTGTCCGCGGTATCATGATAGATATTATGAGGACGCAGAGCCCTGAACAGTATGCTCCACATTTCCTTTTATGCATATAATTGTATATCGTTTCTCCATGAAACTCTGCGCTCTTGTAATATTAATTTTAACGCTTATAAAAAAAAAAAAAAAAAAAAAAAAACCCCTCCCATAGGTTGCAAAATGTTCGTGGCAAACTATATGAACTTATTAATCACTGTATCGACCCTACCACCATCTTGAAGGTAAGCAAAGGCAAAGTAAACAAACCAGTGCTTTTGAATGCTCTCTTTTTGCCACAGTATCTTAACTGTTTGTTTGTTTGTTTGTTTGTTTGTTTGTTTTTTTTTTTTTTTTTTCTAATACAATAAATAGACACTTGCTAAAGAGCTGATTCATAAAGTAGATGGCGATGAAATGAAGTTCAGATTTGCACAGGAGGCAGCATTCTACGAACATAGACTACGCTCCGGTCAAAAGGCTATCTTCCATCTCGAAGCATTTGTTGCAAAAATCATGAGCGTTTATAAGAGGTAAGTCTGAGAAAGAAGAAAGAAAGAAAGAAAGCAATAATAGTAAGAATAATTCATCATTGTTACTCTACGGAATAGTTGACATGATCATTCTTACTAATACATGACATTTATTTTATTGTATTTTTTTTTTTTTTTTTTGTTATTATTATTATTTTTCTTTAACTACTGCACATTTCTCACTTTTTATACTCTCTTTATCAGGCATTTGATATCGATGGACCTTTAAAATTAGCTAGTTTTTGTAATGTTCCGTTTCGATTAGCAACTTTTTGTACAATTATACACATTATAATAGCAAGCATTCACTTGAATTACAAGACATACGACTAGACGATTTTTTTTAAAAAAAAAAAAAAAAAAAAAAAAGTTTCAATCCATCATCACCCCATGTTACAAATTCTTCACAGCCTGCTTGAACTTTGCAAAAACACCTTGGTTACGGCTACGGGGGCTGTGGTGGGCAGAGGACGTGGTTTCAGTAGTGAAGAGCGACTGATCGACATTCGCTTTCGCTTGTTGGTTCGTTGTATCAATTTTATGTTCCATAATTGGGTTGCTGTTGTTGTCCTTCTTATCGTTGCCAATGTCTACTGGCAATGGGACTTCATCCTCATCCTCTGTCTCATCCTCTGTATCTAGCCCCAATTGCCATTTCTTGAGCCATGATTTGTTGTTGCTTGGGGAAGTCGCAGGAACAGCAGAGGCTATAGGCTGTAGGGCCGTCGTCGTTTCTCTGGAAACTTTAGAGGAAGGAGAGGGAGAAGAGGAGGATGGTGATGAAAAGAGTCCTGAGAATGGCTTTTTGGACCTCTTGTTCTTCTTTTGTTTACCCTTTAGAGAATGTTTTTCCAATTGACCCGCCACTTCCAGACTCTGAAGCACCCTGTCCCGTACTACCAAGTCAACTTGTACAGAGGACCATTGCGTTGCCGGTAGCGGTTGATAATTATATTCTTCGCTAGGCGATCGATCATGGCGTCCAAATTGACGATTTTGTTGTTGCTGCTGTCCAGATAGACTTTCAAGGCTGCTGTTGTTACCCTTCGTTGTCGAGTCATTCTCAGAGCTCAATCCTTTGTTTCTAGTGTTCCTCTCAGCATCAGAAATAAGCTCACATCTTGCCTGAATAATCTCTGTAACCACCCATTCGACACAGTCCTGCGCTGTTTGTTTATATCCGGATGGATTGGCCTTGCCCTTGTTTTGCTCAAAGTCCTTGACTGATGAGGACGTAACAAAAGGCATAATAGATGTCTCTGGATGCTTCACAATCTTAAACTTCACAGATCGAATGTCCTTCAGCTCTTCTTTGGGTGAGCTGTTGGTTGCCTGATCATCATCAAGGACACTATCCTCTCCATTTGCGCCTTCTTCCTTGCTGGGACTGTTACTACGTAAAGTTGCGCTGCTGGCTTCTGAGGCGTCCTCGTTCAACTCAAGCACACTCTCTAGATTCGGGTGAGAAGTAGGGGACATCCGATCAATATCCATCTTCATACGGTTCCGAACACTACCGCTGTTCACTCTCAGCGTCTCGCCTCCTACGTTGGCCCGGTACACAACTGCAAACCCATAGTTCTCAAGTGGATCCCTTTCACTTGCTGACAAGAAGAATGCGCCTTTATCGATCCCAACCATCTTTTCCAAAGCCAGCCTCCAGAACTCGAGCACTTTCTCCATCTCATAGTCATAGGTGCAAATATACAGAGCCTTTTCTGTTAACAACACAACCTTTTCTTCGTAGAAGACGCCTCGAGGATCATCCAAAAAAGGAACAGATACATTTCTGCCGGTTTTGCCATTAAAAACAAAAGTGCTCTTCTTGGGAGACTTTAACGGTTTCTGTGATGGCGGTGAGTATGGAGAAGAGGAAGATAAAAGGGCACTAGTGATCTCATTCGAACAGCAAATAAATGTCCAGCCTTTCCAGTGCTCTTCTCCAGGCGAGATGACAATTTCAGCAGATGTTTCAATCGCTGCTTCACGGACCTTGACCCACGCCTCCTGCTGCAGTTTCTTTTCGTCAGATGGAAGACCCACATCTATGCCATTAGTTGCAACCAAGGTTTCTGAAGGATAGGGGATTAGGGAAGGAAGTAATACTTCAGAATCTATAGACTTGGCTGATGTTCCATCGGTATTAGTTGCTTGGATTGCAATGACTGGCAGATCTGATTCGGAAGCCGCAATCAATGCAGGAGCAATTGCGGGAGGCAAGACTGGTGGTGCTATAATGGCCGTTCCAAAGGCTGTCGTTTGGAGGTTCCTGAAAACATTCAGTTCTGTAGCACCCAATAAGTAATCAATGGCGGCTTGTCGAAAGTAATCCTTGAATGTATTTTGATACATCCTAGCCATTGAGTTGGTGGCGTCATTGATCATACCCTGAATGTTGCGTTTGCCAGTCCTAGTAAAGTCTCCCTTCAAGGCACTGGTACCGGCATACTCACGGCTAATAGCGTCTCCATTGTTGGCCCAGACATGGTTGAAGGTGTTCTCAAAATCCTCGTACACAGAGAGCCCCTTGTCAGGGAACGAGGCAATACCAAGTCGTAAAAGTTGATGATTCAAAATATAACGGCCGATAGCGCTCTGGACGACATTAGTGCGATCGAGACAATCCATGCAGTTTGTTCGAATGACACCCTTCTGGACAAAAAGGCGGTCCAAGGACTTGCTGTCATTCTTTGGTGTTAACCAGCAGTAGCCCAGCTCTTGTATGGGTGCCTCTAGACTCTTGACCAGGCGCTCAATATTTTCATATTTCATTCCCTTGCATTGCTCGTGAAAGTCAAACTCTATGTATCTGGGAGACGATATGCCGAAAAAAAAAAAAAAAAAAAAAAAAAAAAAACAGTTTAAAAGATTGACAACAATAGAGTCCGTCTTTCATACTACAATGCAAAACACTATATATACCTGACTTGCGGATCAGCCAACTTTTTAACGTATTTTGTGTAAGCTGACCCGGCAATGAGTTCTCTACCATGCTGTTCTACCAGGTTGATAAGGATCTGCTGTCCATATTGTCTCAGTTGACTATCAACATGCTTCTTAAACCCGCCTTCATTTTCCTGTTCACTTCTTTCCATGATGGGTATGGGCTTTAGGCGATATGGTGACTGTGACCAGAACAAAGGAATGGATCCCCTTGTTTGAACAAAAGATACTTGATGATCGCTATCATTGCGCTGAAAATTGAAATAAAAGATTGCTCTTTGTTAGTTGCTATTTAGGTGGCAAAAAAAAAAAAAAAAAAAAAAAAAAAAAAGATATGATACATGGTCCAAAAGATGTCACGTACCACAATACGCAACAACTGCTCAGTTTCTACAAAATTAGATGCATTGCCGTCTTCATCAATGCCTCTACGTTGGTACCGGAGACCCGACCTTTCTCGACTCCTCCTCGAGATGAGTGTAAACATAAATGGCTGTTGCTCAATTTCACATTGTTCAATCTCAACATAGCCCTGCATTACAGGTAGAATGAAACCGTTCGCCTATTGTTCAAGTATGTATCCAGTAAAAGGTTAAAATTGTATGGAGTAGGAGCGCAGTAAGAACGTATGATAATTTTTTAAAAAAAAAAAAAAAAAAATCACCTCTATATCAATAAAGTCTTTGAGTAAGTGCTCATTCCACCAGAATCGCTTGTCTACTTGTTGCCACAAAGGTGCGTCCCTCTTAAGTGTATCTTTTTCTAGATCTGAACGTTTTTGCATAGACGTTAACAGATTGAACTCTGTCGAAAAGTAGAATCCAGTACCAAAGATGGATGAAATTTCTCGGATGACACGGCGGTCGAGCAAGCGATATTTCTCTTGTTCTTCCTCAGCTGCTCGTTGATTCGAGTTAGTTATGTTACTAGCTAGCTGTGCATGCTCTGCTTTCGGACTGTATTCAGCAGTTGTTGATGAAGTCGCAGTTGGTCTCATAAGGGAGAAAGACGGCGTCGTATTGAATATTCCTGAAACTGCTTCTTCACTCCAATCTGCGATCTGCTTTGTTGATTCAGTCACAAACTTCTCGGCTGCTGCAAGAGCTGATGGAGATCGGGGCGACAAGGACGGACGCATCTCATTTTCTGAAGTATTCATATGACCTGTATCTATCCTTGGCAGCGTACTAGTTTTAGATGCATCTTTGTGATTAACAGGATTGGCAGTTGTCCCTGCTATGGCTTCTCCATCCGATAGCGGTAAGACTGGGGATGTCAAGGCAATCTCGGCGCTTTTACGCGGCTTTATTTCCAGCACATTCCCCTTGAACTTTGAGAAAAACCCTGGTTGTGATGAGCGAATTTTTGGAGAAGATGGGGGCGACGATAATGCTGGCCTAGTAGTAGTAGTAGCAGCCACCTCATTCAAGGTTGGTTCTATAGTGGTAGGAGTAGATAGATTGGTACTGCTTCTGTTGCCTGCGCCTCGCTGCGGAACGTCGAACGATACTCTTTTTGGGTTGGGTATGATATTTGATAGTTCACCCTCACGGGACAATCCTTGTTTGATTCCTGTGGATGGCGGTCCAAGGTCATTAGCTGATTTTTGAATACCTTTATCTTGTCGTAGTCCAAGGAATGAGAATCGGCCCTTAGATGGTTTAACCACAGATACACTTTCTAAGGAATGGTAATTATCCTGCTGAATGCTCGTTTTTGAAGCTGGCTCCTGAATGACTATTGACTGCTCCGCCTGCTGCTCTACCCGAGGAAGAAGTTTAGTAGACATGATGATTTCCTGTGCTAATCTATCAAGGAGTTGTCGAGCTTCGCAGGCAACCAAAGGTAAGATAGCAACCTTGTTGATTGCATAGACAGGTTTGTCTTCAATATCGCCTAATGGTTTGACCGACGTGATAAAGATGAAATGTACGCCTAAAGGAAAAAAGGGGATTTGCCTCCATGTTAGATTGTTTATTCAGAAGACGATCGAATTCCGTTTATTGTTCAGTATAGCCTCACCTGTATGCAACTCCAATGACCCGATGCATCCGTAAACAAGGTAGTCCTTTGCATCTTCCGATCGAGAATATGATCCTATTTTTTTTTTTTAAAAAAAAAAAAAAAAAAAAAAGTTATTAAGAGGAGCCTCATGACCAAAAATCTGGTTCTATTTTCAACTCTACAATTTCTTTATAAAACATCAAGTCTCATTCCCATGTACCTGGCGATAGAAACGATATACGTCGGGTTTTTTCATCCATTGGGGCTGTAGTGCCGTTTACAGTGCTAGGTGCTTTGGTACTTTCATTACTCTTTTCTATATCAGCCCTATCTTCGGAGATCTCAAACTGGATTTGGACAATCTCAGTGTCTGCATCGTCAGTATATTCAGGGCCAAAATAAGGCTGGAGCACAAAGCGATCAGACTCAACAGTCAGACGGATATGTTTATAAGGCCGCACAGGCTTTGGAGGGTCGATGTGAGACTGCATTGGCTGTATATATCTGAATAATAAGAAAGAAAGAAAAAAAATCTGTCACTGGAAGAAGTCCCTGTGGTGAATGAAGCGTTGAGCCGAGGAACCTTTTTCAAAAAGTGATGAGTAAAGGAATGGAAAGAGATGAGTAAGGAATGAGCACGACAATGAGAGTATTAAGGAGGAGGAAAAGCCAATTGAACAAAGCGCGGCAAAAATTCAAGCGTCATTGAGGGTCATCTGAATTCCTCCACATCCAACATTATCTCATATCAGACGGCCCATTCCGCTAACATGCGGTCCAATACTCCAATCAATGCTGACAAAAAAAAAGGGGGGGATGTGCACCTGGCCACATGAGCTCAGGATTGTTACACAGCATCCAAGTTTTTGTGATGATCCCTTTTCTTCTAAACAATGAGGAATTTGTTTTTTCTATCGTCTCTTTTCCCTTCTATTTTACTTTTTATCAGAACTAATGTTGTTCTCATATCTGGGATATGCTCAGTTTGCTCAGCCTCAAGTCTTGAAATACATGTAAAATGATTGCGCTTGCAATAGCGTTTATTGAAATGGATGCAAAGCAAAATAAAGAGATAAAAAATAAAAATAAAAGATAAAATAAAAAAGAATGAAGAGGTGTGGCATAATGTTACAAGTGCGAGAAAAACATTAAAGAAAGAAAAGAAATGTAAAAGAGGAAGAAGAAGGAAAAAAAGCAGCAAAGGATATCGGTGTAGCGCTCAAAAAAATAAATAGTAAAAAGAATCTTTTTTCGCTAGAAACTGTTATACCTTCTGCTTCCTGTTGGGTTTCCTTGTCCCCCGAACAGCATTATTGTTGCCAGTTGCATTGCTGTGGTCGCTATTCCTCCTGGATACTGCACTCGAATGAGCACTCACAGTGCCTTTTGCATTTGAAGTTGGGCTTATTGCTGTGGGTGATGCAACAAATACATTGTCCTCAGATTTTTTTCTACTTGTTGATGGCGATGTTTTCTTTGACTCCAATAAACTTATTTGTTCCGGCTCGGTGCTCAGCTGTTGTGTAGATTTGAGCTCAGGAGATGCTACAGTCGAGTTGGTCGTCGTATTTGCTGTAGATTCAGATGCGAATGACTTTTGGCTCCGAGGTTCGGAAGAAATTGTGTGCGGTTCAATGGAAGCTGTAACTCTTTCTTTGACAACAGCTTGTTCTGAGGATAACGGCTGCTGTGTTGTAAAACCTTGTCCTGCAGGGTGCTCCCGATCACTTCCGCTTGACGGTACATATGAACCAGTGCTTGGGAAGGAGACTCTATTAACAGGATCTCGTACCGCCATAGACCCAAAGTCATCAGTTGCGACGCCAAGTATTTCACGCAGTCCCCGATTCTCAATTTCAAGCGTCTCAATGATGGACTCTGTATTATAGTATTCCTCTGTAATTGCCTTCCGTGCCACTGCTCCTACATCCATGAGTCGTGCCTGTAAAAGCGCGTTCTCCTGTTGTAGTCGCATCGCAACTTCCTATTTTGGTTTGGAATAGCACGCGATTGCATTCACACGTTAAGGTTTGAGCCTCTAATGCAAAACATTGGCATGAGATACCACTGAGCGTATTTTTTTTAAAGTAATAATAATAATTATAATATAATAAAACACTTACTCCTTCTTGTTCTGCCAGTCTATATGCCTCATGCATTGCCTCTTTCCGACTCTGTGCCATGGCAAACTATTACGATATTAAGCGGTTTAAATCTCAAAATCCGTGGATCCCATTATCATTGTGGAGTATGCCATCATGATTAAACAAAAAACAAAAAAAAAAAAAAAAAAAAAAAAAATAGTGCCCTCCTACATTCTGGAGACGAAATTTGGTCATGATATATTCCATCCATCGTTCATATTCCCGCAATTGCTCCTGAAGCTGTGAGTTTTCTTCCTGAAGTCGCTCATTTGCTATCTTCAGGCTCATATCCGCATATTCTAGTGATATCAGATGGTTGTGGGCTTGCGGTTAATTCTGTCAAAAAAAAAAAAAAAAAAAAAAAAAAATTACAATAGTAAAGATCCTTTGATGTTGTCCTATACCTCGATTGTTATTTACGCCAACCTGCGTGAACGTAATGGGATTTGAAGCCTGCGCTGTCTTTGCCTATAAAGTAATTAGTAAAAGAGTTGTTTCCATGAGAAGAATTGCTATGACATAATAGTCGTCTATGAAACTATTTGATGTAACTATTGTATTGACAAGGCGTAAGATAATCATCGACATGCATGTTTTTTTTTTATTCTGTTTACCTGAAGATCAGCAAGCTGCTGCTTGAGCTCCAAGGTTGCGTTCCGGTTAAAAACGAGCTGGGCAGTGAGTTCGTTGGTCAGCTTCCAAAGCTTTTGTACAACGCTGTCATCGACGGTCATGATGCAGATGCAGGAAAAAGTCAATAGTGTGATGACCGTGAGGTAGATAGAGAAGGGCGAGATCAGAAGGCAAAAATGATGTGCAATAGCGAAGAGAATGAAGAATGAGTTAAAATGGATGGAATGGCAATTGAAGAGGAATAGGCGGATAGGTGAGGCGGACGACATGTACAACAGACGCTCCTTTGTAGGGCGTGCTTGTTGGCTTGCTGGAGCCGAGCAAGAGAAAGAGGAGCAGGGGTGGGGAGCGATGAGCAGCAGTAACAGCAAACAACGATGACGAGCAATGTAGAATGACTATCACCAGACAAGAGAATAAAATAAAAAAAATAAAAAAATAAAAAATAAAAATAAAAAATAAAAAGTAAAAGGGCGTAAAGATGTAGATCAAGAATATAACAAAGAAAAAATGAATTAGAATTAGCAAATAAAATGAATTGAGTAATGCAGTGCAGGAGAAACTTTTTTTTTTTTTTAAGTAATTTGAGCGCGCGGGAAAAGAGAGCGAACAAGCAACAGGACGTGTGCAGTTCAATTGCATGCCCTGAAATTTGAAATTGAAAATTCATCGGTGACTGCTGTCGTATCTCCATTGGCTGACACATGGGAAATCAATTCTGTAGACATCTTTTACTTCAATCAAACGTTATTTCTTTCTTTCTTTCTTTTTATTCTTCTAGAGACATTCAATCGATCTGATCACACATAGAGTCCAACTGCTAGAAATAGGAACACGGTCCCGAATCCAAGCAAAAGTGCACTAGGAATAGTCGTTGCAAGGTCATGCACCAGCGACGGTTTCTGGGCGCTAAAAAAAAAAAAAAAAAAAAGAAAAAAGAAATGTAGTTCATAAACACAGAAATGGATCTTTAGAATTTTGTCCCTTCCAAAAAAAAACATTTAAAACTCTAGAAAATTGTTGTTTGAAAGGCTGCGCAGACTAGATACTCCCAATAGGTGTAATAGACGATATGATAGACATGTCATTGTTAAATGTAAATGCACACATACACGCCAAACTTTGCTGCAAACAACAAGCCGACAGACAAGGTTAGCATAGCCAAGGGAGGGTGCACTGACACTGGCAATGGAGGAGCAAATGGCGTGCCTGCTGACCAGGCCTCGTTCTACATGAATAGTAAATATCCAGAATCGCGCATGCATTAATACCCAATAGGATGTCTGACATTGTAACTGACATCGCCATCTTCAAGCAGAAAAGACTATCAGCATTCGTTATTGTTGCCAACTATGGGTGTTATTGATGCCACTCCTATTGTGGATGCTGTACGATTACCAGTTCAGAGAATGTTGCACTCATGGAAAGCCGCGGTTACTGTTTATGTAAATGTGTAGTGTAAAAGGAAAAGGAACGCGAGATGAGACAGGTTAGTGACAAGAGTAAAGTCAAACACCGATGACTTACGGGGCAAGTATAAAATATCTTTTACGAATTGCTGTGCAAACTTTTTACAACTCACGAGACTCCATTGTCACTTTATCACTTTTGTCTTCTCATAAAACTCGTGCGAACTGCTCCGACTTTTTCTCTTTCCTCAAAACCTTCTCAGTACCAAAGTAGAGAGTATGGAACCTACACCGGCACCGTCATCAGCCACACTTGCTGCCTTGCATGCAACACGCCAAAACACTAATGACAACAGCAACATCACTCATGGACAAGGACAAGAAACTCATAGGAATGGTGCTACAGTAGCCAGCTCAAACTCCGGAGGAATCGACAATATTCAAACGCAGAATCCTTTAGACCATGCCTCGGAACCTTCAACGAATAACAATGATAATAATGACCCCAATATCACATTGTTCTTGAGAGAGCTTGAATCCATTTCTACGCATTCAAAACAACAGCAACAACAACAACAACTGCCTCAAACCACTTCCTCTTCGTCCTCCTCAAACACAGTCAATCACGAACCAAATCGCTGTTATATTTGTTTTGGCACGGACGAAGATAGTGTAGGTCGATGGGTAAAGCCTTGCCAGTGCACCCTCATCTCACACGAGGACTGTCTCCTCGATTGGATCGACAAGAATCGGCAACAGTTTGCAAAGAAGCAGGTAAAAGATATATGAAAGTCGTGATACTCATGTATTTCTACACCTGTAAATTTTTTGTTTGAGCGACATTGCTGACTTCAAGGGTTCTGAAACATCAACATCTTTTTTTCCCAGGTGCGGTGTTCAGTTTGTAATACAGTGTATCGCTTGACTGAACCAAACTCATGGCTCCTGAATATCTATTCAACCTTTGACTCCATTGTACACGCTGGTGTCCCATACTTAACATTTCTGGGACTAACCTGTTCAGTGTTGATCACAAGCACAACCTATGGGTATGTTATTCTATTCTGCTCTATTCTATTTTATTCCTTTTTGCCGAAACACCGAAGCCTTGCCACATCTTGAATGATTCTACTTGCACAGAACAATAGGCTCATTGTCCTATAATCACTGTTATCTAATATGATTCTTGTTTGCTTTTCCATCCCGGTATAATTTCAGTGCTTACGCTGTTCTCACAGTTTGCGGCACTGAAGAGGGTGAGAAACTTTTAGGAAGCCCGAACCCTTGGGGATGGCGTGTCTGGGTAAGATAGAAAGACCTTCAATTGTTTGTTTAGTATAGAATCCTTTTCCATACTTAGGAATACTCTTCGTCAGAAGCCAATTATTGTAGTTGATCTCGTCATAATCACTAATCCTATCACAATTACTGTTCTTCTTTTATTTTATTTATTTATTTTATTTTATTTTTTTTTATTTTTTTGTCTTATAGATTGGACTTCCTCTAATCCCAGTGCTCCTCGTCTCCTCGAGGACAAAGGCAATCGATTCATTCATGCCATTGATCCCACTTCTGGTTGTGGGCAATGAACAGCTCCAGGTGACCTATCCACCAACCCCTGCACTGACTCTTTCAATCATGCCTTGGGTAAGGATGGCCTATAACAGTCTATGGGCTGAGATGGTGTCACGACTGGAAATGCGGTGGCGCCGACAACAGGCTGCAGGATCAGGCGTAGCAAGGCTGGGCGTGAATGCTAGTATAGACCAGCCCGATATGAACTTGTCTACAGCTGAGGCAACAAGGAATATACATAATACTGTTGCAGAAGAGGAGCCACCATTTTTTGAAAGGAAAGACCTTGGCAGGACTATTATTGGCGCTTTGCTCATGCCAGCGATCTCATCAATTTGTGGAAGGTAAAGTTGAATAATAAAGATATCGATGACTTAAGAAGGTGTCTTTATTCTTTTATTTTTATTTTATTTTTATTTTTTTTTTACTCAACTTCAAATCTGCCGTCTCTTACATATTCCTTCTATTAGTATTCTTGGCAATTTCTCTTTTTTCCGGACGCGCTTCCCTGATAATTTTCATCGCAACATTTTGGGGGGATGTTTTTTTGTAGTACTGAAGGATTTGGCGGCATTAATAGGAAGGTATCAGGAGATGAGGCGTAGGAGGGTGCGCAGAGTGCGTGAGTACTCCGAGTTCAAAGATGAGTAGTGTAATGAAGCGATAAGATATAAGTATGAATGCCCCAATCCTCAAGGAGCAGTGTCAAGATAATAAAGACATCCATTGTACAATACATGATTAAAAGACTAAGGGAAAATGTCACCCTGTTATATTATCTCTTCGTGCCAGACATGGGCGGTAGTTACTTTAACCACTTGGAAAAAAAAAAAAAAAAAAAAAAAACTAAGGCACCTTTATTATTCTTGAGCTGAACACCATCAACTACACCGATAATTAGATATCCAATGTTGGACCAGTTTTTTTTCTTTTTCCTGGCGTATGAAAATCGCCTTCGAAGAAATTTAATTTAAACGGAGCTCTAACTCTACTACATGCTTCGCCTGCGCTCACGGCCCACCTGCAGTAGACGCCTAATTTCCCTAAAACAAAATTTGATTCCAATCAATGTAAAAAAGACAAATGACAGAAGTTTAACCTCATACAGAAAGAGCAGTTACAAACTAACGCTTTCGTCGAGCTTTCCTCGAGTCTACTTAACGAAATACACCAAAAGCAATGGTTGGTGGGTGGATGTAATGCTTTTAGGCGATCTTATCAAAGCGAGAAGTGATCACATGCTTCCACGTGCAACATGAATTTATTGCAAAGGTACTGACGATTGAGATATTGGGCTCATTGCCTTCAAGCCATTCTAGCGACATGCTCCTCTTTTTTTTTATCGTGATCATATCGATCATATCGTAAACATTCTCTCGTAATATTCTTTATCCCAAATAACATACAATTGATCGATCTCTTTAGCGCCTCCAACTAAAGAGTTCCTACTAACGAGGCATGCATGAAATGATATGCGCAAATCCACATTCATTACACGCACTGTATTTGAATTGATAATCACTGATCGACCTACTTGGCACTTTTGACGTTGTCAATGATACTCCTTCTCCCATAGACTCTGTCTTTTGGGATGTTCCTGCTGGTAGGCCTTAATAGCGGTGCACTTGACTGGGACCTGTTTGGAGTCTGAATGGCAATGATGGTAACGTTATTATCTGCATAGACATCTCTTGTGAGATTGCACAAAGAGCTTGCTCAACTATGGCTCCACGTTCCACCAATAGTTTCCTATTGACTTCGCTCAACCCAGTTACGTCTTGAATGCGTGTGTTACTTGCATTGAGCACTGTCTGTCTAGTGCTCCATTTCAAATGATACTGGCATTTTCCATTTTTCTGCACGATCTGCCACATCCGGACAGAGGCGTCTTTACATCCTGTAACCAGAAAGAAACCTTCAACAGAGCTATTCCATACAAGTGCTGTAACGTATCCACCCGAGAATGGGATAACAGCCAAGCATTGGCTTGACTCTGGATCCCACACTCGTGCTGTCATATCTCTACTGCCTGAGACAATATACTTGCCATCAGGTGAATAAGCCAGGCCTGTGATCCGTTTGGAATGCCCTTCAAGCATACAAATTACTCTTCCCGACCCTGTATCCAATAGACTAATTGACCCTTCCATATCACCAACAGCCATCTGTAAACCACTTGGTGGAAATACTATCCAATTTTTTTCCTTTTCAGGCTTTCTTTCGTAACAGACTTCGCCCGTTTCTGCGCTGCATACTTGCAAGATAGAATGGCCACGAATAAAGGCAATTTTTCGGCTGTCCGGTGTGTATATAAAAAAGCTTAGTGTTGCTGTACCCTTTAATATATACTGGAGATCCCATGATTGAGCTGTCCAGACTCTGATGCTCCCAAAACCATCGCATGAAGCAATCTGGTGACCATCATGTGAGAATACCACTCTCCGAATCCCAAGCTCTCGGTTGCTTTGTAGAGTGTGGAGGAGCTTTCCCGTTCGTGTGTCCCAAACAGTTATTTTTCCATATTTATGGCCACAGGCAACTTGATCGCCAGTAGGCGAGAAGCCCAAGGTATTGACTTTGTAATTCTGCTCTTCTTGCGGCTCCAAAGTGTGGATGACTTGACCTGATCGTATATCTCGAAGGTAGACACGTGAAGAAAGATGGCAAGCAAACAACTGGCCATTGGGTGAATACTTGACGTCGAAGACTGATTCTTTTTGCTTTTGTAAAACATGGGTTGCCTGGCCTGTTTGTGTATCCCAGATACGCACTGTACCATCAGTACTACATGAGGCTATCTGTTGTCCACTTGGTGAACCCTTGATGCATTTGATTGGTCTTGCATGACCGTACGAGTCATGACTAGACTGTCGTAATTGGGGATCCCACAGGCGTGTTGTTCTGTCAGAGCTAAATGATACAATTTGATGGTTGATTGGTGAATATGCCAAGCACCAAACAACACTAGAATGTCCGAAGAAGGTGTTAATGAGCTGCCCTGATTGCGCGTCCCACAACCGTATCGAATAGTCAATGTAACAAGTAGCTATCTGCTCTCCATTGGGTGGGTACTTTAGGTCACTGATGTCGTCGGGATGCCTTTCAAAATCATGGACATTTTCGCCTGTTCGCATATTCCACTGAACTATCTCGAAAGTAGTGAACGAAGCGGCGAATTTACCGTTAGGTGAATATTGTATGCCTTTGACATCACCCTTGTGCCTAAAGGCCCACTTTCCTTGACCAGATTTAGCATCCCACACAAGTACTGAGTTGGCTCCATAACCGCGAGAGACGATTTGCTGACTGTTTGGTGAATACACAATTTGCTCAATCCGAGATCTGTGGCCCTGAAGCATCAGTACCTGTTGTCCTGATGTTACATCCCACAGTCGTATCGTTTTGTCATCACTACCGGTTGCAATATGCATTCCATCAAGGTGAATATGACACGGTTCTCACTGCGGCTGTATGACCCTCTAAAATGCATTGAAGCGTTCCGGATTGGGAGTCCCACAGACGTACTGAGCCGTCACTACTGGCTGAGGCAAGATGGTGTCCACTTAGCGAGTACACAATACTAAAGACCCAGTTTGTATGCCCCACCAATTTATGGACCAATGCACCTGAGACTGTGTCCCAAACTAAAATCGTATCTTGATAATTTGAAGAGGCGATATACTGACTGTCTGGCGAGTATACAGGAATGTATCCAGCAAGGTCTTTCAAAGTCAGACGCTTTTCCCATGTTGATGTGTCATAGACGGTGACTGAGCAGCCAGTCAAGTCATGAGGATAACTACAGCAAGTGTCCTCCCATCCGGTGAGTATGTTCCCGTCCGTACCCTACCACTCTCCCTAAGGACTGGCCATTCGCCAAAACGCACACCTGCCATCTTTGCTCCATTCAAGTTTGTTTCGCGGAGCCAACAGTCACAGAGATCGACCTTCCTTAGGTCTGCTCCTTGTAACTGAGCATATTCGAAAACACCATGACTGATATCGGCGCCAGGGATCTGGATGCCCCTCAAGTCTGCCTCAATGAACGACTCTCCTGCCCGAACCAAGATTGTTATTGCATTGGCCGCCGCTGTTCGCCATTTACTGTCCCTTTTTGAGAGCTCTACAAAGGTATGCAACTGCTCTCTGAATATTGACTCCAGCTGAACACGATCAACCAAGAATTGTAGGACGGACGATGATTCGTTCGTAAAGCTCTTCCATACTAAAGGCGAATCCTCATCTGGTTGGGTCGCATCAACTTCCTGCTCACGCATATTAGTCTCCATAGCCTCGAAGCTATACGATGAATCAATGCTCTGTCGGCGGAAAGTGGATATTTTCGCTTTCACTACTCCATCATTTGCGTGGGTCCTCGCAACTTGTTGTGGCTCAAAGATCGCTCGCACTAGACTGTATTCCAGAATGGACCGATGAATAAAACGATGCTGGTTCCCTGTGCGAGTGAGGGGCGAAGCTTCGCGCAGAAGGTTCCTTCCATTCTCTTTGCTAAAGTACTCCTCCTTCCATGTGCCCTTGTGTTTAAATGGAGAATAGTCCACTATTGGATTGCCATCCTGATATTTATATATCGCTTTCGCCAGGCTCGTTAAGTATATGATCCCATTCTGTGCAAACCCTTCATCCGTCAGCGTCTGGAACATCCTCCTGTCCTCTATTCCTATTGTCTCACTTAACCGCTTCTTGCCTCGCTCAAGCCACAGCTCCACGAACTGATCATAGAGAGATATGCGCTTGATTCGTGCGCTGGTGGTGTCTTGGTCCGGATCCACCATCCGTGGAAGCACTTGTAGCGATAGTGACAGTAAGAATGGGTTCTTTACAAGGTCAAGTAGGCTAGGGACCATTCTGAATGCACGCTGGTAGTCTCCAGCTGACCACATCGGATCCATATTAGCGACATAATTCCTGATATAATCATTGATCTGAGCATCAGAGAATGGCACGATCATAGCTTCTTGGAATAACCCGCTATCTGCTTGGTGATTGCGATCCATAGGCCAAAAGCGATCTCGATAATCTGACCCAAGATACTCACTGCGGCAGCTAATTATCATCTGAGACTTCCACATCCCAGGCTGATTCAGTTGGTTTGTCACATACAGATTTTTGGCCAGCATGCTCTCATCATATCCGTCACAGATCAAAACGAATGATCGAGTCATCTTTAGCTCTTTGATCTGCGCTTCTGTGAAATCATATCTTCGTAGCTGTTTGGCCACTAGATCTCTCTCTGGGTTGGCAATGACCAGAAGGTTGATAAACACTGGGATTCGACCATGCCTCATTTCGTATGCTTCCCACAGGGTGCATTCTAACGTGCGGCTGAATGTTGACTTGCCTGCCCCTGAATCACCTTGAACGAGTAATACTTTCTTCTCGCTGTCCAGGAACTCCTTTGCCTTGTCCATTAACAAGTACAAGTGGTTGTCAAACGCCTGAGGACTTGCTTTAGCGTATTGCTGGATGTAGAACCCATAGTCATATCTGTCTTTCATCCGCTGCTGCTTAAGTAGACGCAGGGCCTTCTCGACATCAATCCTCTCCTGCGCACGGTCGAGTAATGATGGGGATGCGGAAGGAGAGGGTTTGAAAATGAAGGGGTATTGGACAGCAGCCTCGTGGAGACAGTCTCTGCATATTTTTTCTTCTTTAGCGCCTTCATCCGCCGCTAAATCATGCAGAAGCGTACTTGCAGCTGTAAAGTAAACGGAGGCAAAGGTGTTATAAAATGCTTGATTTAGCTATCCTGTACTGAAAGCCACTAGTTCAGAGTAAAAAAGAGTAGACACACACCTTGCAGACTATTCACTGGCAATGAGGCTAGCTCCCTAAGGATGTTTGCTATCCACTGTTTGATGTGTACGTAATTGCCCCACTCCTTGTCATTCTTGTAAATTTCGCCAAGGAAAGCGATCGCATCTTGACGGATACCCATGGTCCACTGTGTACCGGCTGCAACTTTTCCTAGCCGTTGGCATAGCCCCCATTGGAACGCTGGATCCCGTCGACAGGATACTTCACATACAAGGGTTTTGAACTTGGTCAGCTCACTGCCTGGAGTAGTGCATCAGCTCCACGCAGTGCTGGGTACCATGCTGTCTTGCAACTAAAACTAAGTCCTTCTTCCATACACTTGCTGAATATTGCTCCACTTTCATACAGTGACGTTGCACCCTTATACGCTCTCAAACTCATGTCTATGATATTTGCGACAGATGGGAGTTCCTTCTGGATGCTGCCTATCTCATTCATGAAGACATTCAGGTCCAAGCCTTTGACTGCACTTACTACTCCAAACACTCCTCGGAGGACTGCTGATGTACGTCGAAGCATTACTTGTATTTTTGTTTCGTCATTTGGGATGTACAGTAGGACTTGGAAGGCATAGGCTGCTTGATACGCTAAATGAGGATCTGAGCTGTCTTTCAGAGCCTTAAGATATGCAGCGTTCTCGCTTTAGGCCCATAACTTGGATGTCTACCATGGCATCGAGGACATGTGAGACTGTAGCAGATAGGCGATGGAGATGGTCACTAGATTGACAATGCGTACTTTGTAAACGAAAACTAAGGGTATTGAGGGTTGCGACAAGATCATCCAAGTCAAGGTATCCAGGAGGAGAACGCTGTATTAACTCAGCCAACCCCTCCAGCAAATGAGTTTCTAACATGATATTTTGACGGATTCCATTGATCAAGGTCATAAGTAGAGCCCTGAATTGATCTTTACTGAGGACTGGGGCCAAAGATGTAGCCTCAACGACAGTAGCCTGAGCTTTGATCTCATCACTGATGAACATTTCAATCACATCTGATGCCAGGCTACGCAACCGCTTTTGCTCATCCTGATCATTCGATCTAGTCAAAGACCACTCTTGCTCCTGGCCGCTAAGATCTGTTACTGAGATAGGTGAATTGGGGAGTAGACTAAGACAATACACGAGCTGTCGGATATCATTCAGGTGGGCACCGATATCTGGTAAGTTGTATCTAATGATCATTGGAGGCATATCATGGTCGAATATGTCCTTTGGAATTGTAGCAATGCTGTGCGTGATTTTGATTCGTACTGTTTCACTCGTTTTCGTTTTCCTAATGATGCTATTACTAGTGCCGCTGTTTTCTTGTTTGCTGTTGAGAGAGTTGCCAATTGCTAGCGGCATTCGATGGATGATGTTGTTTTCATGCGAGTGTCCCCACTTCTGCTTTCTTGCCATTTCTTTGAGCATCGCTTGGATGGTCTAGGTATTCAAACAGCCGGGCAAGCTCATAGTAGGCTAAAGCGATACCTTGGTGCAACGCTGTCTCATTGGAAGTCTTCCTCACAGATCGCTGAATTCGAGACAGTGCAGAATCTGCATCGTAACAGAGCTCGATTACGATGTCATTGTCAACATCCATTCTGTGGGTGCACTCCATGTAAATATTGTAGAGTTTTAGAGCCTTCGTTGGTGAGAGTTCACCTCGTGTTGAAGCAAACATGTGTCCAAACATGATTGTTTTTTCTTTCTTCTATTGAATTGAAGGAAAGAAAGGTTGTTTGATTGAAAATTGTTTATTGTTAGAGATATTTGTAGTAGATGATGGTTTTTTTTTTTTACAGGCTCTCTCAAATATATGCATCTTACATGAATGAATCAATCGAACGGAGGATAACTAAAAAAAAGAAAGCGGAGGATTTTGGATAAGAAAGAAAAGAAAATGGCGCATGCATAGCCGTATCTTCCTCTAATGAGGCATGTCTTTGCATGTTCCCAGCCAATACCAATGTCTGTTTACTTCTTATTCAAATGTACAAAAATTAATTGCCGACGGCATTTGACCTTTTTAGCCATGACATTATGATTTTTGCCTCGTATGGTCAGCATGTGGTCCATGCGCAACCCTTTCCCACGTGGAATCATGGTTGACTGCGCTTTTTTAATGTCCTATAAACACAAAACAAAGCAATTTTTTTTTTTTTTTGCATTCATTGAAGAGGAGTGTACTATTGGTCATGATCACACCTACATTTTCAGTTTCACAAGAGGATGACTTTGTCAGCATCGTCATTAAGGCGCCTCACATTAAGGTCTGAATTTACAATACTCCAGACAGAAAAAACACATGCTAAATGTTGAAATGTTATAAGCCTAAGCATATTTTTTTTTTTTGGTGCATAAGACCCAAAATGTAGATTTTGAAGTGGAAGGAGCAGTCTTCAAGTTCAATGTGAAGCCCTATTTTTTAAGGTTGGTCCTTTTCCCCCATTCTCATTATCATTCTTTATAATTATCGATGAGAATGACTTTTTTCTTTTTTTTTTTCCCCTACTTGGTCTAGATTATACTAAACTACAATAATATTTTGTTTTGAACAGACTGACTTTTCCAGGAAATATTGTGGATGATGAACGCGCCAAGGCCACCTATAATGTTGGGGTGGGCGAAATGACAGTCATTTTACCAAAAGAGACCCCTGGAGAACATTTTCCAGATCTGGACATGTTGACCAAACTGCTAGTACGTCAGAGTGACCTTAAGGATAAACAGATCAAAAAGCCGTTGATTGAAGTCATTGGCAGCAGTTCTGGAGGCGACAGCAACAGCGTAGCTACTCTGGAGGGCACGGAAAAAGTGAATAGGGATGAAGAAATTGATTGGGAATTGCCACAGGAAATCAAGCAGGAGGTAAAAAAAGAGCTTTTATTGATCGTATTAAAGAATATTACTGCAATTGAACAAGAAAGGATGTATACTGACTTCTTACTCTATCGTAGATCTTCTCAGAAGTCCGATATGGATTCAATAATAGATACAATGGATTCTTTACACATGTTCAGGAAACTGCGAATGATGTACTGGATGTATATGATCCTGAGCATACGACATTAGAAACGAGAAGACAAAACAGAATTCAACGTGAGAACGAAAAATTCGATGATGAGTATTATATGTACGGCCTCTAGATAGCAATATTAAAAAAGATTAAGCATATAATGGAAAATGGCATTCATAGACGGATTCAAGACTAACAAGTGAACTTTACCCTGATTTTTTTTTTTTTTTTTTTTTTTTCGAACGTAAGGAGCGAATTCATGAATGAAGAAGAGATTCAGCATATTATGAGGTATAAAACACAGTGGTGGAGCGAACTTCGAGCTTTGCAGAAGAGTCAAAAAGGTAAAACTATAAAGGCAATGCTGTTTTTTTTTTTTTTTTTTTTTTTTTTTCCTTCAAGGATAGATACATTTAGCTTGACCTCGTCTATTGTTAAAACAAAGTAGATTCAAACAGCCAGAAAAACCGGTCTGATATAACTGCAGCATCAACAACCAAAAGCAATAGCAACAGAGGAAATGAAACACAGAAGGCATCAGTTAATAATGCAGGCTGTACTTTCAAATCAACATTATCCAATAATTTGAGTCAACTCTCTTCAACGCCATCCATTTTAAATATTGTCAAAGATGAGCCAGGACAGAATAAATCTTCAGCAACAGCAACAACATCCCTAGACGATTTTGGAATAAGAGAAGCTAGTAGTAGGAAAACAACGACGAAAGAGGTTAAAAGTCTCTTGAAGCCAACAATATCCACTACCACCACCGCCACCACTTCTATTGCTACCGCTTCTGGTAACAGCGGCTTGACCCTAGATTTGAAGGAACCATCTACACCTACATCTACACTTTTGCCAAACACTAATACATTGACTCCAATGGTGGAACCTCTAATCGATGAGAGTCGGGACGAACCCGTAAAATATTTGGGATCTCACTCTATCATCATTGTGGACCCTTCTAGACCATCTACAAACAGTGAGCTAGAAGGAGAGATGGCTGATCTAAAACTTGATGGTGATGGTCAATCTGGATTGGATACTAAGCCTTTTACGAATAAAGAGCAGGAACTTATGAGAGATTTACCCCGCAGAGAATGTAGGTTTTTTTTTTTACTTTTAACTTCTTTAGTTTGCTGATGTGACCTTACATACAAATATCCTTACCAACACAACACTTACGCTTTTTATATATAGATATCCTTGAAAATACTAAATCAACATATCTTAGCCTGATTGATATCCTCTTCGCTTACAGCTACGACCTCCGTGTATCAGAAGGAGATACCACTGTTGAGACGCCTTGGACAATATGTAAATTATCTCCCTCTATGGCTGCATTAGATCAGTTCACGACACTCAAAGAAACCATCGTGGCATGCATTCGACGTTCATTGGCTTATCCATTGATCCGAAACTGGAGTCTAGCTATGAAGGTCTTACAAGATGTCTACGTCATCTTGAAATTGGGCCGACGAGGATGTCTAAGGGCTCTCTTACAGATCAAGAATATTCTGGATCATGATGATGTATACTACATTTATAGCAAAATGTTCATTGAAGACTACTGTGTGTGGATCCAGAGTGGAGCCAGCGAGAACGTGATCCGGACCTTAGCACATGAAATACATCATTTTGATGTGAAAAAGGAGGAGATCGGGTGGCATCTCGAGGAATTGGAAGCTTTAGCCAAGGAGGCGCCTGAAGAAGAAGAAGAGGAAACAGAAGAGGAAGACTCTGATGACACATCAGCTGAAGGCGACGACGATGATGATGAAGAGGAAGATAGTGACGACGACGACTCTTCATCATCCTCAGATCAGGACAGTCAAACAGACGATAAGAGCCGAAGCAAAGACAACAACTTCGCTGCGGAAGAAGAAAGTATATTTATACACGAAGGCCCCAAACCCATGATTGTCGAGCTTTAAGATAAATATGATTAGTTTTATTAGTAATAAATATATTATATATTTAAAAAAAAAGAAAAAGAAAAAGAAAAAAAAAAAATCATTATAACTAGCTAAATCTTAAAAAGAATAATATAGAGATAATATGAACAGAAGAACAGGTGGAGTAGCACCTTTAGCATCTTGCGCGTGTGCTGCGTGTAACTGTAAGTGGTCGGCGTGAATTCGAGAGTGGTAATGGTATTATTGAAATACGCGGTCGACTCTGTGGATGTGGCTCTTGAGTGAGCGATTCTCGCATTGAACATTCGGATAAATTCAAAGAGCTGCGCCGTTGGCTTCTAACTGCATAGCTGGTACTGGTGCTGACCGATGGTGACCTTGCACGGTTAACGGCGACGGGTATAAGGCTGCCTCTGTGGGTAATAGCACTGGAATTGGATCGCCTCCATCTCTCGGGGATACCTCTATATGTGAACCTTCCGCTGTTATGAGAGATGGAGGTTGGTGTTTGCTGCCGCAAGTATTTACTTTTGAGCGTGGAACAGCTGGCAACCATGGCTGCGGTCGAAGCTGTAGTTGCATCCATGTTTACAGTAGCCTTTGTTGCTAGAGCATTTGATCCCGATGCCGATGTGGCCACGTTACTCAGTGAAGGGTGATCCCCTTCATGAAAGCCTCTCGCGACTGTGATTTGAAGGGTATCTGCCGTGCCTCCATATGTATCTCTAGCGGAGCCAATATCTCTGCGTGAACTTATGCCATTCTCTGAGCTGTTAGGGACATATGTAATAGAAGAAGGTGGAGTAGTGGCAAAAATGTTAGCCGAAGTAGTGGCAGGACTCGAGGTGAGAGACGGCCTGGGCGTAGAGCCCACTTCATTAGATGATGAGGTACTTGCGCTATAAAGGCCGTCTGGGTGCTGATAATCGGGATGCAACGGAGATAGCGGATGGATGCTCCGTTGTGCTGCCAAGATTGCTGAAGTGCGCTGATCGTCTTGTTTGTCCCGCACGATGGAGTGGTATTCGTCTAGGAAGCGGCGAGGTTCAACATTGAGGGTATCACTTCTCAATGAAGGCACTGATATTCCAATTTCGTCTCTTGTAGCAGTAATATAGGCTAACGAGCTACCATTAATATTTCCAAGTGATTTTAGCTCTTCCTCCTGACGGTCGTGTAAACCTAGGCGAATAGGTGGTATGGGTGGAGGGGTAGCTAATGCAGTAATAGAAGCAGAAGTGAATCTAGGTTGTGAAGGGGGTGACGGTGGGACGAGAAGGCTGTCGGGGATGTAAGTTTTTTGGAATGTAGGAAGTACATCGGACCTTGCTGGAATGCTGCAGCGATCGTCTAATTGTGGGCCCCGAGGACGAGGATATATCGCCCCAGCTGGACTTGAAGTCATAAAAAGTCCGGATCCGGGGCTTTGGCGTGGTTCTATTCCATCAGTGATTGAGGAGCGGAGGCACTGGCTTTGCTTTGATTCGTTCTGCAGCCTTTTTTCCTCCTCTTCCCAGTCCTCTTGCTGTCGACACTTCATCTCCAACGTGTGCTCAGGTGTGGCTGTGGCCGTAGCTCTAGCCATGGTGGAGGTTACCATGATTATATTAGACATTCTGTGAATATCAGTGTCGTTACTGAAACGGCGCGTCATGTATGCAGACTGTACCCACGGCTCTTCAGGAGCAACACTGGGGACTATTGAAAACGAGAGACGGGATTTCACTATAGGAGAGCCTATATTGGCTTCAGGGCTGTCCTCGCCATGGCTGCTATTGGCCTGATTTACTTGACCTTGACCATGCGCTGATTCTGACTGTTGAATCTGATTTGGCTGAGATTGCTGGATTATGCCCCTAATATCAGGAGGCAAGTATGGCGGAATATAGTGATCAAGGCTGAGAGAGGACTGATTCGCCGTACTCTGAGTTGAATCGCGGATGAAATCACGGATGTTGTCTCGTGCCTTGAACATGTCTGCTTCTGTTGTTTTATATCGAACTGGGATGGTGCCTTGCTTACAATTGTCTTCAGATATCTTAAATCCACCATTTCCATTGTCACTTGCAGATATGCAATCCCTTATGGGATTTGAATTGACCCTCATCATCCCGACCAAGGTCGTTATGCTTTCATTTTCGGCGCGAATCCGTTCGCTTGCCATTCTGCCTTCAGAGGAACCGTCGTAGTCATCATGATTATGGTCGCCTTTCACATAGACAAGAACTTCTTGATTGAGTGAGCTCATATTACTGCGTTTATTCCTTTGCCTGACCTCCTTCCTTGTTTGCAATGCTTTCCATAATTGCCCAAGAGTCTTAAAAAGCTGATAAAAGACCATGACGAAGAGTACGACCATCATCAGCGCTTGAGTGCCAGCTATCATGGCGCCAATAATTATTCTAGAGATTGCAGGGACTAATGAATCCTTAACCAAGGCTGCCAGCATGGCCACATTCAGGACCCGGATACAGCCCAAAACACCATTGAGGCGGTTTGGAACCTTGTCTCCAAAAGGACGTTTCCAGAGTAACAGTCCCGTGAAACAGGCTTCAGTCAAAAGTAAAGAGATGATCTGAACCCATGCCTTGGTCGAACCATGTTGTCCTCCATGGCAAAATGCCACAATACCAGCCTTCAAAGTCTGGTAAATCAAAGTAGGAATAAAGAACCACCAGGCAGAGAGGACATATTGGTTATATAGAGCACCGTATCTGGATTTGAGGCGTTCATCAAAATACAAACTGGTGCTACCAGTACGGCGGAGACGTAAAGTAGAGTATACAATCGTAACGAAGAGTATAATCAGTGTCATGGCCGCCAGCAGCATAATTGCCCAGGAGTCATTCAATGTAAGCTGATAGAAAGCCATGGTTGCCAGTGCAAAATACGCCAATAAGGTAGCCCGGAGCATACTGCCAAGGTAGTACAAACCGAATCGTCGGCGAAGTTTGGTGAACTTGCCCGGATAAATGTAGGCATATCCTTCCAATGCAACGCGGAAGACTAAAGCCAGAAGAGATGTGGTGAGAATCAAGATCAAGAAAAGAAAAAAAGACGTCATGAACATGTTCTTGGCAGGGATGTCGAGGCGTTGGCCAAACGCGTTAAGGCCAGGGGGGGCCAGAGCATTAGTCACAGAGTGGTAATCTTCCTGAAGCCAGGGAGCAGAATGCAGAGGGGAAACTGCATGAGAAACAAAAGATATATTCTCATGTCGCTCCATGAGAGAGTGGTCAATCAAAGATGGTGAAAGGCTTGCACCTGCCTGAAATGCTGAAACAGACGGAAGTGCTTGGCTCGAAGAGACAACAGCTGTAGCAGAGGCGGGTGCTGGATCAGTATAAAAGAGTGAAGCAGAGGACGGTGGGATTACAATCTCCACCTGACGTTTCTGAAAATCCTGTACAGCATTTTGAGACAATACCCTGGCCGAGGCGACTAATTTTGAAGCATCAAGTTTGGGCTTTATGGCGGCAACCCCTGTCCTAGAAATACTGCCAGAGGGCAAAAAGTCCTTGGCAGAAGGTTTTGTGGTGTTATCCGTGGTGTGCTCCTTTGATGTAATAGTGACACTCTTGTTGCCATCATCTGATAACGTTACAGAGGCGCTGGAGGCGCTGGTTCTGCTTGGGTCATTACTAGAGCCGCCAACCTTACTACTATACATGGTCTTTTCCCCCGATCCTGAAAATGAACTTGGGTTGATTGGTCTGTCTGATGTCCTGTACCTTAAATCGTTGATTGCCTTATTCCAGCTCTCAGACGAAAAAAGGCCCATACTCCAAGCAAAGTTCTGAGTCCATTGTTGTAATAATTCAGGATAAGCCAAGTTCAATGACCCTGATGTAGAAATAAATTGACAGAAAGAAATTACGTCCCAGACAGAAGGTGATAGTCCACTATTAGATGGGTTGACGCCTGAGCTGCCTATGCTTCCGCCATTAACTGATGCAATGGACATTGATGTCAGCAAGGCTACAGAAGTGAAGGAAGCCACAATCCCAGAAATCGCAGCAAGAGCAATGGCGGCTGCAGTGATAGAAAGAGAGGCAATAGTGATGGCAGGAGAATGAATGCTAACGACATTTGTGAGTGGGACTGAAGTGCAGAGAATTGAATGACCTTGTGAGTTATAAAGTTGGATAGAAGCAAGAGCCTCTACAGCTGGAAGCAAGAAGAGCTGCTTGGGAACTTGCTCTGGGAGCAATGCTGGTACTGGAAATGTCTCCTGGAAAGAAAACTGGCCACTGAATCTATAAATTCTCCGATAAAAGATGTAAGTATAAAAATAAAAAAAATAAAAAAATAAAAAAAATAAAAAAATAAAAAAATAAAAAAAAAAAAAGTCCTGGGTTATTGAACCTACCGAAATACGGAAGGCCCTGATTTGCTGAATTGCATTGTTTGATTATAAACGACACGATCGTATGCTGATAGAATGATACGGGCTAGCCATTATAATAATAAAATAGTTTCCATAAATAAATAAAACGTCAGCTGTTGCTCAACAATTAAGGGACTGACGCTTTGAATCGTAAAATACGGTACTGTCCAAGTAATTGTTGAATACGATTTCACTATGTACCTAAAGTTACGTTCAACTCATGCTCTGTTGACCCCTCTGCTTGTAGTGAAATCGTGTTAGCTTGCCCATTGTACAATAGATGGAAACTTGATAATATGATTTGTTCTGTTGACTGTGTTTCGGGTTCCGTGTCGCAAAGTCGGAAACCGATCGACCTAATGATATTTCCAGAAGTAGTATGACCTCCTATAAGACTTTGTTGGGTGAATTCCGTTGTAGAAGACGTTGAGATTGGTTCTGCAGGTGCTGCTGAGACAGATGTAATGGTATGAGTGCTGAGACATGAGGTACCGATCAACATTAGTGCCAACCCAAAGTTAGTGGTGAGCAATTTCCGCCTCATGGCCGATCTCTGTATTTAAAGGTTTGTGGTTGTCTACGTGGTATGTGGGCCGAATTCGACTGAGCAGGTGGGTTTTGTTGTTATGCGTTGAAGGAGATAAGAGAGGTGGAGAAAGCTTGATCACAGAACAATAAGAAAAAGTATCAAGAGTTGTATACAATGAATTGATAGTTAGAAGGGGGTATGATCTGAGGATTACGATAAAGGGGAAAAGAGGAGTTGTGAAAAGATCCTTGTGCGAGTGAAAAGTAAAGGAGTGCAATTAAGTCAAGTAGTCAAGTAGCTATGCTTCAAGGATGTAGAGTGTATGGGAAGTTTAGTGCCAGATAAAAAGTTAAGCATAGCAATGTTGAGTATATGTGGTATCGAGATATGGATGCGCTTGTAACATAGATATATGAATGATGTGAATAAGCATGGAGAGGCCGTGTAAATGAAAACAAATAGTCGAATGAATTGACATGTAATGAATTGGTGTATGCTGAAATATTGCTAATGCTTTGATAGTCTTTCTTTTCTATTTACATATTAGGGCAGAACGTCAACCTTCAGATCACGGGAGTAACGTAAAATTGAGAAGAAAAAGTAAAAGAGGAAAAAAATGAACGGTAGGAAAAAAAAAAAAAAAAAAAAAAAAAAAAAAAGAGAAGGAAAAGACATTCATCTCTTGGCGTGCTTGGCATTAGTCCTAGTAATAGGAAAGGAACAAAGAGAAAAAAAATCGTTGAGTTGCGGCAATGATTACCGAGTGAGTAGGTCCACGGTTGAGGAAGAGAGTGCATGGTTCTTAGCCCCTTTTAGATGTGCATCCTATATACACGATTTACACAAACCGAGACCATATTCACGCCAACCCCATTTGAATCGCATTTAGAGCTTTTGTTTCAATGCTTCTTAATATATCCAAATATGTTTGATGCTCTTATTTTAGTATACTTTATAAAATTTTACTGATTTCAACCTCCTGGATCCTTTGTACTGCATCCTTTTTTTTATTTTTTATTTTTTCTTTTTCAACACAGAGTGGTACTGGATGCTTTAAGTTGTAATTGTGATATTAATGGAAGTCAATATAAAAATAAAAACAAAAGATAAAAATGTCATCGAGGACGTGTAGGAATGATTGTGGTACCATTCCATCAATTTTTAAGTCTACGCAGCAGATTTAAAAAAAGACTTTAGGATGTGTTAGAAGATTAAGGCAACATGCCTGAATAAAAAAAAAAGGGGGGAACATGCCACAGACCACAAATAAAGTATTGGACTTAGCCCCGTGAAAAAAGTATTTCTTATTAAGACGCCTCCAGCGTTTCGCATATTGAATGATTACTAATAAGAGACAAATTCCGATTTTGAGCACGCATTAAAGTTACACAGCGTCAGGCATTCCTCGCACGGACCAAGTCGCTTTAATTTATTTATCTATATTTTTTTTTTTGTGGAGTCTGGAGTCCTCTTTGTAGTTTAATCGGGATTGGGCAAAACTTTATTTTTTAGAACGGCAGAACACCGAAATGTTGATTCAGAATATCCTGATACCAAGGTCAAATCTGGGATGTTTTATGAGAGCTTTACTTTTTCTACTAATGATGCCTCAAGAGAAGCAAGATCTTGACCTTGGCAAAGTGTTGGCATGTGGTTATCAATCACAGCCTTGACGCTGGCTTTGAGGGCAGAGGATGCAGATGCTTTCTCAACAGTATGGCCAAATTTAACCAGTTGCTCTCGGAGTGGACCATTGCTGGGGTCAATCTTGAATGCTTTTAGGAGTGACTTGAGCGCCAAAAGCAGTTTATCTATTTAAAAAAAAAAAAAAAAAAAAAAATGAGAGAGAGTTGGTAAGTGACTTTGAACAAGACAACCTTTTTTTTTTTTTTTTTTTTTTTTTTGGTACATACTCTTGCGGATATAAATGTCAAAGGCTATAAGATGTGTCTCAATCTTATTGCCAGCCAGATCTTGCAAGGGCTTCAAGAACTTTAGGGTTTCTGCCAAGGGGTCTTCCTTCAGTATCTTCCTCCACTAGAGCAACAGCAGCATTAGAGCCTGCTTTCTTGGATGCTTCTAGTGCAGCAGCGTTAGCCTTCTTTCTATCCTCAGCCTCTTGCTGTGCCTTGAGCTCTGCCTTACGTTTCTTATTACGGAACTTTTTCTTTTCTGCTTCTGTCATGCCCTTCATCGCCTCATCGTCTTCTCCATCAGGTTTGTCAAAGATAGTCAGATAGCACTGAATCGCACCATGGGCAGCACGAACATAGTATGGGTGAGAACGAAGTTGATCTTCTAAGCGTACAAGGCTATGCGATTCGAAAGTTGATTGATAGGAAAAGAAAAGAAAAGAAATAAAAAGAGCATTCGAATAGGTTATCAAAAAGCTTGACTAAGGATATTATCCAAGACTTACGAAACATAGGCCCTCAATGTCATCTTGCGGGGACAGTATGTGTGGAAATCGAATTGGTCTTCTGTATAGTCGTTAAAGTGCTGATGATGAAGAGCAGGAAAAAAAAAAAAAAAAAAAAAAGTTGAAACTAGATTCTTTAAGATCGCATTTCATATCCAGCGGAGAAACGTATTCATTAATACCTTCTCTATCTGATGGAAACGTCTCAAAGCACGACCAATTTGGCCCTGTCGAAGATGACTCTCACCCGCGGCAAGTGCAAACCATTGAGCCTGCATTTCCACGAGATCGTTTAGAGGATTGACGATATCAGCACGAGTGAACATGACGATGGTCTTCTCTGCCTCTGCCATTTTGTCGGCTCGAAGCATATACTTTGTACATTTTGTATTGATAAATCGGTCCTGTAAATCCAATTGCCTGGCTTCATTCAATGCGTCCATTGCTTTGATGTATTCGCCTGCATGTTTCAAAATACGCCCCTTGATCATGTATAGCTCCACAAGTGTTGGTGTGTGCTGAATAGCCTGTTCGATGTATTCAAGAGCCTTATTGGTATCTCTCTTGTAATCAAAGTGCTGAGCCAAGAAGTAAAGTGTCCAGAGAAGTGCCGTCGGCGGCTCAATGATTGACCCTATTTTGAATGACTCACGGAAGACAAAGTTGTCAGCGTACTGTCTCAGGTTGATACATCACCAAAGATGGGAAGCAGATGAACTGAGCATATGATCTTTACCAGAATGATCAAAGCCTTTTGATTTCTCCAAAGCAGCTAAATAGCCAAGAGCTAGTTTTTCCACCGCCTTCTGCTTCTCTTTATCCGCATAGAGGGATTTGATGTTGACAAACAAAGAGGGGACACCCTTCCTGAGCATGTTACGAAGGTATTTGTCAGTGATCTTGACAAACTCTTCACCAGTCGCATAGCGTAATGGTAACCGCTTAGCAGCATTGGAGCGAGGATACTCCTTCTGAAGACTCATGAAAAGATCTAAAACCTTTGATTGCTGCTCCTCTGTCAGTTTCCCATTGTTTCTATTATCACCACTGCTGTTCAGCAGATTCATGCTCTTCTGAAGACCCTCAAAGTACGCCACATTGTCGGGATTGATAGCTAGTAGAGCCCTATATGCCTCCTGAGCTTCTTCCATATGTCCAAGAGCTAAGAGGTATCTAGCGCGGTTCTCTTTGATAGCTTTATGGTCGCATACTTGCTTCTCGATTGCGTCCAGATGTTCCAGTGCCTCTTGGATTTGACCCGCCTCCTCCAATAAGCTGTTATGATAGAGCAACATTTCACTATGCTCATAATCTGGAGTTGTAGGAAGATCCTTGAGAGTTTCCTCATACGTAGCCAAGACCTTGACGCCCAGTTCAGGCTTCCCCAAAAGCTGATATGCGATCGCAACAGTTACCCAGTACTGGCGATTTTGAGGACGCAACTCCAGCAATTGGTGACGTGTGTCGAGGTATCCTTCCAAATTACGCATCTGCATCTGAAGCAAGGAAAGATCGCGAAGGATTTGGATGTTCTCCTATGGTACGCCAAAAGAAAGGAAGGGGCGAAAGTGATAGATTGATAGATAGTAAAAGCTGGATCAGATCATGAACAAAAATGGATGGCTGTACGGACAATAGACTCATCAAGGGGAAAATCATTTGATTTGAGAGTACCTTATCATACTTGAGCGCATTAATGTAACATTTTGATGCTTCTTCATAATTCTTGTCCGATCTATAGAGTAAGCCAAAAACATGCCAGCCTGGAGGATGATAATGGTTGATAGCGGTCGATAGTGATGATAATGGTTATGATGGCTGTCAGTCGTTTCAAGTATTATAAATGCCATCATGGGTCTTTTGAATGATGGAGTTGATCCCATGGTATTCAGATCATTTCAATGCGACTCTTTTTTTTTTTTCTTTTTTTTTTTTTTTTTTTTTTTTTTTTTTTCAATCGGTTTCCATCGTTGTCCTCGTCCTTTCCTTACAGATATGACTTTTCAAATCTTGACGAAGGCCCTTCTTCACAAGCTCATACGCTTCTTCTTTCTTGTCCATTTGGTTATAGAACAACCCTTTCATTGCAAGGGTTTCTGTTCAAGATGACGGATAATCCCCGAAAAAAAATAGTCAACTTCAAGGTACAAATCTATACACACTAACCACACATAATCAGCTGCTATAATAAAGATAATACCTCCATGATCAGGGAACTTTCTTAAAATCTGTTCTGCACCCTTAAATCCACGCTTGTACTGCTTCGATTGGTAACATTCCTAAGTAGATCATTCCATTTATTTTTCACTGATCAGTTTTTATTTTGTTCATTTCTTTTTTCTTTTTTTAAAAAAAAAAAAAAAAAAAAAAAAATCGTTACCAATATTTCTCTGAAAAGGTTGGCTTCCTTGGGTGGTAGTTCTTTCATTCTTTATAAAAAAAAAAAAAAAAAAAAAAAAGGGTAACAATTACTGCTAAATGTGGTGAATGTAAGACAATTGTCCCTGAAAAGTAGGCCTGAGGACGAAGTTCATGCACATGCCGAAAGGCAAATGTGGCTTGCTCTTGCAAACACCTCTTAAATTTCATTCTCACCATTCTTTTTTTTTTCTAAGTCCAGACAACTCTTTTTTTTCTATCATTCACACCACAGAGAATGATTTTTTTTTTTTTTTTTTTTTTTGTATAGGACTTAGCTTGGAAAAAAATGCCCTTCCCTGTGGTATGTATGACTTTGAAAAAAAAAAAAAAAAAAAAAAAAAAAAAGAGTTCTCGGGACTTAGGGACTTTGGCGGACTTCCGAGCCTCGGGTCAATTCAATCGGCCAAACAAATCTCCAGAAGTTAACCCACCTTTTAAAAGAAATGGTCTAGCGAAGGCATGTGTGATGCTGGCCTGACATGGACAGAGCAGTGTGCCTTGATAGATCTGGAGCGTTTGTGTCAAATTCAGGGCGTTCTGAGATGTGGCTGTTTGTCTGCATCATCAGTTGACCAGCCGCAGCAGTATTGCACATAAAGTTTAGCTTCGTATTAATGCATGATGTGTTTGCGGATTGAGATTCAGATGGTCTAACAGGCCACCCCACCAATGGACCACTCTCGATGCTGTTCGAAAATCCTCGGATACTGGTTGATTAATCGGGTTTGTATCACTACTTGGATTCGCGCCTTGTGATTGCTGAGATACAGCTCTTGCTTATTGCCTAAGCTCTGCCTTTCCTCAACCCAGCCTGCGTCCATTCTCCAGCGCACGTACCAGGCTTGGCAGATGCCAGGATGACATACTTTTTCTATAGTATAATTGTCGTTTCTAACATCTGGCTAAACAATCTACTGCTAACGTCAACGAATCCAAGGGCCACCAAATCGGCCACAGTTATAGCAAATATAATCATCTCACGGAGCTAGATGACATTTATATATATCATACTAGTTCTCAGTGTAAATACTCTGCGTTCAAAGGCATGTAAAAGAGTAAAGTAAGACAGGAAGTAGTCTAGATGAGCTCTATTTACAAGTACTGGGACTGTCTCATTGTGTCAGAGATTCTATCTCTGAAAGAATAACATCATTGGAAAGGTTACATTTCGCCCATACTTTCTAGACAATTTCCATATATAATAATTCTAGATACTCCTATATACGACCATCTTTCATTACAGTATAAATGTAGGAAGCCTAGATAGGAAGAGGAACAACTCTTGTCAATGCAATTCTCCACTCACCTAGTTCAATCCAAGTCCCCAAAACTCTTACAAAGTGTCTAATTTTGCAGTATTGGGTTTGCTTCTGATGTCATGATCCTTCTTCGTCGCAACTTGGATGAGATATTTCGGAGCAATTAACATATCCACACAGGCAAAGGTCTTGCTTTTTGGGGACCATGGCGATCCTTGCATTTTTGTCCTTGTAACATTAAATGAAAAAGGAAGAGAGGGAGAGCAAAATTGACGGGAGAAAAACTCGAGGGAAATATGAAAAAAGTGAAAAGGATAAAGGAAGGGGGAGAGTGCAAAAATGAAATGAAGCAATTGAATGAAAGGAGCGATAGTTGCTATTTCAAGGAAGGCTGTGTGAGAAAAAAAAAAAAAAAAAAAAAAAAAAAAAAAATCAGCCACATATCATTTTCTTGAAGAGAGTTCCATCATAAACAGTGCGCGAAGAACTAGGTTAATTAGGGTTTCTATTTTATTTATTTGCTTAATGATTAGACGGTGTTTATTACACTGAAGAAATAATTTAATACAAGTGTATGTTATTCATGATTCGCGGCTCAAGAATGTCCCCCAACGAACAATACGTACACTTGCACGCCTAAGAGCCTTGCTGGCCGGGCTTCGGAAAAGACGATTCTGTAGCTTATTGACCTTTTTTGAATCTTCTGCTGGCTGTTGTTGTAGTTGTGGTTGTGATTGTGATGGTGATTGTGATTGTGTTGCCCACTCCTTCTCTCTTGACAATATGCTCCCATACACCATCTTCTCTCTCATTGTTCTAACAAGATCTAACGACTGGGCTCTTCGTATTATAGAAGCATCACCTCTCGCAGGAAACTGGTCATGATGAGCTGCTGCCACTGCTGATGATGATGATGATGCTGATGCTGATGATGATGCTGATGTTGCTGCTATGCTTCGGTTCCACTCACTACCATCGTATCGATGGTCTGATCCCAATGTTATATAGTTATTCACCATCACCGCACTTGGATTATGTATGCTCATAGGTCGGAATTTTCCAGCTTGACATCGTCCTGGAGATAGAGAAACGGGTGAATTAATCTGATTCATCGATTGCGGTGGTGGGCTTGTTTGCCACTCATATTCTTCGCTATCACTATAGCTTTTGAAGCCATTCTCAAAGAATGTGTTCGTCTTTAAATTAGAGCCTTCGCCTTCACAGGCATTATCATGGTGTATGCCCTCCAAGGATGTTTGATTTGATACAGGTGATCTCACTTCTGGCTCTGATGCTTTTCTCGAATTGCCATATTGGAGTTGCCGGGGGGTTGGAATAGGAGAGCCCCCCGGAGATAAAATGTCATCAACACTGTAGAAGCTAAAGGCTTGTTCTCGCGTTGAAGTCCTAGACAAGTCGGCTGTGGTCTCTCTCGGCGATGTACAGGACATTCTGTAGAGGACATCAATGAACATGTCAACAACCTCGTCTGAGATCTGATAATGGAGAACGACCCTTGCAGAATATCCACTTCCACTAATCTTGATACCCGCCTTGGCCAACTCGGTCGAGAGCTCCTCCACAGTGAACCCTGCGTCCTTTGTATCGATCCAGATCATATTAGTGTCCACGGGATTCGTGATACGACATCGAATCTGCAGGAAAGCATGCTCGAGCCGCCGCGCTTGGCGGTGTGTAATTTCCATAGTGGACCAGTTGGTCTGGATACACCAAAGCGCTGCCTCAGCTAAGAATCCGGCTTGTCGCCATCCACCACCAAAGAGCAGCCTGAAATGCCTTGCCTTTTTAATTGTAGCCTCACTTCCGACTAGGATAGAACCAATAGGCGCTCCAATCCCCTTAGAGAGGCATAGCGAGATCGTATCGAATTGGCTGCAATATTCTTTCATTGAGATCCCCGTTGCGATCGAAGCATGCCATAGTCGAGCACCGTCGAGATGAAGCTTGATCCCATGTTTTTTACTCAGTTGACGGATCCGTACAATTTCTTCAAGAGGCATGATTGTACCATTGAGTGTGTTCTCGAGTGAGATGACCCTAGTTGGCGCATAATGCACATCAATGTCCATGACCAGACGCGGTGAAATATCTTCTATTGTTAGGTATTGACCGTTGGATGGCATAATGGGGTAGACTGCTGCTTGTGAGTGAAAGGAGATACCACCAGCTTCATAGTTAAAGACGTGTGAGCGGATATCTACCATGGCTGATTGTGGCGGATTTGATAGATGTACGCGATGAGCTAATTGATTGGTCTGGAAGATTTTGAAAAAAAGAGGGGGACTCCCGCATTAGAATGAATTAATTCGAAACGTTTTTTGATAATCTGATAATTGTCATAGCGCTTTCATTACCATTGTTCCCGACGCACAATATAATGCAGACTCATGCCCACAGAGGATTGCCACATAGCGCTCTAATGCCTTGACTGAGTCATCCTCGTTGTATACATCGTCTCCTAGTGAAGCCTTTGCCATTACCGCAAACATATCTGGGGTTGGTGCCGTGGCTAAAACAGTAGCATTAACAAAAAATCAAAAAAATCAAAATAAAAAAAAAAACGGACGAAAAGAGGAAAAAAAGAGGAATAAGTAACGAAAGGAAGATCAAGATCGAACAAGCGAACCAAAGGTAATGATATGGCGAATGAAGTTGACTGGGTAACACTATCTGCATTTACCGGTATCGCTTCTAAAATCTGCATATGGTAAAGGGTTGAACGTTTTTGTTGCTTTCTGCATGATGGAAATAATAATAATAATAATAATAATAATAATAATAATAGTGGTAATAATAATAATAATAATAAAAGGACTTGATGTTTCGTGCAGGCTGGAAAACGTAGAATTATTAAAGATCACTAGGATGTATATAAAAAGCAAAACAAAAAAAACAAAAAAAAAAAAAAAAAAAAAAAAAAAAGAAATGGGCCGTTAAGATATCTTCTTGCATTTAAATATGAAGAGAACATTCAGTAAGCTCTCCATCAGGGGTACACATCTAACACCATTTCGATCCTTCTTATCCAAGGGGCATATCCAAAGAAGGAAAGGGCAGCAAGGATCACAGAAAAGGGATAAAAATGGACTTTGAGGGTTCAGTTAGATGGAAAACATAGGTGAAGGGAATAAACATTTCCATGAGTGAGCGCGCCTAGAGATGACCCTGGTTGCAAAACAAGGCAGAAGCGGAATGGGTGATGGAACGTATTGATGTTGGGAAAGGTTCCAAAATGTCGGATTGAAGTGATCTTAAAATGTATCGTTTCTCAGGCGCCATGCATGGTATACATATGGCCATTAATGTACTCTATTGGTAGCATGAAATGGAGGAAAGATCAAGGTAAAGAGATTGTTACCATGCAATGGAAATACGAAAAAGAGATGGAAACGAGAAGGGATATGAGGTGGAGGAAAGGGGGCGGTTCTTCTCAGTTACAAGGAGTGATGGCTCAATTTAAACAGTAGGGCAATAGGAGCAGAACAAAGAGAGGGAAGGAGAACCACTCCATTGATGTCTAAATGCAATGATCCGGCGTGACATTTTTCAAACAAATGCGCCGGAGCTGTGCGTCATTCATGCACACTTATTCACACACATAAAAAAAAAAAAAAAAAAAAAAAAAAACTAATGGATATAAAGGTCAAGGGGAAAGCGAGTGGAGCCAATAATAGATTTAATGTGTGGGCGACAGTGGAGTTGAAGGCTGGGGAGTGTTTGATAGAAAAAAGTTATGCACGCAATGATTAAATATTTTCATGCGTGTAAAGATTTTTCTCCCTGGAGATGTTTTCATGTGCCACCAAGCAACGGTCTGATCTATTGGCCAATTTCAATGTTGCAGCACCAAAGCACTGGCCCTCGTCTAATACTATGGTCACTACCATATTACACCCAAGAGGATAACGGATTGGTCGGATAGTCGGGGTCATAGGGGTTCTCTTGTTTTGTAAATAGGGGGAAGCATACATTTGCGACTATTAAAAATTCGCTCCCCAGCAATCCCTGAATCGGTGTTGGCGCAAGGACCTTCACTGGGAAAAAAAAAAAAAAAAAAAAAAAAAAGGTCTTTTCTTTTTTCCGCTGCTTCCAGACTAGGATCAAGTAAAACCAGATGAGCAAATGAAGCGATCGACAAAAACGCAGATCTGTTCCTCTCACATTTCTCTTCTATTATGGCATGCATTTTGCGTTGCAGTGTGAGCAGAGGAGCAATGTGGGCTGTGGTCGTCATGACCTTGAGTCAAACCATCGGATGTGAAAGCTCCTTGGGGCTCTTTGCAGGAGTAATCAGCACATTGCGAAGCACACAGCGTTTTTCAAAGCTCATTATGATATTGAGCTGTGATCATGAGGAGTCATGCGAGAAAGCCCGAACTGAAGTTTATACAAAGCTGCATGATTCCTCTCCCCTTACTGGCCTCGCGCCCCAAAATATTTATTTATGAACTATTCTGATTTAGCAGGCAAGAGGTTCAGGGGAAATTGTATATATTTTAATACAACTGTAATCTCCATTCTTCTCAAGCTCTCTTGATTGGTGCAGGTCCCTCGTGAGCGCGATAGAAAAAAGTGTGGAGGTACAAATCACCCCTTCTCTCTTTTGCTTCTGCTGCGTCGTTCCAACGAACGAAATGATGGGTTTATTGACTACAAAAGTTGACCACGATGTCCAAAGTAGGAGAGGATATTCAGTGGTGGCACATGGTGTTCAACCGTCCTTCATCGTAGGCGCGCCATGTGTGTGGATCGACGCGTTTTTTTTTTTTTTTTTTAAAAGTCCGCTATGAAAATGAGATCCAGCGCAGTCACGCTCCGAACACATTTTATTTCCTCGCTATTCACACTTACACGAAAACCCTCTTCTCGTCTATGATCATGAATTCACTTCGTCTTCTCTCTAGGAATGTGCAACAGATCGCACGCTCAACTGCACAAGGCATGCACAGGCTTGTTTACTCACATTATACGAATCTGATCACAAACGAGAAAATGAGTAAACTTTCTCTCTTTTTTTTACACAGTTGCTCATTAACCAATTGTCCACGAAAATTCATTACATAGTCCGCCATTTCCAAAGCACGTCGTTGCTGCTGACAGGCAAGGTCCATGATGCTACTGATAAGAACTTTCAGGAGCTTATCACTGCCAAGGAACCTGTCCTTGTCGATTTTCACGCAGAGTATGGGGGACGCAAACATTCTGTTGATTTTTTTTTTTTTTTTTTTCGAAAAAAAAAAAAAAAAAAAAAAAAAAAAAAAAGTTGTATAAAAAAACTGCTAGTAATCCAAACGTTCTATTCCATTGATCTCGTATTAAATTCTCTTTCATCCAGATGGTGCAGACCTTGCCATACGCTCGACCCTATTCTTCGTGATGCGGTCAAAAAGTCTGGTACTGTTACCCTGGTCCGCGTCAATGTCGATGACTGTCCTGAGACCTCCACACAGTTTCAGGTTTGTGATTTATTTTTATTTTTATTTTATTTTATTTTATTTTTTTTGTTTTTTTGCTTTTTATTCTATAAAATGATGTCCTTCAAGTAACGAGCTGAAGTCTAATTAGAATGGTTTCTTTTTGGAGAATGAATTAGATTGCCAGCATTCCTTGCGTTATGGTCTTCAAGAATGGGCAACCAGTTGACAAATTTGTAGGCGCATATCCTAAGGACGTAGTCAATAGCTTTGTGCAAAAGCATGCTTGAGTGTGCTCAAGTTAGTTAAAGATCCTTGTGGTTAGATAGCCTTAGTTTTTTTTTTTATTTTTTTATTTTTTTTTCCTTTACATAACCATAAAGCGTATCATCAATGCAGGGTTCATGGCTCATTTGCTCAGGGTTCAGGGTTCAAGAATCAAGGTTCGAGACCTTGTGGTTGCATATGAAAGGAAGGAGAAGCTTTTTTTTTTTTTTTTTTTTTTTTATAATCAATTTTACAATTTTACAATTTTACATGAAGAAGCTTTTACTATTCGAATTAAAAGATTAGATGCTTATATATATATATATTAATGCAAGCTGAATGTGCCCTAAAAAAAAAAAAAAAACGTAGAAAAGCATGCAATAGAAAGATAGCTTGCATGATCAAATCACTATGCATGCACTGTTCCTGAACTAGTGCCTGATAGGTATAATGGAAGAAGGATTGTTCACTCTATCATCCTAAGGTTAACTTTGTGGCCAACCGAACGGCCATGTAAGCTTTCTTTCTAAAATAAAATAAAAATTAATAAAAAAAAAAAAAAAAAAAAAAAAACTTTTTTTTTTTTTTTCTTCATTCTGATTGGATTTGAATTCATCATTGAATTTGCAACATGATTGTCAAAAACATCATTTTTGATCTCGACAACGTCCTTCTACGTCTGGATTCGTCTGCGACAGCCAAAAAGTTCCAAGCGTTGGGTGCTACCGACCTTGGTCCTTTGTCTCAATATAGCCACTCTACTCCCATTGTTGGATTTGAAACGGGAAAGATCTCTGCAAGAGAATTCCGTTCCACGATCCGATCCTCCATTGGTTTACCAGCCTCTGTGACGGATGAGCAATTTGATGAGGCCTGGAATGCCGCCCTCCTGGATTTCCCCAAGGGTCGTCTAGAGTTGATGAGGACTCTGAAGAAGGATTTTGGATACAACGTTTATTTACTGAGCAACACGAATGCGATCCATGTTGAATACATCAACAAGGTGTGCCTCAAGGATTCCAAACAGGATTCATTGGACGTGTTCTTTGATAAAGTTTATCATTCACATGAGATCGGACATCGTAAGCCGTCCAGGGAGGCATTCGAACATGTGTTGAAGGATCAAGGCATTAATGGATCAGAGACACTTTTCCTGGATGATATGCCTGATTATGTTGATGCTGCCAAGACATGTGGATTGCAGGCAGCCCAGGTTGATGTTGAGACAGATCTAGGCTTTCTTCAGCTTCGATTTTAAGTCATAATAGTGCTAAAGAAAAGGAAAAAATAAAAATAAAAATAAAAATAAAACAATATAGGTCTAATCGGGGATGTAATAATATATAAAAAGCTTTTTCCACTTTTTTGACAAATGACTTTTTGATGAAAAGATGAGACATTGGAATGAGAATTTAGTGCACTGGGAAAACGATGAGATTCATTTTGGCTTATTGTTTTATCATTGTGGCGAATCATGCGCGCGGTATGTGTGTTTTTTTTTTTTTTTTTTGTCGCCACCAATTTTATACATTTTTTTTTTTTTTTTTATCTCTGAGCTGGAATGACAAACTTTGCCGTAAAGCTTTGCCACAGCCTTTTGCAGAATAAAAGAACCTTTGTCCTGCCTACGGAAAGGTAGGGGGTGAGGGGTGAGGGGGGGGGAAGAGGAGAGGAAGTGGGAGGTGGGAAAAAAAAAAATGGATTTGGGTTCGAACGATTCAAATGTTTCTTATTGTTATATTGTTGATACGCATTGACTGCCGAAAAACAATTCATATTCTTTTTACAAAAGTACAAAAATCCATATAAAATGCATATTTTGTTTCTATCATCGCCGGTTAGTTGACCCGACATGAATATAACCAAAAGCGACAGAGCTTTGACTTTTTTTTTTTTTTTTTTTTTTTTTTTTTTTTTACAAATCATTCGTTTTCCATTTAGAAAAGGGGTGTACAGATAGGGTATTCAAAGATAAAGAAGGAAAAAGGTGGATACACAGAGAATAAAGGAGAGTACATGTAGAGGATTAGAGCAAAGGGATGGTGATGAAAAGGAACTTTGGCGATGATCAGGGGACCGGACTAAATGTTTGCCATGACCACTGACCCAATTTTATTGTGTTTTCTCTGTCTTGACTGCTGTTCATCAGAAGAGTGCCGCTCCTTTGCTCTTTTTTTCTTCTGCAGGATTGGTCCGTTAATGTAATGATATACCAACACAGAATCAGATACAAGCGGTATATTCAATTGATGAAGGGGATGGATGGGAAAGGAAAAATGTTCATTCACTTTGTTCAAACATCTTGTGTCAAGCAAAGTATTTTTTTTTTTTTTTTTTCTTTTGGTCTTCGCCAATTTTCTTTCTTGTGCCTGTCTACTTTTGGTCATCGTCGTCATCTGGTATGGCATTGAATGAGTACATGTGCAAAAGCAACTTGGTCAATTTATTCAATCTATTCAATCCATTCAATGCATTCAATGTAACAATAAAATCTTTATTTATAAAAGTATATATAAATATATATCCCAAATGAATGTCTTATTGTCTTCCTCTTGGTTGCTTGCATTGTTGTTGCTGTTAATGATGTTCTTTTTTATTTTTCAATAAATCTGTGCGGCAACCCTTGGTATGCGTACGACGCTTTTCTTCTTCTCTTTCTTTCTTACAGTAACAATCATTCCTCGCCCCCATTCATAGCCACACCCTTTTTTTTTTTTTTTTTTTTTTTCTTTTTCTTTTTCTTTTTCTCTATATCTTTTACTTCTCTTGTTTTCCCTTGATCATCTTCACCTGCACAACAACAATAGCGACGGTGTTAACGCCTCTATTACCATTATTACTGGATTTTCCTTCGTTCTCTATAAAACATCCTTTGCTTTCCGGGCTGTGTTCGGTTAATGTAAGCAACAGGTGAGGATCGAATGGGGCAATGCTTTTGCACAACTCCTTCCACCCCACCCTTTCTTTCTCTCACTCACACTTCTGGGGGACCGTCTATCCTTTTAAGGAACATTCCAATGTTAACAAGTCACCTGAGTTGACTTTTTGTAGTTTGTCGTGCCATCGACATTTCAATTGTTGAATGTCATTCATTAGGTTTACTTCATTTCTTGTTGTGCAACAACGATGACAACCTTCTGGGCGGAAAATTGGGAACTTTGGTATGACGATCACTATAAAAAGAAAAGAAAAAGAAGAATGGGAAAGGGAAAGGGAAAGGGAAAGGGAAAGGGAAAGGGAAAGGGAAAGGGAAAGGGTCCACAAAGAAAATAAAAAAAAAACATGACAAAGAGAGCACGGATACAATCCAGTCGTTTTTTCGGGTAGCTTGGATCAGAGCTATCCCTGTATCAAAAAGAGAGCCGTATTGAACCAAAAAAAAAACATTGGCATGGCATGGCGCGGCATGGCATGGCATGGCATGGCAAAAAGCGTGGCATGGTATGGGCGCTTTGTTGTTGTTATTGTTTTTTTTTTTTTTTTTTTTATCCGATGCAAAGATGCAAAAAGAGTAAGAGAGAATTACACAACAGTAGTGAACACAAAAAAAAAACGCAATACGCAGGAGCAACAACAGAAAGTCAGGGCTCTCAAAAAAGGATCCTTCTTCACAACACAAGCACCCTGTTTTTTCTTTCTTTATTTTTTTTCTTTTTTTTGTTTAAAGAACGGTTTTTCAGGACATAGAAAAGCAAAAGGTTTTCTTTTTTAGGGTCGCTGCTCTTAGTTTCGTTTTTTTTTTTTTTTCTCTTTGCAATGCTTTCACGCATGTGCTTTGTTTTTTTTTATTTTTTATTTTATATTTTATCTTTGCTTAGCTTTGCTTTGCTTTGCTTAGCTGATTCTACTTTGCGTGGCTGGGATGTCAAATGAAATGAGCTAATCAACAATAGTTGAGGATCTATCGTCCTTCTAGTCCATCTTTTTTTTCTTTTCTTTTCTTTTCTTTTGGATCATGGGCCAACAAAAAATAAATAAATAAAGCAAAAGAAACTTTCGCGATGATAGACAAATTGGCACAAGACACAGATGGCTGACCTGAATCAAAAAAGTCGAATTGCTATTTTTTTTTTTAAAAAAATAAAAAAGGAGTGCAGGCAAAAGAGTAAAAAAAAAAGTAAGGGAAATACGGAAGGGGGGGGGGGGAAGACTTGTCCCGTCCACTCATGACCGTTGAGCAGATCAGGTAATGCCAAGTCATTCCAAAAGGAAAGGAAGGAAGGAACAGGGTTCGGTTACAGTGGAACATCAAGGATATGCATGTTCTTTTTACAGCTCTGGTCTTTTTGGTTGATCGGGACAGACAAGAGGAGGGAAGGGGAAGGGGGAAGGGAAAGAAGAAAAAGGTATTGACCAACTCTTCTTCATTGTTATCCCCTTCTTCCTATTCCCATACAATATTTCGTTTTGTTGTAATTGCCCTCTTCTTGTCTCATCCTTCTTCGATCCCTCATCAGCACTTTCATGTTCTAGTCATCCTTGATGAACATTTACTCTCTTCTTACTTTTCTGCACCCCAACACTGCAAATTACCAACGCACCCCCCCCCCCCCCCTGTCTGTTGACTTTTTTCTTTTCTTTTCTTTCTTTCTTTCTTTTTTTTTTTTTTTCAGTGGTAAGGGATCATTTCTTTCTTACGCGTCTCTTACTGAACCACGAATTCGTCATTTTATACATCTATTCGACTGTCCTTCCTCCTTTTCCCAGTCTCTTCTTACACACATACCACACGTTTTGCATGCTAAACTCGTAATAAAAAAAAAAGGGGGAACATGGCCAATAAGTGGACAATAAAAAAAAAGATGTTCAAATGTGAAATAGGAGAGCACAATGACAAAATAATAATAATAATAATAATAATAATAATAATAATAATAATAATAATAATAATAATAATAATAATAATAAAAATGAAAATAGGAGAGTGGATTGACTAGGAAAGGAAGAGAGAGAAAGAGAGAGAGAAAGATAGAGAAAGAGAAAGAGAAAAAGGGTAAAGAGTGGATAATCATGAATGGAGGGATGATTTGTTCCTGTCTACAATGCATGGGCATCGTGAGGAATGGAAAAGGAGACACAAACATAAAGTGAGATGATGCCAAGGGACGTTTTGTAACGCTGTGCATCCTATGCGTGCCTGGATGGCATCCCCACTCTTGATCTTCCATATTTATTTATTTGTTTTTTCTTTTTATTTTGTTTACTCCCATCTCAGTCCAGATCTGCTGTAACCTTTGTCAGGGCACCCTGACCTTTCTTGATATCTCTTTCTTTGTTGTTTTTATTTGGTGTTTCATCCCGTCCATGTTGATGCTGCCAGATGTGGCCCCTGGGGCAAAAAAAAAAAAAAAAAAAAAAAAAAAAATTATGCAGCAAAACAAGATATAAACTTCCTTTGCCCGTTCCTGTCGATTCAAAGATGACCCAGCTCTTCTCCTTTTCATTGTTACTTATTCGGTTTTTGTTTGTTTGTTTGTTTGTTTTGCTGATGTGCCAACACCAACGACCATAGAGACCTGCTGAACAACAGGACATCCATCATCAAGGGCCCAAAAGGATCGCACCGTCGCAGCCATCCCCTATCAGTCAATTGCCATTTGCTCTTATCCATTCTTTATACCCTTTAGGACAACATTATTTTATTTTTTTTTTATTTTTTTTCAAACACAAAACTTGTACATTCATATATACTCATTACAACTCCTTTTCCCTTTTTTTTTTTCTTTTCTTTCCGTCGCGGTCGTGCGCTGTGTACATATCTTGTTAAATATACACAAATATATATATTTCATTGCATGCCACCACATCCTTCCTTTTTCTGCTTCCCCTATTTCTCTTTTTATATATATTTGTATTTATTTATTCTATTTTTCATTGTTCTTTGCTTTTGTGCTCGGATATAAAAATCAAGTCTCGGCAAGCATCGCTTTCACTTTTTCTTTTTTATTTTTTCTTTTTCTTTTTTATACTCTCTTTACCTGAGCATCGCCACTTTTTTCTTTTTGTTCTGTTAGTCGCGCTAACCTTGGTTCCCCTTTCTCTTTCTCTTTCTCTTTCTCTCTTTCTCTCACATTTTTATTTTCATTTTTTTTTTCTTTGTCTTTTTCTTTTTCTTTTTCTTTTTCTTTCAATTTGGTTGATTCCAACGCACGATTTGCTCTGTCCTTCATCCTTGTTCACTCTCCATTCTCTCACCTTCATCTCCCTCTCTTTCTTTCCAGATCCCTCTCTCTCTCTCTCTTTCTTTTCCAGTTATAAGCCGCTTAACTCGTTACATCATCCTCCACCCTTCATTCGCTCCCTCTTTCATCGTTCAGAATCAAGTTTCATAATGGACGTTCCTCGTCCCTCAAAACTCTATCACAATCTACCGAGAATCATCACACATATTCCAGACTCCAACAGTACCTCATATCGACCCCATCCATTCCCATCCTCTCCCTCATCAGCTCATCCAATCAACCCTACGTTCTACCCTGTCCATTCTACCCCAACCTCCTTATCATCCATGTCTGCTATTTCACGAACGACTACCGTTGGCATGTCTGCTAGTTCCAAGAGGGCCAAGGAGGAGGTATGAAATATTCTTTTACGCTAATATAATATCACACGCTTTTTTTTTTATTCTCTTGAAATGTTGCACAACTCCTGCGGCAAAGGGTTGCATGGCTCATGTGTTCGTGCGCATGTTGATCTTGTTGCAATCACCATCGGAGGAAGAAAAGAGTTCAAACTGGGAAAAAAAAAAAAAAAAAAAAAAAAAAAAAAAAAGAACAATAGAGTTGAAGCGATGTGGTTCATTCCATTGATACATCATTCCCACATGTAACATCACACAATCAAATCAAACACAGCAATACAGTACGCCATGGATGGATGGATGGATAGATGGATAGGGTCAGTCGGACACACACACACACTTGCGCGTGCATGCTTTTTATTTTATTTTTCTATGGTGAAACGTCATGTTACTCTTTGTTTTATTATTTTTCTGTACTGGGACGGATAAAGAAGAATGATGGACAGAGATCTGTTTGACTACAAAAGATACCCACGATCTACAGAAAAGAAAAAAGAAAAAAAGAAAAGCATTTACACAGTTTCAGGAAAAGAAAGAAGAGACGGTTGTGCCTTTTGAGGTCATGCCTGCTTTTTCTGAACCCCTTCTTCACTCCTGTCTCCTGTCTCTTAATCATTCACTCTTAATTTCACTACGTAATTCATGCCCTTGACTCTGGTTTTGCTTTTATTCGTTGATGGAACAGGGCGCACGGAGTGGATTGCAACTTTGTGTGTTGGACGGCTTTTTTTTTTTAAATGCTTTTAATGCTTTTAATGCTTTTAATACTTTTAATGATTAGTATAATATATACCAATATATACCCTATTATTCCTTATTATATACTACTTATTATCTATTATTATTATTATTATGACTACTACGACTAAGACTACTTTATTTTAATGTATACTCCATTGTATTGACACTCCACCCCTTACAATCTTTGACAGTGTTACAATATTTATTGCTTACCAAGGGAAATTTATATTACACAAATCAAATATAAAGCATTGTAAATGCTTTTTTTTTACTTTGCTTCATGCTTAATATCAAAAAAAATACTTTGCTTCGGCATTCCTTTCAGCAGAGAGCCTTGACCGAGAGAAAGAAAGAAAGAAAGAAAAAATAATGACCGCTTTATGCATGTGCAATGCTTCGTTCCTTATTTTAAATATATTCAATCGATTAGGATCTGATTGATCTACATCCTATCCCATGTCTCCATATCCATCTCCATCTCCATGTCTAAATATCCTCCATATCCATATGTTCCTCATATCTATATATCCTCCATATATATATATATATATATATATATATATATATATATAATATAATATATCCATATCCATATCCATATCCATATCCATATCCATATCCGTGTCCCCATATCGTTATATCCCCTCTCCCTCCATATCTACATATCCCCATATCAATCAATCAAATCCAAATCCAAACCACTCAACCTGCATCTCTTATCCCGAATGTACATTTTGTAACAATGACTTTATTTCATTTCGTTTTATTTGCCCATGTGTTTCTTGGTTGTATCAACACCCGAGTATATCTTGATTTTGTTTAAAAGCCTTGGTCAACATATGACAGCAATCATTTTGCATTTTAAAAATCATTCCAAGGGGGTGATCCACCCAAACCTCAAAATGTCATCCAGATTATTTTCCTCCCTTTCCTGCATGTCAAAAAAACAAAAAAACATAAAAACAAAGATACAAAGCAACATATGCAATACAAAAGAAAAGAAAAAAAAAAATGCTAATCAGATCTTGTATTTCCCATCCATCTTATCCCCATACCACCATCTCTTTTTTTATTTTTTTATTTTTTTTATTGTTATTTTTTTATTTTTATTTCCTTGGATCTTTGTACGAATCTAGGTATGGCCTGAAGCTGTTGAAAAAGCTTTTATGGAAGGTAAGCATTCCCCTCTCCCCACATGAGAAACATTTGTGTGATCTGAACAAAATTAGCAACTCTGCATTCCTCATTTCAACTTTTATTATTATTCTTTTTTTTTTATCTCCGCATTCCATCATCTCGGTCACATTACATTACATTACACATTACAAAAAGAACAAGCATGGGTCTACGCCTGAAAAAAAAAAGCATATTTTTAACTGTGGGATGATTGCTTCTGTGTCATTTGGGTTCTTATTCTAAAGGGTACAGTCATATTATAATCATTGGAATGGGTGCTTTTGTATAAACAAACAATCTAACGAGTTTAAAAAAAAAAAAAAAAAAAAAAAAAAAAGGGACCTATTGTCCGTGTACGGGTTGGACAAGTGAGAGCAATATTGGACAAATGGATCTATTATATTAATGGGCAACTTTTATTTGCCCAATAGGACTCTATCAGTCCCTTGATTTCTATGGACCATGATTTGATAACACAGATTGAGCAATGCATATTATCCTTATTTGTGGTAGTACGTGCGTATAATTTTTTTTTTTTTTTTTTGCTCTATTGTTCTATTGAACAATAAAAAAAAAAGAAAAGAAAAGAAAAGAAAAGGGCTCTTTTTGTTTAAAATTATTTGTTGACAGTTATAAACACTCGGCGAAGCAAGGCTGTGGACCGGGGAGTGCGGAGATGCAGGGTTGGGAAAACAACAACAACCCTTTTCTCCCTTTGACAATGTTTTTTTCTTTGAAAAAAGAATCTGGTGCATGTCAGCGTGTAAACTCCATGTTTGTTTACCCCCTCGTACGTCGGCTTGGTCTTTTTTAAATTTGATATTGCAATTTCTTTCAAGACATGATGTGTCACCTTGTGCAAAGGAAGAAATACCGACTAGTGCATGTAGTGCAATTGACTAATCTGAAAGAGTCATCGGATCATGAGATCAATGGACGATGGGAAGAAGCCCTTGCAATGGCCCCATGAATAACCATTTCCTCCCCCCAACATCAAAATGCCAATGATCAAGATCAATGAACAAACATAACCGATTATTATCATCAGTTGTACTTTCCATTACTTCTCCCTCCCACCTAATTACCGCGCAATATACTTCCTGAACACAAGCACGCGTACATGAATGTACATGAGCTCTTTACTTCATTTTTAAACGTTTCATCACACCAAAAGACAAAAGAATGAGCCTGCTTTCTCCCACTCAAATCCAGCGGGGTCTCAATCGCACCCAACGGTCCCCCGTATTCTCATTGTCCCATTCATTCTGGCACGGGAGGGAGTTTTTTTTTTTTTTTCTTTTTTTCTTTTTTTTTCTCTCTCCTTCTTTTGCTGTTGTTGTCGTTGTTGTTTTTAAATCCATGGCATGCATATCGAGATTTTTGATGGAAATTACTTTTTTTTTTTTTTTTTTTACTAGTACTTGACAATGTATGACCTTCATCCTATTGACGCTCTTTTCTTTTTTCTTTTTCTTTTTTTTTTTTTGGTCCCTCAATGGTTCCCAATCTAATTCCTGACTCATAATAGCCATTGCGGAGATCCCCAAGCTGGGTCGTCGCAAGGTGCCCCTACACGAGAAACATTATGGTATGTGATGTGACGTGAGATCCAATTATGCAATTAAAGAATTTATAATTTTCATGCTTTGTATCACGTCCGTCAAATTAATAAAAACCAAATGAGCCTGGCTCATACATCATATATCTCTCACCCAAATGAACCATCTAACCCTGAATGAAATATATCCCTTTTGTCGTATTCCCCACTCGATGGGATCTAGGTCGCAACGAATTAATTGCAGCATACATCTACAAGGAAACACAGCAGTCAAGGACTCGAAAACAAGTTTCATCCCACATTCAAGTGCTCAAGAATACGCGCAAGGAAGATCTGACCTGTAAATAGACTTTTCCCCTTTCCATTTTTGGCCCAAAAAGAATGTTCTCTCAAACATTATCGCTCTTTGTGTATTTTATACTAATATTACGCAATTTTTTTTTTTTTTTTTTTTTTTTTTTTAATGGGCAGTGATGGAACTATTGTCAGATGGATCACCAGACGATAGCAACGACCCAACATGGCTAGAGGCAGCAATGGTCAAGATCCGCAAGATATTTGGCGAAGACAGACTGCAAGATTCTCCACCTTCTCCAACATCACCAATCTCTCCATCCACCATACTTCATGAACCATACGAGGATCATCATGAGAAGAGACGATCATTTGAAGAAGAGGATGAGGAACGGAGACCTCAGCATAATCGACAATTGTCAATAGCCTCGATCTTAAATCCTGAACCCGATCGTGACCAATCAGCCGAAGGCACTACAACTAACAACAACAATAGCAACAATAACAATAACAATAACAATAGCAATAATAATAACAATAATAACAGTAATAACAGCAACAGCCACCCTGAAGGATTCCCACCACCAAGGAGTATGCCAAGTGCTGACCATTCGAGCTCAAATGCTGGCTATTTGAGAGACGAACAGCGCTATCCTCCTGCACATGATTTCAAGAGGGCACGATCATCGACAATAACTACACAAGACGCCCCCTATTCATCTTCATGGCGAGAGTCAATGAGCCACGGACGTCAATCGTCACAATATATGGAACCTGGCTCATTTGATTTCAACTTTAGGATAAATGAACATCCCCCAGGTCGCCAACCAGCGGTAGGACACGAGGCATACGATCCAGCAATGTCTTATCGCAGTGAGAGGCATTTGTTCTGGCCATGTCATCTCAAATTGATTCAGGAAGAAAGTTATCTCTACAATAATCATAATCATAAACTGCCACAGGTAAAAAAAAAAAAAAAAAAAAAAAGGCAAATAAGCTTTCAGTAGCCCTTTATTGGCATTTTGATAGTTTTCTAATGATTCTCTTTTATTTTGTTTTCAACTTTATAGTTATTAAATCGAGAATCAGTCCTGGTTGAGCATACTGCACCGTTCCATGATGCACTTCAGTCTGAGGATATTCGAGTGTTGGATGAAGCAAGGTTCCCTCGTCTGAGAGACGCCTTTGCCCGCAAGCGATGTTTGTTTATGCGATGCAAGGTAAAAGATTGCTTATAACTGAGTGACAATAGCCTCCACTCTTTACGTACACTTCACTAAGCTTTTTTTTGTTTTTATTTTTATTTTTATTTTTATTTTTATTTACAGATGGGACTGAATCTAGAAAACTTTACGCATCAAGCTCGTTTATTATGCAAGAATCAGTTCCAGGCTCGTCAAAAGCTGACAATACAGTGTAGCACAACGGTCTATTCTTTTGGCAAGGAAGTCGTCGGAAGCGTCGAAATAAAGCAAGCAGCTTATCATCAGGATCGCTTTGTTTATGACTTCAAGATCGTGGACGCATGGCTGGAAGAGTTCCTTCGTTCGCTTGTAGGCCGAAGCAAAGAGGAGATGGAGTCGTCATTGCAAAACATGACAATAGTTCAGGTATTTTTTTTACACCCTTTTTTTCAACATTGACTGTTTCCTTTCCATCTATCACCATGTCTCTTCAAATGACTAACCACAAAAAAAAATAAAAAAATAAAAAAATAAAAATAGGAGTTCTCAAGTCTGACCAAGTCTGGTCTCGAAGATCCTGATGAAGAACCAAGATTGGTGGAACCTCTGCTGGTTATTGCGTACGAGTTCTTTGCTGGACATGGAAATCTCAACACTTATAGGCTGACCAGCGGACCGCCGCCGGCGTCTGTCAGGGCCAGATCACATACATGGGACCACCCAATGACGCCCTGGACACCTACAGGCCCTATTCAGGGACCATGGTCACCACCGGATGATAGTGACCAGAATAGCAAACGTATTCACAAGCGGCCGTCACTGGAATTTGAACAAGAGTGGTCTCAACCTAAAAAATATCGGAGACAAATCGGACCATCCTTCACTTCTTTAGCATAACATATAAAAAAGAAAAAGAAAAACAAAAAGAAAAAGAAAAGAAAAGAAAAAAAAGTAATAAAAAAATAAAAAAAAAAAATAAATAAAAAAGAATAATATACAAGCCTTTGCTAAGACTCCATTTTACTCATGCTATTTTCTTGGACCAAACAAACGGTCTGCTTTCATTTATTTTATTGTGATTGGACTATTTGACAAGTGATCGGTAAAGTATTTACAAAGAAAAAAAACTTTTTACAAATTTTCGGCACGCATTGCTGCCTGTCTGGCTTTTTCGACCTGGATGTTGGCCTCGTCTGCCTGATGCTCCACCATCTTCTGGTCCTTGATAGCCTTGTTCAGCTCAGCTTGACGCTTCTTCAATTCCTGCTCCTCCTTCTTCACCTCCGAAGCCTCCTTCTTGTCTAAAGCTTCTGCAGCCTTCTTCTCCTGTTCATGTTGCTTCTTTAATTCCTCCTCCGTCATCTTCTCGACCGTCTGTTTCTTAGCAGCCGCATCCTCCTCCTCTTTTTTAATCTTCTTCTCAGTCGTCTTGATCACAGTCTCGTGTTTCTTATCCTCGGCCTTGATATGCTTCTGGTGCTCTTTGTTCTCCTTATTGATCTCGGCTTTCAATGCATCCACATGAGCCGCTGTCTCCTTGTCGATCTTGGCTTCTTGACTGTCTCGCTTCTTCAACAAAGAAGCTTCGTCTTTTGCGGCCCTCTTTGCAGCCTTCTTTTGTTGAGCCTCATGTTCAGTAGCCTGTTTGTTCAGGGTCGAATGAAGCTTCGTCTCCTCCTTTTCGAGCATGGCCTCGGCTTTGAGAGCCGCAGCCTTTTGTTTCGCTAGACGCTTGGCCTCCTTCTTCGCTTGCTTCTCAGCTTTCGAAAGCTTACGGGCCGCCCTCGACTTTTCGAAATCGTGTTTCTTTTGAGAGAAAAAGTTTTTGCCTGTCTTCACATTGTCATTCACCTTTTCGGAGGCTGTGGAAGCAGCAGAAGAGGCAGAAGAGGCAGCAGTCTTGACCTTGCTCGCCCCATACTCAACCTCTTCCTGCATGGAACGCTTTTGTTGCTGATGCTGTTGCTCTTGATCGTGTTTTTTTTTATGCCCATAACCAGGAAGGAAATTTATCACCTCGGCCAAGATGCTGTCGTCACGGACGCGACCCATTTCATCTTCATCTTCATCCTCCTCCTCCTCATCATCATCGTCGTCATCTTCGTCATCTTCGTTGTCTTCATAGTATTTGTCTTCAGGGTAGCTCACATCTTGGCGAGTCATTTCCTGTGGGTTCATGACCTGAGAAAGCGCAATCTTGGGCTGCTTCTGCTCCTCCGCTTGATCCTTCATTCCAGTGAAAGCAGCGTCTTTTGCAGCATGCTCATGTTTGTCCGATGAATGATCATCGTCGTGGTGGTGATCCCACATTTTGGACATAGCCTTCTTTACATTTTTGACCGGCAAGATACGGAATGTGGGTTCATTGGATGACTCTTGATCCTCATTCTTTTCCGCTTCGCCTTGCTTCTGCTTCTGATCATCTTTGTTCTTTTTGTCGGGATCAGTATCGTCTTCGTGCATGAAGCTTCGGACGCCTGGAACGACCTTCAACAATCGTTTAATTGGCAAAATACTGAACATAGGATCTGCATCGTCCAATGCCTCCACCTGATCATCTCCACTATCACCGAACAACATGTCATTCATGCTGCTGTTGGAATCATCATTGTCATCGTCGTTGTCATCCTCTTCTTCGCGATCATTGTCGCTCTTTCTGTATTTGTTGTCATCATTGCTGCTGGATGCTTGTCGAGAATGTTTGGCCTTTTCCCAGAGAACTTCTCCACTTTTGGTGATAACGCGGACAAGGCCAGAACCAAAACCAGGGGAATTCGCATCGGCTGCTTCCTCTACGGCTGCTCCACCGGCAGCAGCCCCGCCGTCTTCAGCACCATCGCCGCTGACATCAGTTGCTTCTTCTGTAAAAATCAACTCATCACCCGTATTGGGAGCAAGGGACCAGAGCGACTCTGCCAGGTTCTTCATGTTGTTTTGAATAGACTCCATCCAAGCCGTGTGTTTCAGGTCCGACTCATCTGGGGCCTTTGAGGGGTTCGACATTGTGGCCTTGTTGGTCTCCGAGGGAGCACCTGTGCCGGTTCTCTTTACATGAGCTTTGTTTCCAGCCCTGTCGCCTGCATGGACGGGTGCTTGGGTCTGATGCGAGTCATATCCAACCACGCTGTGATGAGAATCATAGGGAGCAGAAAACTGATGTTGGAGATTGTGATGGACACTTGAAAGAGTGTTTGGGCAAGAGGCCCCTGCTCCTGCTGAACAGGAGCATGCATGCTGTTTCCCATCGGCAGGACAGCAGGCAGGCGTTGTAGTGGGCAAGTCAGTGGGGCCTACAATGGAGGCATGAACGATATCAAAGGCTTGGTCCATATCTTTTTGGCCATCGTTATTGCGTCGAGCTTTGATAGGGTCCTGAAGCTGGTGATGATGGTCGTCGCGACCCCGATGGAACCATGATGCGAGGCCCTTGGCTTCTACCGGCTGGTTCTGGCTAGCCATGACGAGCATGACAGCTCCAGCTTTAAATATATAAAATAATTACAAACAAAACCACATTACATAAATAAAGGACAACAATAGTTTTCATCCCCATGTTAGATAATGTTCTATGCATTAAAAAAGAAAAAAAAAAAAAAAAAAAAAAAAAAAAAAGTTCATACATGGATAATTGATGTAAAGACAAATGTTCCTCAAATGCTGTGCTTACCGATGGATATAGCAGAAAACTTCATTTTGCTGCTTCTTTGGAGTATCAAAAAGGTGCTTCTTGGTTTTTGCTTTTCGTTAATTCTGATGAACGGCGAATACAAAGTTTATAATTGGTGTGAGAGAATGAAGCTGGATAGTAAAAAGATAAAAGTGAACGTAAAATAGCAGTATGGATGCGCGGTATGTAAAGTTGTGGAATGGGAAGAGAAGAGACGAGAAAAGAAAAAAGAGAGGGAAAGAAAGAGAAGTGAAATGGGAAAGGGAAAGGGAAAGGGAAAGGGAAAAGGGAAAGGAAAAGGTGCTGTGTTGAGCAGTTAAACAGTTATGACGATGATTATTAAATTGCTATCTTCGGTTAGCTTCACTTTTTTTTTTTTTTTTTTTTTTACTATGACAGCTTGGTGGCGTCAAACTGATGTCTTTGCTCATTTTTTGTGAGAGGCTAAAAGAATTTCTCATTTTTATGACAGATATTGTTTCATTTTATTCACCGTATATCTTATTATATATATAGTATACGCGTGAACTATAAAAAGCCCCCCCCAACAACACGCGTCGTTCATAGTGTAATGTTGTATGCAATCTGCAGAAAAGCAGTACTCTTTTCCGTTTGCGGTACAGTACACATGTATGTCATCAAAATCAAAATAAAAAAAAGGATCAGAATCAAAATAAAAAAAATAAAAATAAAAAGAATAAAAAAAATCGTTGTTATATGTGCTCAACCTGTATTGCCTCGTTCGCAATTTCTTCTTTTTATTTTATTTTACTTCCTTTTTTTCTATACAGGGTCCGTAAAATATGAGGGAAGGGTGTGAACATCAAGTTTGCCTTTAACTATCAACTTTTTTTTACTTTTTTTTTTTATTTCTTGTATTTATTTTTTTATATGCTTTATTTTATTTTATTTTTTTATATGCTTTATTTTTCATGCAACTCATCTTCGTAATCTTGAACTGTTTTAGATTGATGATAAGTAAGAGGCATATTAAAAAAAAAATAAAATAAAAAAAAAAAATTGCAAGGCAACATTCAATTGACTGGAGGAGTTCCCATCAATAATAATAATAATAATAATAATAATAATAATAATAATAATAATAATAATAATAATAATAATAATAATAATAATAATAATAATAATAATAATATTAACTTGTGGGAAAGTATCTTTGGTCTTGGCACATTTTTCGAAAAGTCGATAAAGTTGATCCAAAAATTTTTAAGCTTGTTTTGCTCCTATTTTGGACAATATGACGATTAGATTAATGCCATTACTATTCTCCCTTCGCAACAAACATCCTATACGCCCACAATTGCGAAGTCATAAGGGGATGCAAGCGCAGTGAGGCTCTTTTTTTTTTTTTTTTTTTTTTTTTTCATCAGCTCAATACTATATCTATGATATCTATAAAAGTTAAAAATTAATTGATAGTGGAGGCGATAGAGGTGAACAGGTCTTCGAAAGTAATTCATTTGCCCATTCCGTGATTTCTTTTCTTTTTTTTTTTTTTTCCTTTTTTTATTTCTACATGTACAGACTTAAAGGCCACGTCCAAAAGTCTAAACGTTCAGAGCGTAAGACTAGTCCGGAAAGTAGGAATAGAGTGAGTGAGTAAGTAGGATTAATGAAGTACAGAGCAAACAATCCTACGATCTCGGGAAAAAAAACCCCCATGCCCAGAACATAACAGAAGGCATATAACTTTTTCTGACCAAACTCTAAATGAATTAATCCACAGTATATTTCTTCCTATCATGATCATGACCTTTATTATTATTATTATTATTTTTTCCCTTGAATACTCCGAGGGACAATTGCTAAGGAAGCAAAATGAGATCTGGTTGGATGAATAGATCATTCATTCAGGCTACAATGGCTCAATGTCCATATGCCAAGATTGAAAAAGCTTTATCGTTTTAAGGTTTTCCGGTCTTGGCAGTAAAAAATAAAAAATAAAAAAAAAAAAAAAAAAGTGGGCCAAAGGTGCAGGAACAAAAAAGAAAGAGAGAAATCCAATCCAAAAAAGGTATTGTCGCCATGGTGGCACAAAAAGATGCATGCATCAGAGTGTTCGTATAAAAAGAAACAAGAAAAATAACTGTCGTGTCTTTTTTTCATTCATTATCCTGATTACATATATACTCAAGTATTCATAAATAACCGTATCTTCATATCGCTATTTTTTTTTTTTTTTTTTTTTTTTTTTTTTTTCATTGCCTTCATTCTTATTATCTTGGCTTCTATTACAATCATAATCATAACACAATGTCGTTCTGTGGCGACGAGGGATGGGGTATTTTCAGCGAAAGACGTCCTATGGATTTCACGCTCTGTTTCCAGGACAGGTAACACAGCTCAGATGAAGTGAAACTCATCCACAAAATATATATCTTCAAACTTCTTTTGACATGAACACGAAATCGAACGTACCAAACAATTATTTATATCTTTGTTCTTTTTTTTTATAATTTACTATTGATCCCCTTCTCAATAGCGTGTTGACTGTAGTCCCTAATATAACTCTTCTGGTTGTTCTATCGCCGCGCTTACACAAGGTCCTTGGCAAGGGTCGCCTAAAAGGAGTCAAAGGCACCATTGCCTTCTATGTTAAGTTTCTGATGGTCCTGACTGCCATTGCCATCCAGATTGCCTTGCTGACCAAGGTTAAAGATAATTATCGGCCGTCAAGTCTCTTGAGCACAATCATATACTTGCCTGCACTGGTATGTGGTGCAGATATACTCTTCTATGATTATCACTATATATATATATATTATTACTATTTTTTTTTTTTTTTTTTTTTGCAAAGTTTTACCCGTAACGGCCAGTTGTTCACATAAATATTTCCTTTTTATTTTATTTTTTTTTTTTTTAAAAAAAAAAAAAAAAAAAAAAAAAAAAAAAAAAAAAAAAGGTCGGCGCTGCTTTCCTACATTGGCACGAACATTTCAATATGGCCAACCCTTCAGCAGTCCTGCTCCTCTTCTGGTTCTTTACCATGCTGATGTCCATCTTCCCTTCGCGGTCATGGATCCAAGAGTCCACAGAAGGCCTCTCCACACCTGCACCTTTACTTAAGCTCCTGTTTTCCATCGTCTCGGGCCTTATCTTTATCCTCGAAAACATTCCTAAACGCGATCGCAAATCCCTCATCCGAGCCAATGCGATCGTGGTGCCTCAGAAAAACCCGTCGCCAGAACCCTATTCAAGCTTCTTTGCTCGTATCACATTTTTCTGGTTGCTACCTTTGCTCCGGAAGGGCAAAAAGAGTACACTCAAGATGGATGATCTTTGGAGCGTCCACCCAAAGCTCCTTAGTTACCCTCTGTACTTGACTACCAAGGCCCGTATGGACGCTGATGAAGCCATTGCTCAACACAAGATCAAGGAGCAGCAAGCCGCAATTGATACTGCAGAAAAGACCGGCGCTACCTCTCCTAAGAAAATTGCTAGGAAGGATAGCAAAAACATTAAGAAAGGTCAAATTAACTTGATGGGGGCAGTGCTTCATACTGTAGGGTATAGCTTTCTAGCGGCAGTAGCACCAAGGGTCCTATTCATTGCTACGTTGTACGTCCGCCCCATCTTATTTAATCAATTGATTACATTCATCACCAGCTACTCGGATATATCCAGGATCCAGGGCGAAAAGCCTCAAGAACCTTGGGTTGGATTCGGCCTCGTGATTGCTATCTTTTCTGCAGGTGTCCTCTCCTCTTTGTTTGATGGTCAGTTCAAAAATATCTGCTATAACGCCTCGCTCAAGGCTCGCGGAGTTTTTGTCAATTTGATTTACCGCAAGGCCCTTCGCTTGAGCACCACGAACAAGCAAGAAGGCATGGGTGCGATCGTAAACCATATGAGCACGGATGTCGATAAGGTCGTCAGTTTCTTTGAATTCGCTCACCTCACCTGGAGCTCTATTGTCGAGGTAGTGATCACGTTCGTCTTGCTCTACGCTCAAATCCGCTATGCTATCTTTGCTAGTATCAGTGTTGTCATCGTGATTGTCAGTATCGCTGGTGTTTTCTCACCCACAGTCAGCAGACTTCAGAAGCAGATGATGCAGTTCTCAGATGAGCGTATGAAGTTGATCACTGAGTTAGTCAACTATATCAAGCCTATCAAGTTATATGCTTGGGAGTCTTATTTCTCCAACAAGATTTCTAAAGTCCGTGTTAATCAACTCAACAAACTCCGTGGCTTCTTTGGAGTCATATCAGTGGTTGCAACGTTTTTAAACATGATCGTACCATTTTCTATTTTTGCAGCCTTGACAGTCTATTCTTCGTTTATTGCGACAGAGCAGGAACCCCTGGATGTGAGGAGGATCTTTACGGCTATCACATTGATTATGATGTTGGATGAGCCAATCGGGGCCATTAACACATCGTTATCGGCCTTAGTCAGTGGAATTGTCGCCTACAAGCGCCTTCACAACTTCCTGAACTCTGAGGAGGTGGATGGAGATAACGTCCATAGAAACCCAGACAAGAACGCATCCGAGTTTGCATATGAAATAGAGAGCGGAACCTTTGGGTGGTACACGCCTGAGGCGATTCAGGCAGCGACTGAAAGGAAAGAGAAGGAGAAGGCAGAGGCGGAGTCAAAGGCTGTCAAGAACAATAGTAAGAGCAAGAAAGCGAAGAACAACTACAAAAGTGAGGGTAAATTTGATGAAACCAGTGAGAAAAAGAGGAAAGAAAGGTTCTCGGAAGACAAAACAGGTGTAGACCCCGTAGCCAGCTCCGACGAAGAGAAAGACACTACCAAAGTTGGGCCAACAGCGCAAACTTCGGAGGTTGATAAGACAGACGAAGAAAAGCGGGACAGTATGGGGCCTGTTCTCCATAATATCAATCTCAAGATCCGACGCGGTGCCTTGACGGCTGTGGTAGGCCGTGTTGGAGAAGGCAAATCTTCATTAGTAGGAGCGTTCTTAGGAGAAATGCACAAGTATTCTGGAACGGTTCGCTCTTTTGGGTCTTTGGCCTATGTGGCTCAATCTGCTTGGATCCTGAACGATACCGTCCGTAACAATATTTTATTTGGACGACCATTTGAGAAAGAAAAATACTTGAACACAATCCGTGCATGTGCCTTGGTCCCAGATTTCAAGATGCTTGTAAAGGGTGACAGAACTGTCATTGGTGAAAAGGTAAAAACTCCTTTCCAAACAAAAAAAAAAAAAAAAAAAAAAAAAAAAAGAATTCGTTAGCCTCCTACCATTTGTTCAATAGTAACACCTTTTTTTTTTTTTTTTTTTTTTTTTTTTTTTTTTTTTTTAAAAAAAAAAAAAAAAAAGGGTATCAATCTTTCTGGTGGACAAAAGCAGCGGATCTCTATTGCCCGTGCAGTATATGCAGATGCAGATGTTTATATCCTTGATGACCCTCTCTCAGCGGTTGATGCCCACGTAGACCAGCATATTTTCGAAAAGGCTCTGGCAACCATCCTCGCCAAGAAGACGCGTATCCTTGTCACCAACGGCGTGAACCACCTTCAAGATGTAGACCAGATTGTCGTTATCAGAAAAGGAGTCATCTCACAGGATGGGCTTTACCAAGACTTAATCCAAGACGAGCAAGGAGATTTGTTTCGATTGATTCAGGAGAGCAAGGTCGTTGCTCCTAAACAACGTAATGAATTAGAAAACGCATCAGCTGATATTGATGCCGGCATCGAAACACTCGACATTTCCAAGGATGATTTTGATACAGCCATAGGAGAGGAAGGCAGTGATATCTCTTTGAGTGGGGATTTGGGTAGTGATGACAGCAAAATCAGTAAGAACGATATACAGCCTATAAATGAGAAGGGCATTGGCAAAGATGATAACCCCCGTACAAGGCCCATACTCAAGCGCGCCAAGTCCTCAAAAGCCAAAGATGGTGATCGCCTTGAGCTGATTGATGACAAGGATCATGTGGATGATATCGACGACGAAGTGATCGCTCAAGGGCGTGTTGGTTGGCCTGTCTACAAGTTCTACATTTCCACACTGGGTACCGTAGCCTTGGTTTTGTTCCTCATTGTCTGTTTGACATTCCTCGCTGCTGAGATGGGGACTCAAATCTGGCTCGAGAGATGGGGTGATGAAAATGCGCGTGTTGCTGCTCTGAATATTGAACCACCACACACAACTAACTATTGGACCATGACCTACCTTGCATGGATTCTTTGTTCCGCAGTGACGTTGGGGCTTTCCATCGCCACTTCCTTGCTGGTAATGGCTCGCAAAGCATCTAAAAAGCTGCATGTAGCCATGTTGGGTCCTTTGATTCGATCGCCTATGAGTTTTTTTGATGTCACGTCCTCTGGAAAGATTGTGAACCGGTTCTCACATGACATCAATTCTGTAGATTTTGAATTGCCTCTACAGTTCTTAAACTTGATGTTCATTGTCTTTAGCACCATTACGACGTTTGGATACTGCATCGTGGCCACACCATACTTTGCGATCATTATGCTCCCATTAGCCCTTGCATATTACTGGTTAGGAGGGTTCTTCTTGGTTTCATCTCGGGAACTTAAGCGATTGGATTCAGCAGCACACTCACCCATGTACGCTCATTTTGGTGAGACATTGTCGGGACTAGTCACCATCCGTGCATTCCATGACTCGCAACGGTTCGCTATCCAGGCCACAACATTGTTGGATCGCTCTCAGCAGACTGCCTACTTGGCCAATGCAACCACACGATGGCTCCACATCATGTTAGATGGATTGAGCGTCCTTATTCTCACAATCGTAGGACTTTTAGCTGTCATTCAACGCGACACCGTTAACTTGGGCTTCTTCTCGATTGTCCTCTCTCAGATTGGAAGCCTGACCATGACTATGAACCGTCTACTCACTGTCATCTGTATGCTTGAGACCTCGATTGTCTCGGTCGAACGCGTGCGTGAGTACTCTCAACTCACACCTGAGGCCCGTGATGTGATCCCAGACTCTAAGACTGATGAAGCTTGGCCCCAACACGGTAAGGTCACATTCAAGAATTATAGTACTCGTTACCGCGAAGGGTTAGACTTGGTCCTCAAAGAAGTTGATCTCACAATCAAGGGCGGTGAACGTGTTGGAATTGTGGGCCGCACAGGTGCCGGTAAATCTAGTGTCACGTTAGCGCTGTTCCGTATCATTGAAGCAGCTCAAGGCTCCATTCAAGTGGATGGGGTCGATATTTCGACCCTAGGCCTTCACGAGCTCCGATCAAGACTGACGATCATCCCACAAGATCCTTTCTTATTTGGGGACTCTATCCGGCTAAACCTGGATCCCTATGACCGCCATACAGATAGCGAAATCTGGGCTGCCTTAGAATCAGCTTCATTGAAATCCTACATCCAAACATTGCCTAATGGACTTGACAGCACAATTGAGAACGGAGGTGAGAACATGTCACTGGGCCAACGACAACTCATGTCGCTAGCCCGAGCCATGTTGGCCAAAAATACAAGATTACTCTGTTTGGATGAAGCGACTGCAGCGATCGATATCGAGACTGACAATGCGATCCAGCGAGCGCTACGCCGTGAATTTTCTGGATGTACCGTTCTGACGATCGCACACAGAATTAATACAATCATGGATAGTGATCGAATCTTGGTGCTAGAGAAAGGCCGCGTTGCAGAGTTTGATACCCCTTCCAACTTGCTACAAAACAAGGACAGCATCTTTTATAGCCTCGCGACTCAAAGCGGTAACGCTTAAAATTATTTACTAACATTAGAAACGACTACCACACTTTTTTATTATTAAAACTGTACCATACTATTTTATTGTTTGAACAAAATAAACGTTTGATTAAAGTAAATACACATGGATGCAGTTTGTACCCCATATTCATGACACTGACAAGCGGCGTGGGATCATGAACTGTCAGCAATCGTTTTTTGTGTTCTCTACTATTAACATGATGATGGTGGGTGATGATGATGATACTCAATACCCAATATCCTTTCGACCTTGGACAAGGTGAAGGACTCTACCACTAGATATTGATACGCTCTGACTTCGTTGTTGGAAGAGATTCGAGAATTGGACTTTATGATGAGCGGATTATCGATTAGGTGTGTTGCCTGATACAAATATTTGTCGATCAGAATCTACGGAGCATGTAACCAACGATGAGCTCCTATTCGTATAGGTGTTAATGAGAATGACTTTTTGTGAGGGCATGCACATCGAATTGAGCAATTCAAGGATAATCGAAACCGACCAAGTTACTGGAATTCGCTATTACTAGGATCCTCTTCTTCACGCTATTCAAATTCCGACTACGATAGCATCTGCCAATTCACCCTGCCATCTTCGGAGGGCTTCTTGGAAATTATTTTTCAGGCCTTGAACCTTATGGGGCCTTGCAGTAATCAAAGCCAAAGAAGAAGTTTCGGCCAATTTCAGAGAAGATCAATATCAATGAACAACATATTCTGTCACTTCTCCCCGAGCTTGATTAATTTCTTTTTCATCGAGCTTCATTTATATCTATCTCCAAAAATGTCTTTCCTTGTTCTTCCCTTTTCTTTTCGAAAGGCACTCCCTTCCGCCCTTTTGTCTAAGGGATTTATATCACTCTAGGTACTAGTGAACTTCACCGATGCACCGAAACCCAGTTTTTTTTTTTTTTTTTTTTTTTTTTTTGCGCCAGTAAACTTGACCAGTATGATATGCTGCTGGCAGTGATTTTCGCTAGTGCACCAAAGCCCAGATATTTTTTTCGTCGGTGGACATGACTAGTGCGATGTATCACTGGTCTACAAGTAGCAGTAGGATGTATCCTAGTGCAAAAATATCCTGGTCCGTCCATACCAGAAATCACCGATGGTGAGGATTTTCTGAGTGGTGGTGCACGGCACCGAAAAAAAACCTTATAACGCGGTGCAAGATCCCACTGGTGAAAATCGCTGGCTGCTGGTGTACCAGTGACGGTTTGGTGCACCAGCAAATATTCCGTTATGTTGGCTAGTTCTCCACATTAGAAACCAACATCGCTTTTTTCTTTTGGCAAAAATGTGGAAGCTCTTTGGACTCGATCAAGATGGATCAATGAAGATTCATACTTTCATGACTATTTTCTTCCGATATTAATGTGTCTGCAGAGGCCAGGAGTTACCCGATCTCTGTGAGTTCAGTAGTTTGCCATTACTTATGTATTTGTGCCTGCGCCCATCGCAAGTGTGATAATTCAGACTACTATTTTTTTTTTGATTTTTGGGTTTCAGTGGCTTGAGCCGTGGTCGGACATCTCAATTGACGAACATTGCCCTTAAATCTAACAATAAAATTAATTAGCCTAACGCTCTCCTTTTTTTTTCACCAGCTCTTTTAAACTCCCATAATTTTTATTGCAGCTATGCCAGACCACGACACCATCAGCATATTCAGCGATGACCTAACAGTATCGGATCTTGGCTTCAAGCTGTTAGGCGCTACTGCCCCAGAAGCAACGCCCCCCGATCCGGCTGATTTAGCAACTTCTGACTCTAACCATGAGGAGCCTATTGCTGACTCCGACGGTGTTACAGAAAACAATGATAATCAATCTTTGAAAGCTATCGAAATTGATTTGTCAGATATTTTAAAAGATAAGTTAGACAGAAAATTCGAGATCTTGATTGCGGCAAAGGATTATTACATGAAAATCGCATTGGCGCACGGATTTGCCATCAAGATCCGCTCTAGTTCAGTCAAGTTCATGCATTTGGCAAGAAGAGATGATTTTTTTATTTTTTGCTTCTATTTGTGGGCGCGCCTTGTCTGTCAATATAGTTATGTCAAATATAGTGTTCCGGGGCCAAATGGCCGTCATCTCATTTGAATATCAAGCCATTGTTTGTGTGTATGGTTATACTTTTTTTGTGTACATATATAAAAAAATAGCACAAGCACTTATCCGCCTAGCAAAGAAAAACCCCAGAAGTTTGATCCAACGCTCCCTGGAATTAGATCTGATTTTCATCTAGAATGCAACGGTGCCTACCTATTCGTGAGTGAATGTAAAAAAGCGGATGTGGACTCAAAATTTGACTTTGAGAAAGTTGCCATTGAGATGAAAGACTCTTTAGATCATGCGGTTATTTCTGGAAAGAATGCAACTAAATCCTTTGGTTGCCAGGTATCTGGTACGCAAAGCAACGTCAAGTATTTTTATGAGTCAATATGTTGAAGAAAGAAGATGAACTGAATTTCTGTTGCTATTGCTCCTAGGTGACTGTGGTGAAGTCTTCTCGATGGAATTAAAGGCGGTGTCGGTATACATAATGAAGTCGGTGGGGTCATTCATGCCCACATATGTTCGATAGGGTTGAGGTCAGGGGATTGCGCTGGCCACTCTAGAAGTGTACCTTCCTCCTCTGTCAGATGTACTGACTCCAAATACTTCCTAACAATCTTCGCCGTGTGTTTCGAATCTTTGTCGCGCTGAAAGATGATATCGCTTCTAGTTAGGCCCCAGTCATCAAGCGACATCTGTAGAACCTCCTGAAGTGCAAGCGAAAATGCTAGAACTCAACTGTTACACCAAATGCTTTGCCCATCCATTTCTAGATTGTTAGCTGGCTAAGTCGAATAACATGACGACTTAAGCTTATTATCCGAGAGCCGGGACCATATTTGTCCCACCCTATGCCCACCCTTTTGTCTTTAGTTTGACTATTTTTTCCTGGCTCACTATCAAGAAGATGCAGATCCAACTTGGTAGCAGAGCAGATTTATATAGTTTATTTCTTTTATTTAAGGGTAGTTTTCTGAAAAGTTCAAATTAGGCAATAAAAGAAGATGACACATGTATGGTCCTGGCTCGATGGATAATTTAAAAAACATTTTGCTCTGATGGGAAATAAGCTTTGTCCAATAAAATTATCTCTAAAATAAAATAATGTCCTTCATTCCAAACATGATAACCGAATTGTTTATCACAATTATCCAAACATCATATCGTTATTAGCAACATGGATGACCAATTTGAGTGACCTGACATACATATCCCATTAGCGTTTCTTCTTTTTTCACCATAACTGTACTGCTATAGGCCTATAGACTGATCTCTCTGTTGAGACACCTTGGAAAGAAGGTAGCTGCATGACGAATCCAGCCTTGACAATCCTTTCGGGATATCGACCTGAATGCCTCTTGGAACCTAGTGCGCATGGTTTCGTTCGCCTCAAGACGGCTTCTCTTAAAACTGTTCTTGACCTTCGACCAGCATTCCTCGATTGGATTCAGGAATGGTGAGTAAGGAGGAAGATATTCACAAAAATGGCCTGCTTCTTCTATGAGCTCTCTAACCAGTGGAGACTTGTGAATACGCGCATTATCCATTAGAAAAGTATATCCATGCATCCCTTTAGCCTCCAATATCTCAAGAACCTCACAAATGAAGTCCCTAAAATAGGCCCCGGTTGTTGAACAACCAATTATACCGTCCTCGGATACCTGCGGAGGACGTGCTGCATTTCTACCACGACCACGGCCGCTGTTGTTCGCGACCCCATCTTGATCATCCTCCGCCACTAGCTCTTCATCCGCATCAAGGTCCACTGTAGTCACTGACATACAGATGATCCCAGTCGATGAAATTGCACCTACAACGCTAACATTTCTACCACGTACGGTAGGACGCACAACGTTTACGGGCCTTCCTTTACGGGACCATCCATACTCTCGGATCAGATGCAGGTTAAATCCCGCCTCATCAATGAAAATGGTCTTTTTCTCAAACTTTTCGTGGGTCACTGGGTTTTGCATCTCTTCAGCAAATCTCTCTCGCTGTAAGTGCAGCGGGAGCATTTCGCTTGTCAGAGGCTATTTTGATCCGCTTGAGTGTGTACTCACACATATTTGTGCCACAATTGAAAACCGTAGCAAGAGACACTGGGACTTCAGGAAATTCGTCGTGGAGAGCCTTCTGGACTTCCATGGGTGTCGAAAGAGGTTTCTCGTCTGAGAAATCCTCTAAGTACTGGCAGTGTCTTGCTGCCAATTTCGGAGCTACTCGATGCTTCTTGGAAGGGAGTTTGCTTGTTTCCCTGTAATGGTTAATATATTTATAAGAAAACTCCAAGGTAAGCACAATTAGCAACAATATCCTGAGGTATCGTTTAGTACAAGTAGTCTTTAAACTTAATTATTACATCCAGGCGCTCCCTGGATGTATGTGAACGGCCCTAGCCGCTTCAGTTACCGTACGCATGTATACTATCTAGTAGTTAATCAATCTTTGAGCAGCCTCTTCTGTAGTCTTGGAATATGTGGCAGGAGAATTGGGTTTCCTTTTACGACACATTTCTCTCAGGCTCGGCTCCTCATACCCGAGGTCCAAGCCATTTTCGTCTTGATCAAAAAGGACGTCAGGTACCGGATTGCACTCTCTTTCTAGCTCATTCTCGTCGAATCAAAGCTGCGAATAGATGCAGGTCATTTTAGGCCCTTTTCCTTTGTTACTGTTTCTGTCAACAGGCTCGCTAATGATGGGCGAGTCAATGACAGGGGTTTCAGCGGCAGGCGCATCCACGGCAGGTGTATCGAAGTCAAGCTCGTGGCCAGTATATATAGGGGGCGTCCAAGGGTTGTATGGGTCTGCCTCTTCATCGCACTCTTCTCCTACAATCATCCGACGAGGAGGCTAGATGGACGAACGCAATGCCGACATCATAATCATGACGATATAGATTTGGAGATGGGCTTGGAAGAATCACTTTATTCCTGGAGCCTTGTGTGCGAGACTGAGGGATGGCATTGTCACTGCCTCCTCCCTCAATTTTGATCCCAATAGTCTATGGATACTGCAAAATAGAGGAACCAATGCTTATAACCAAGAAGATGGAATAGTTTACAAAAGAACCACCAAGATCACATAGATTAGAACTGTCATCCCACTTCAAGGCGGCTTTCTGAGCCTCGAGATCTTTGTAGAGTTCGTCGTCATCGGTGTTAACCAAATTGATAATTTCAGATTAGTTCTTGGTAAGTGCCATAGTGAATTTGAATCTGGTGATTAGGAGTGTTGAAGCGATCTCGATTGAAGGATACAAGCGGTGGTAACCTTTGTCTTTTTATTTTTCTTTGAACCCATTTCCTTTTATACATGGGCCCATCATTGCATGCTGGCATGGCACCGACGTGCCAACACGCCATGATCTTCGCGGCGCATCTTGACATCTTCAAAAAAAAAACCCAACGTGGTTGATAATTTTCAGGACGCGCCGATAATATTACAAGGTCCCATGGCTATTCCCGCATGACGACAAAATTCCGTGGTATTGATCCCTTAGATCTTTTCCTTGTTGCTTCACCTTATCCACTGCCTTCACTTCATTCACTTTCTTCACTTCTTTCCCTGTTCATTTACTCATAAACTACGCCCAGCAGAATGGATTCATTGTTCATCGCACAATTGCAGGTTAGTCCCTGGAGACTATCGTCGATCGACTCCATTTTTGACAGTGCATTAATCTTTCGATTTTCTGACACTTCCTTGGACGATTTCACAACTTCAATTATTGAGTGACAAGCAAATTCCCCTGACCTCTACATTGTGAGTATTCCTGCAAGGAGAGAAAGAGCACGTCAAAGAATCAAAAGGCGGATTTGCTCGCCGAAAAGCCTGTTTTTTTTATTTAAACCGAACCACTTTCCTTTCACTGTTACATGATTATTATAATTTCAAATAGTAGATCAAAGTTGGCCAGAAGATACCGGTTGCCTCTGATAGAATCAGAGTGCCAGAACTCGTTATGTTTCCATCAAAGCGCCCTTTTTTTTTTTTTTTTTTTTTTTTTTCAAGCATAAAGGGTCAAAGCCGAGCTTAAAGTAGTAAGAGTCGTGGTGATCACAAGTGCCTGTGATAGTCCCAAAGCTTTTTTTTTTTTTTTTTTTTTTTTTTTTTTTTCGATTGAATTGTATCCAATTCCAAAGTGATCAAAGGTTTGTTGGTCTTGAGTGCATTCGACAGTGCCAGAGCTCCTCCTTTCCCATTTAAGCTTCCAATTAAGCTCAAAGTGGTCAAAGCCGTGTTCATTTTGAGTACCTCCAACAGTCCTAGGACTCTTTCCTCTCCTATTGAGTGAATCGCCAACTTCAAATCGTTCAAAGCCTTGTTGACCTTGAATATCTCCAATAGTACTATAATTCCTTCTTTTCTAATTGAATTCCTGTGTAAGCTCAAAACAGCTAGAGCCGTATTGATCTTGAGTGCTTCTGACAGCGCCTAAGCTCCCTCAGTCCCAGCCAAGTTGCCTCCGAAATACAAAGTAGTTAAAGTTAACCTTGAGCGCCTCTGACAGCACCAAAGCTTCTTCAGTCGTAATTTTGTTGTGCTCCAAGTTTAAAATAGTCAAGGTTGAGTTAATTTTGAGTGCCTCTGACAGCGCCAGAACCCCTCTAGCTCCAACTGAGTTGGATTGCAAGTCCAAATAAGCCAAAGTCGTATTAGTCCTGAGTGCGTCTGAAAGTACCAAAGCCCCTTTCTCCCCAATTGAGTTTTCTCTCAAGTACAAAGTGACTGGGGTAAAACAATATGGATCGTCTTCATATTATCAAGCTCCATGATGCGAACGAGCGCTTCGTATGGTGAGGGTGTTGAAAGTAATTTGCTGGTAACACTTTCTTGACAGTTCTGGAGCTCAAGTCTAAGAGTTGATATGCTTAATACCTTTAGGGTTTTCCCAAATGCTTCGAGATCAGTCTTGGACCATTTTCAATCAAATACGATATCCAACTCATAAACACGTCTTGCAGTAGTCAGTACATTGAAGAATTCTCCGGCTCTGGTTCTGGAACACAATGTGATAGTCATTTTACCAAGGCGCGGGTCATATTTGCCTCCATCCATTTCCACTGCATTCTCAAATGCTTTCTGCTCTTTTTCCTTATACGTCATACCATAGCGTTCGAAGCAAACCCATTTGACAGGGCCTGTTTCAGTCATGATCCTATATAGGTTGCCGAGTTATCTGTCCTCGCCATTGATTCTAAGGAATGTGCCCAGTTGTCGAGGATCAGCTCCTTCAAGTTCCTTATAATCATCGATCGCGTTGATGTTGTTTAAGATCGGATACTCAACAGAGAGCGCTTTCATATAGTCGATTGATTAATGGATACCAGCATCGAGCAGATTTGGGACTTGTACCTGAGAAGCAGATGAGGGTGCTCCCATTCCCAACTTGAGCCACTGTAGAAGGATGACCATGTACTTTCCATACTTGCGAAAGAACTCCGTGCTATTCTGGACTTCATATCCGTCATGCTTGGCAATATGGATTTGATTCTGACTGCTCCTGCTCACCTTTACGGAGTGATCCCACATTCATATAGGAAATGAAGGCGGAACTTGTTCCTCAAGACATTCATCGGATCCCACTTGGCACGGTTGACAGGCAAAATTATAAATAGTCGAGGGATTGGACATTCATGTAGCTCAAAAGTCTGGACAAGGATAGCATCAGCTTTCTGTTGAAGGATGGCAAGTCTGTCGAGTGCTTGATGTTGCAGACCAATGATCATCCCATGCTTCTCCCTAGCCTCTAATTGCAGTTTAAGCATTTTGTCATCCTTCTCCTTAGCTTCCATTTGCAATTTAAGCATTTTGTCGTCCTTCTCTTTGGCCACTAACAGCAACTCCTTAATCTCCTCAAGGCTAGAGCAAATGTCCTGGTTTTGTGCGTTATTGTGAATAATAAGAAAAAAATTGAAAGATTGAACCAAGTTTGAGAATGCTAAAAGAGGATCCCGCGACTTGCTCAAGGTGGGCAGGATAATGACGGCGTTGCTGTCGCAGGACTGCGATACTTCTATAATGACTTCCAGAACCTTGTCAGGATAGAATGTAAGAAGACATTTCGAAAAGATTCTTTATTTCTTCCTTTCTGGAGCAATTGAATAGACACCATGCATAACATATAAAACAATAAATATATCTGCTGTCATTAGAATCTATAAGGAATGGGATGGGACGTCCATCCAACTTGAATCGCTGCGCACCTGAAAACACATCTCGAATGTCTTGCAAATTCACATGGCATGACAAGCTGTCATTGCTTGCAGAAGTATTTGTAGTTCGAACACAAACTTCTTCGATAATATCGTTGCTGGTCTTTCGCGATCATTTTGGCGACAAACCGATGATGACAAGATGAAGAGCTTTCTCTTTTTTTTTTTTTTTTTTTTTTTTTCGGGCTTGCCACTTGGAGTTGCAAGTATCTAGAACGTATGCTCTCGAATGATAGATGGTAGATCTATTACAAAAAAAAAAAGACATGTATCTTGAACTGTTGATAAATGTACAGTATAGAATCTAGACCAAGGAACTGAGCTCTGGTGCTTTTCCATCTGTGTTAGTCCTCTTGATCACGTTTGAGTTCGTCAACAACAACACCTTCTTTGAGAACAGCCGGATAGACCAAAAACGTTAGTATAACAGCATAATCGATTTGCAACAAATGCTCCACAAATCATACATCTTTATCCTGGTGTCTCAATTTTTTTTTTGTCTCTGGCACCATACTGGACCCGTTTTTTTGGACAGTGAGAGAGTATGTAACAGGAGTTTGGAGTTCGGATACTGTGGCATGTGATTGTTCAAATCAAAAACTAATCCACATTGACACGATTGGATCAAAAGTACGGATACAACCCCATTTCCCTTGCATTGTGTGTGGAGAGAAAGAGCATCATCTTTCTCTTCTACATACACAAACACACAAAAACACCTTTTTTTTTTTTTTTTTTTTTTTTTTTTTTCTTCCATTGTCTTCATCTGTTCATTCTCAACTCCACTGCTTGATTCTTTTTTATACTCTTTTGGGCTTTGCTCGTATTCCCACTCCGACACCGAATAAAAACTGCACAGCAAAAAAAAAAAAAAAAAAAAAAAGAAGTAAAAAGGTCATAAAAAAAATGCTTCGTACAACTCCATCGATCCCTATTCCACGCACGGTACCGTTGTTACCGCTGCAGGATCGAGTGCTACTTCCTGGAGTGGTCACCCGTCTTCAAATATCAAGACGTGATTCTATCCCGCTGTTCGAAAAAATCCTCCGGACCTATGACAGCAAGGAGCTCAACAAGTGCATCATTGGTGTCTTTCCTATTCATCAGACGTCCGAGAAAAAGATACCATCAGTAGTAGCAGCAACAGGAGCAGAAACAGCAACTAAAGAAGGCTCTGAAAGATCCAAAACAGATACCAATACTAACGGTCAACATGGTGGATTCACCGATGATATGGCTATCGGAAGCAACGCTGGACAGGTTGTCCCTTTTATGCGACCTAAAAGCAATAGCGCTAGCGGGGGCAACAGTCAAAGCAATAGCTCTACTCATCGTAACTCCAGTTCAGTATTGAATCCAGCCGACGTCCACACGACTGGTGTGGCAGCTCGGGTAATACGTTTGGAGCGAGCTGTAGGAGGATTTTCCGTTATACTTGAAGGTAACCATAAAAAAAATAAAAATTCAAGGTGTAAATGATCATGAGGTTCTTGTTCGCCTAGGCTGGGGAAGAAAGAAGTAAGGGTGAGGGAAGAGAAAGAAGAGAGATGAGAAAGGAAGGGCAAAGATAATTGGAACATCAAATAAACTATGCGCATTGCGAGAAGGGAGCAACACCGTGGAAGTACAGCATGTAATAACTTTCTCTTTTACACTATCGCTTTTTTTTTTTAAAAAAAAAAAAAAAAAAAAAAAAAAAAGGTCTAGCGCGTTTGCGCTTAAACAAGATCTTGGTACAGTCGCCTTATTTTGAGGCAGATGTGACACCATTATTAGACAAAGCTGTGGACAAGAACGATCAAGAGCTGCAAGATCAGATCACAATCCTCCGTTCAATCTCCAAGGAGTTTATCTCCTTGCTACAAGATCTTAAGCTGCCTGCCCCAGTTTTGACACAGCTACAAAAGTTTCTGGAGAATGCTGGCGTGATCCCAGGCCAGGTCGTGGACCTGTTGATCAGTACCATCGAGAGTACACGTGACGAAAAGATCATGATCTTGGATGCCGTTGATCTCAAACAGCGCATCCCAAAGGCAGTCGAACTACTCACTCGTCAGATTCATGTAAAACATGAAGTTTTTTTTTTTTTTTTTTTTTTTTTTTTGTATTGAATTGCTTCTCTTATTTTGTCGCCATTTAAACCCGTGCTTATTTTATACATTGCTACCATTGCTATCGTTGTTTTTGACCAAACTGATTACATAGGTATTGAAAATATCTCAAAAGGTGCACGACAATGTGGAAGGCAAGTTGAACAAGAAGCAGCGCGAGTTTTACCTTCGCCAACAGATGGCAGCGATCAAGGAAGAACTGGGTGAGAAGGATGGAGCGGAAGAGGATGAGTTGACAATTATTGAGAATCGATTGAATGCAGCCCACTTGCCTTCAGAGGTCCAAAAGGCTGCAGACAGAGAGTTGAAGCGACTGAAGAAAATGCAGCCTGCTTCTTCAGAGTACTCGGTGATTCGTAATTACTTGGATTGGTTAGGTGATTTGCCCTGGAATAAGGCCACTGAGGATCTCTTGGACGTAGAACGAGCACGGAAACAGCTGAATGATGATCATTATGGATTGGATAAAGTCAAACGTAGGATTTTGGAATACCTGGCCGTCACAAAGTTACAGCAAATGAAAGGCGATGTGAAGGGACCTATCCTCTGTCTTGTAGGAGCGCCTGGTGTAAGTTTTCATTACTCTCATTATAACTATTATTATTATTACTATTGCTATTATCACTGCTTCTCGCCTTTCTTCTTCATGTGCTTGAAAACATTGCAAACTAATTTGTTGTTTTCTTTATCAGGTCGGAAAAACATCACTGGGCCGATCAATCGCTACAGCGATGGGTAGAAAGTTCCATCGGATCTCATTGGGAGGCGTCTGGGATGAGTCCGAGATTCGGGGTCATCGTCGAACCTATGTGGGTGCTCTCCCAGGCCTTATTATTCATGGACTAAAGAAGTGCGAAGTTAACAACCCTGTGTTCCTACTCGGTAGACGCGAAAAGATCTAAATGTCAAAGAACAAGAAAAATAGGCTTTATGGAGATGGTTTTCATCAATTGTCAGTAACTAATCCCTTTTTTTAACAATAATAATATTTAGATGAAATCGACAAAGTCGGCGCTAGAGGTCATCATGGTGATCCATCTGCGGCCTTCTTAGAAGTCCTTGATCCTGAGCAGAACAGTACCTTTGTAAGAAAAAAAAAAAAAAAAAAAAAAAAAAAAAAGCTAAAAGGGTAGGTATTTTTCCTTTTTACTTTCAATTTTGTACTGATTCCGTGCTTTATACTTTATATATACGGATATAGACCGATCATTACCTCAATGTGCCATTTGATCTCTCCAAAGTCCTCTTTATTGCGACCGCTAATTCAATTGATACGATCCCAGCGCCTCTATTGGATCGAATGGAATTGATCACCATCCCCGGTTATACCTATGCAGAAAAGTTGGCTATTGCAACCAATCATCTTTTACCGAAACAGGTCCGACTTCATGGATTGAGTGAAGGAGATATCAAGGTCACACAGGAGGCATTACTTAAGGTCGCAACTGGGTACACACGGGAGAGTGGTGTCCGACAATTGGAACGAGAAGTTGGAGCGGTTGTAAGGGCCAAAGCAGTGGAGTTTGCAGAAGCACAGGAGCGACTATCCAAGAGTGAAGGCACACCAACAACAGCATCAACAGTCGTAGAGTATCAGCCTCTGGTGACTGCTGCAGATGTTGAAGAAATTCTGGGCCAGGAAAAGTACACGAATGAAGTGACGGAGCGCACACCAACCCCAGGTGTGGTTACTGGTATGGCCTATAATGGGGTTGGAGGGGGCATCTTGTTCATTGAGGCCTCACAGATGCCAGGAAAGGGCTCTTTGCAATTGACAGGTAGTCTGGGAGATGTCATTAAGGAAAGTGCGCATATTGCGCTGAGCTGGGTCAAGAGCCATGGCTATGAGATCAATTTGTCCAACAGTCCCGGACAAAACATTATGGAGAGGGTAGATGTTCACATCCATATGCCTAGTGGTGGTACACCTAAGGTAAAGCAAACAGGCAGTATACGCTATTGAAATCAGAAATTGGAATCGAAAAGTATACAGTCGTCCTTAATTTTATTTTCAAACTTTCTTCTTACTGATAACTGATAATGCCAATAGGATGGACCATCTGCAGGAATAGCAATGGTGTGTGCACTAGTCTCTATGTTTTCAAATCAAACCTTTCCGGCGACGACGGCCATGACAGGCGAGTTCACGTTAAGAGGATTGGTAATGCCAGTTGGAGGAATTAAAGAAAAGGTGATTGCAGCCCATCGAGCAGGTGTACGCAAGATTATAATGCCTCTCCGGAATCAGAAGGACGTGACGGCTGATGTACCAGCGAATGTGCGGGAAGAGATTGAGTTTGTGTACGCGTCTACGATCTGGGAGGTCCTCAAAGAAGCCTTTGATGGACGTATCGTTGTCAGAGCTGGAATTCCTGCTGCTGCTTTGGATAGTAGATTGTAAAAAAAAAAAAAAAATAAAAAAATAAAAAAGGCTTTGTGCAATATCCTTTCTTTTTTTCTTTTTTTTTTTTGTTGAGCGATGGAATCTTTTATTAGAACTCTCTGAGAGACAGGGGTAGGGATGATGGAGAGTAAGAAACCAAGCAATCGACTCGCCCCCTTGTTTTACTCTTCAAACATTCCCTACTTTCGAATGTCATTAGTAAAAAAAAAAAAAAAAAAAAGAAAAAGAAAAAAAGTGAAAGCTCAATGTTATGTCAAAGCGATTCTGCAGTGTAAAGCGGTTGCCCAATCTTCTCCCTTATCCCTAGCAGTGTGTTGAATAACTTTGAATAAATTTGATCGACTACTGTCTCCTCTTCCCCTTTCTTGCTCTTTTGCGCAAGAAGATGCTTTTATAAGCCAGAAAATTGTTTGGAGAGCAGGGGGTTTTCACCGTTTATCATTCGGATTTTGCTGTTTGGCCCTTTTTTTATTACTCAGCCAATCCAAGCCTTTCTCTTTCTGTTACACACGCGTCTTTTTCTCAAGAGTCACTTGAATTAATAGGAGGTGCTAGTGCGTAGTTCGCTCACGCGAGCAAAAAAAATTACCAATAATGATGCTACTTATTATGGCCTATCAGGAACCATGGGAGCGAGCCTTACAAAAATATACATTTTCAACTCCTCCAGCCTGTAAAACGAGCGATCGAAATAACATTTGACAATAAACAAGATACTGGATACTGGCAAGTAAAAAAAAAAAAAAAAAATGAAAATGAGCTCGGCACTTTTTTTTGTCAAATGAACAAAAAAGAGCACTTCTTTCTTGTTTGTTTTATTTTATTTTATTTTTTGTTTTTTTTTTTTCCTACTTTCTCAATCTTTTTTGTCGTATGTTATTCAACAAAAAAAAACTACGCAAAAGGAAAAGAGCAAAAAAAAAAAAAAAAAAAAAAGTTGAGACTACAGAGTAAAAATACAGTTTCTTTTTGGGGGGAGTAATGGACGCATTAGTTGTGAATGAGTAGCATAATCTACAGAAAAAAAAAAAAAAAAAAAATTACAAGGCACAGAAAAGAAAGAGAAAGAGAGCAAAAGTAAAAAAGATGGAAGGAGGACATCTAGCAATCAACCAAAAATGAAACGCTCAAACGTCTGCGAGTTCGACTGCGCATCTCCAGAGAGTCAGCAGTAACCTGCTCTGACAAGGGCTCCATATCACTCGCACGACGTTTGGAGCCAGCATGAGCATTGGGCGAAACGGAAGGGGCAGGCGAAAGAAGAGGATCCTGGGGCTTGGTTTCCAAACGCTGCAGCATCTTATCGCGACTGAGGACCCTCGATTGCGAGTAAGTGATGATGTTATTCTGAAAGTGGTTCACAATCATGCAATTCTGGTTCTGTTGCTGTGGCTCAAAACCAGGAGGCAATGGCTGCGAGAAAGCTTGAGGAGATGCGCGGGGCGACTCCGTAAAGGTATAGCCCATAGCCTGCATACGGGATCGAAGGAACTCACGGCGCTGGGCCTGGACCCATCGGTGAGTCAAATAAGATCCCATACCTTGCTGTTGTCTTGGAGCTGACTCGGGTTGGATAAGACCGCTGACGTCTTTGGCCATAGTATTGATGGCATCCATGCTCAGCTTGGCATGGGCACCCGGGGCAGTAAAGTCGAACTGGAAAGAGGATCCGTGCTCAAGGGGTGCAGATGCCTGCTTGTTGTGATCACCAACAAGCAAAGCAAACGAGGGGAGGTTTGAGGGAGTCATGGTCTGTGGAGGGATAGACATGGACTGCTGCTGCAGTTGCTGAATCTGTTGAATCTGTTGAATCTGCTGCTGTTTCTGAAGCTGATCTTCCAAAGAAGAGGCGGTGACACATGTCATACGGGAGGGAAGGGCATTGTTGCAGTACTGGATCGAGTTGCGTCTGGTAGGCTGATGAGAATCCGAGCTAAGCAAGCTGGAACTTCTGCTCAACACAGGTCTGTCACGGACTCTGCCCTTCTCGGTGAGGATGGTGACCCACTTTTGAAAGACAGACTGAGAGACAAAGAGACGGTAATCGATCAAAGTCAAGAAGGTGATTTCGTTCAGGTTGATCTCGGAAACGGGAAGACCTGAAATCTTTGACCAGGCCTTGTTAGAGTAGGTGCGATCTTGTTGGAACTTTGATGCGAGGATCAAGGCTGCAAGGAACATGCGACGGCCACATCCAACGGGCTCTGACTTTGCAAGGATAGGGGAGGTGGGAGTGGAAGTGGAGAGGGAAAGGGGCGAAAGTGAGGCAGGGGTGTTGTTGGTGCCAGGAGGAGTTAATGGAGGGGTATTTTTGGCTACGTGATGTGGATGGAGAGAGATGGTGTTGAAGTAGTCACGCTGCTTAAACTCTTCTTCCGAAAACGCGTCAGTGGAGCCATTAGGTGAGAGAGGCTGTTGCTGAAGAAGAGCGCGCTGCTGAAGATGCTGGATCTGATCCTGACGAATCTTTTCCTGGGCAGCCAAGACTTGATTGCGGACTTTGTAGATGTAATAGAGGGCAAGTTGGAGGGTAGAAAGGGTGGTGCGGGAGCGTCGAAGAGTCTCTTTGACAAAGATGTGAAGGGGAATGACAGGAGCTTTTGCAGAGTACTGTGCACCGGAGGGGCTGGGCCAGATGGATTCAATGATTAATGCAGCTGTGTCTGCTCGGGATAAAAAAGAAAAAAAGGAAAAAAAGAAAAACCAGATTATTAGGAAAAAAAAAAAAAAAAAAAAAAAAAAAAAAAAGCGGGATATGAAAATCCAAATTAAGAAAAAATTAAACTGGATTAAATTGAAAACACTTACCGACAAGGTTCTCTACCATGCTGACTTTGCTGGCAGTCAAGGAATCGAGGATCAAGGATTGCTTTGGAGTAGTGTTGGTCGTAGCAGTAGCAGTAGAGGTAGTGGCAGTAGCATTGGTAGCACTATTAGAGTTGTTGATTTGATGCCAAGAAGAGGAACGAAGAGGGATGGTGGGTAAAGAACAGGGAGGGGTGGAGGAGGTTGAGAAGGAATCGAGGGTCGAGGGCATAAAGGGCTGCGGAGGAAGAGGAATACTGTACAAGGCGGAAGAGGAAAGGGTGTGAGAGGTTGTAGGAATGTATTGATGGGAGAGTTGTTTTGTAGTGGCAGTAGCGGCAGCAGCAACAGCGGCAGCAGCAGCAGGACTGTTGGCTGCAACACAAAAGGATTGCTGGTTCAAAAGTGGGCAAAGCATTGTTGTACTGTGATGTATTTTAAAAGGAAAAAAAGAAAAAGAAAAAGAAAAAAAAAAAAAAAAAAAAAAAAAGGGGAAGAGAGAATGCTTTGCTAAAAGCGAAGGAAGGTCTAGAAAGCAATAAAAGGGGAGTGAGTAAAGAAGAAGAAGAAGAAAGGTAAAAGAAAAGAAAAGGAAAGGGAAGCTGATTAAAAAAAGAAAGCGAGGTGACAAGCTAAGGAGAAAGAGAAAGAGAAAGAGAAAGAGGAAGAGGAAGAAGAGAGAGGAAAGAATTAGTACAAGAGAAGTGGGATTTGAATGTAGAGCGGATTAGGCAATAAAGGAAAAGAGAGAGTAACTCTTTCTAGCTAGAAGAGACAAAATAAGAGAAAAGAGATTGGAAAAGAGAGAGAGATTTATTTGGAATGTGCACAAAAAAGAGAAAAAAGAGCATTTCCGGATCGATCGCACAATAATGAGTAACTAAATCCGGCGAATGAAACCCCGCCAGTCAAACAAGCCAAAGGGCATATCATCCAAAAGTCAAAATCCTTCCATTCACTCCATCCAGAACAAACATTGATCTCAGTTGACCGGAAGAGATAGAAACTCCCATCTTTCCCATGTCTTACTTGCATTTTGTACATCCTTTCCATCACAATTTCCAATCCCAGTCCTGCCTAAACAACATATCCCAGCCAAATCTCCACTGCACTGACTTTTCTTTGTTGTTTTCCCTTTCTTCGATTGTGTAGTAAGCAAACCATGAGTAAGCCATTCCTGACTAATGCAATCCAATCTACTCCATCACTCCATAATATCCCATATTTCCTTCCTTCTCCCACTTGGCACTCTTGGCATTACAAACGACGGCGACAATCGCATCCTTTTTTTTTTTTTTTTTTTTTTTTTTTCTTTTTCTTTTTCTTTTTTTAAAAAAAGAATCCTGGCATCTTTTGGCTTTTCCCTTCTGTTGACCTGTTATAATTCCTCAATCTCGGAAACACCAAAAAAATGACAGGTCATATGACCATGCTTTTTTTTTTTTTTTTTTTTTCCCTTCCCAGCTTGATGTGTAATTACCTGTTATAGAGGCTACAATCGCCCTCAATGACCTGACCATGCTCACCCCCTCACTTCTTCCCAAGTCAGGCAATTATGCCGAAAGAAACAGCATCCCATTTTTGTATTTGTTGTTGTTGACAATTGATCATTACCGATCGTCGCGCTCATTCATCTTTTGCTCTCTCTTTTTTTCTTTGATCTCCATCTTATCCCTTTCCCCCTTACACCGCACTGTGCTGCATACACTACTTTTTTTTTTTTTTTTTTTTTTTTTGCCTGTAATGTAGTCTGACCCAATGTTGTATTTCTGCAGTCTCTAGATTTTTTTTTGCATGATAACGACTCGTGCATTTTACCACTGAAAAATAAAAATCTAGACGCAACGCGCATCAAATGTACACTTTCTCATCTGAGATATCTTTTTTTGTTCATGCTGCGTCATCACACTTTTTTTGGACTGATAAATTTTTTTTGTACCTGTTTGCTGCAATACATTTTTTTTCATAGAACCCCAATTTTTTTTAAGATTCTTACCTTTTTTTTGTTTGTAGTAAACAGGTTTAATAACAAAAAAAGACAAGGATAGAAGGATAGAAGGATAGCCAAGAGGGTGCAAGTTCAACGAGAATCTTGTCTTATTTTTTTTTTTTTTTTTTTTTTTTTTTGGTGAAAAAAAAAAGTGTGTGTGTTTTTTTTTTTAAAAAAAAAAAAGGTCGATTAAATTCTCTTTGCACTCTTGGCGATGAAGAAGCGAATGAGCATATTGGCTGAAGAAAAGAAAAAGAAAGGAAAAAAAAAAAAAAAAAAAAAAAAAAAGTGAAAATAAGGAGAGGAGAGGTTCTTCTAGGCGAATACCAAAGAATGAAGAATGTGTTTGTGATGAGAAAGAGTGATGGAGAGTGAAGGAGATTGAAAGAGAGCGAAGAGTGGAGTCGGGGGGGGGAGTGAATTGCAGATCAAAGGCAGTTTAGATTTCTTTTTCTTGTTCGAATTGAGAAAGGAAGGGGCGGAGGTTGAGGGAAAAGTAAGAAACCGAAATGTCTTTGATGGACAGCTGAAAAGAAGAAGAAAAGAAAACGATCCCCTGTCTCGGCCTTTTTAGGTCCATCGGAGCACTATTGTTTGCAAAGGCAGGTGTATATGATGTGCGTATGCTCTCTTTTTTTCCACCCCCCCCCCTTCCTTTCCTCTGGGATGGGGGGGGCTGTTGCATGTGTGTCGTTCGCTTTTGGTCATTTATTTTTTTTTTTTTTTTCTTTTGTGCAGTAAGCAGTTAAGGCACCGCTGGCTCTCTTTCCCCCCCGCAGTCAAAAAAACTTTTCGCAAGTGATGAAAGTTTTTTTTTAAGGTTCATCCAGTAGTCCAGTAGTCAGTCGACTCATCACTCTGCAAACTCACTTTGTGTACAGCTCCAACTTCTCCAGTTACCACCCACGCACGCTCCTCTTCTGTACTGAACTTGTGTTAGTCAATGATGTGTCTGTTCTGTGTACTTGCACCTGCAACCGTGATTTCTTTTACTCATCTCTCTCTTTTTGTTTCTCTGACTGCCACCCACATTAATCAATCTTTGATGTGGCACAGCAGATGAGCAGATGCAGAGACCGAGGTCTCACCTCGCTGCGCGCCCTCAACTTTGTGTCAGAAACCGTGCCCGCCCGGGGCTGGCGAAAACTAAAATAAAAACCGTTAGAAAGATGACGATTCATTATTAATTCTGCGCTTTCCAAAGTCTGCGCCTCTTCCATGACCTTCCTAGACTAGAAAATGAGGATAAATCAGTGTAGAGGTGTTTGGTATATCCATCTCATGTCATATTTGTCTAGTATCTGTAAAATATAAAATGTAGTTTTATTGAGTATTGACTTGTAATACCACATATACCCACATGTTGATATTAATAAATTGTCTCTGGTTTGCCACCAAGTCCCTCTCTGCGCAAACCGCATGCTCATTTACTCTCTCGCGCTCTTTTTTTTTTTTTCTTTTCTCTTTTTTTTTTGTTGATGATTTTCCCCTCCAAGCTGCGCTATTGCCACTTGTGTTTGCCACCACGGCGGATTTGTTGTTTGGCGCCTGCAGATAGATGGTAAGAAAGTAACCCCTTCTTCCCTTCTTGTAAATCATAAAGAAAAGTAGCAAGATGCTATTGCATGGGCCAATGTTCTCTCTCTGCCTTTGTCTCCGTCTCCGTCTCCGTTTCCATGTCTTGTAATACTCCTAGCCTTTTTTTTTTTTTTTTTTTTTTTTGTGGGCTTTGGATTGAGCCTCGTTTTACTCATTTTGACCCTGCGGGCTGTATTAACATCTGAATAGGCCACGTTCAATTCATCTTAACATGACATGTGGCTCTCTTCTCCTTACTTTCTATGATTCTGTGCTGGCAAGAATGGAGTAAGAGTCGGAGGAAATGGAACCTCAAAGTCTTGGCTACCTGGTTTACATCCAATCGCAACAACCCGAATATTAAAAAAAAAAAAAAAAAAAAAAAGTTTATGCTTGGCACTTTTCTTTTTATGGAATTTATTCTTCATCTTGGCATATTCAAATAAAAAAGTAAAAAAAAAAAATTGCCGTGATCTATCAGAAAAATTCATGTCGGGAAAAAGAGTTATTGTGGCTATCAAGAGTAAATCGCCAAGGTTCAAAAAAAGAAAAAGACAATAGGTTATAGACTGGAGTGAAAAGACTCTTAATTTCAACTAGATGCAGTCGCCGCAAATATTTTCTCTGCTTTGTAAACCGGTTGTTCTCTCTGGCTCTCCCCGGCTCTTTATTTTTACAAATTTATCTTTCTTTTTTTGTCGCAAGGAAGAAACAATTATCCCAAGGCTATTCGAAACGGGCTTTCTCTTTTACAAAGCCTGGAAGATGTGGAAAAGTATAAAAAGCAAAAGTCGGAGCTTCATGGAATGACGACTTCTCCCATCCGCGTGATCTTCACGGGTGGGGCCTAATTTTTCAACTCGTAAGGTTTCTTCCTCCTGTTCATGCGTCATGTTTCAATTTTTTTTTTTACATGTTCCAGTGTATATTTTACGCTTGCGCTTGCGTCTAACTAGCTATTTCCTTTTTTTTTTGGGTTCTGCATTGCATTGCATTCAAGATAAACGCGTCAAGGAAAAGAAAACACACGTTACCGGAGAATCCTTTTCTGCTATTTGTTCATGTAAAATAAAATAGAGAGTACCGCAGAGTTGATTGGGTCCAGACATTCAACAAAAAAAAAAAAAAAAAAAAAAAAAAAAAAGATTCAGCCAGTAACAAAGATGATAAATGCAGGGTGGGAGCGGCTTGTGCGTTTGAGGGATATAAAGACATGAATGCGATCTTTCCTAGTCTCGTGAATGACAACGAACGACAACAAGCAAGATGGGGGAGAACCCCAAGGCCAAATAAATGTCCTTTTTCTCATCTATGCTGTACATTCTTTTGCTTACTAAAGAGCGGCTTCTAATCTCTTTTTTGCCACCGGAATCCTTACATCTCATCTAAGCCCGTTAAGAAATAGATTGGCAAGGTGGCAGATTGAGCACTATTGCACGATTTACGCGTTTCTTTACTGATATGGATGACTATTTTTATCCTAAGGTGTAAAGTGTACTTGTGGGCCTATTCCTGCTCTCGCTGCTGAGAGACATGACAGACATGGGGAAAGATCTCTAAAGCCTTTAAAAATGAACGAAAAATTGCTTGTTCACTTATTTACACGTGAATGAGCCATGTGTGTCAATGATCCCAGAGCCAGCTTTGAGCCTTATTCCGCTCACTTTTCGTCTTTGTCCCGAAATCTCATTTCGCACTGCCGCATCGTTTTTTTGTTTGTGTAGGTAAATGATGACCGATTCATGTTCATCGCCAACTTACATCGCGCATGGCTCTCGTTTCGACTTTTTAGCTTGCAAAATAAATACTAACAAAATCATTCATTGTCGGTTGTAATCCTCATACACAGCCCTACACAAGAGCGAAGGTTAAAAATAATAATAGTGACTAGGAAGCATTCAGTACCAGGATGGATGCTTCTAGACAATCGGCTCAGAGCAACAGCAGTAATAATGAACAAGTGTACGGTGCCCATCCAGCTTCTAGAACAATTGGGAAAGGCAAAGGCAAAGATCTATCCAATTCAGGAACAGAAACTGTGTCTGGAGCTGGGATCGAGGCTGGAGCTGGAGCGATATCTGAGACCGGCCTTATAGAGTCAATTGCTGCATCTGCCAAGACTGTTGCTTCGACTTTTGATCCAAGGCGGACTGATGTTTTGAGACAACACCACACCTCTGGAATAGGGTCATTTGCATCCAGTGGTACTTCTTCCATGAGTTCCTCCGGCTCAAAAGCAACAAGTTCCTCTGCTGCCTCAAGAACTTTCCAACATACAGCTAACGCACTGGAGACATTAGCAAACACAAGTAGTACATCAGCTGGTAGTAGTAGCGCTAGCAATGCCTCAGGATTTAGAACAACGGCCGGATCAGGATTATCATCTTCAACATCCCAACAAACAGGAGCTGAAGAGGCCATGATGAACTGGGATAGCTTTTTGGCGTCAGCAGATTCCGACATGATAGACAATGAGCCTTACAAGCCGCCATCTATATCTTCATTCGAAACCTCATCCCTGTCATATTCTCAACTACCAGAATCACATCAGCTACAACCGCAGCTGCATCAACAATCTTCCTTATTGTCATCGCCTGAGATGGATCAAATGTTTGAGTCTGTCTATCAAACCCATTTTTCACAGCCCATGAACCTTACCCCTTCAAACCATGCAGTATTTCTCGACTATCTAAAGTCGACTTCCAGCCCCTCGACTATCACAACCGAGACGACGCCGGCATTACATACTTCGACCCTGGAGAGAGCGTGGCCGCCATTTCAGTCATGCCAGCAACAATCATTTTACCAACAACAACAATCACTACCCTACCACCCGACCTTGAATGGCACAAGAGAATTCATTCTGTCAAATGATATCCAACATCAACAGCGTATGGATGGAAGTGATGTCTTGACATTTTTAGAGTCTACGTCCTATTCCGATTTTGTGGATCAGATCGAGTCTGAGGGGATCACTAAACATCAATATGATCGGAGACAGTTTATCTATAGTGAAGAAACTCTCGGTCCACAGACACGGTCATTATTCACTACATTACAAATGATCCAAAATCTTCCGAGTGAGCGACAGGATATTGTTCAGTACTTGTTACAACAAGGTACATATGCGGATGATATTGAGAGTCAACCCTTTGGACATGATGTCGAGAGACAAGAAGGGATATCTCTGGCAGCTACACAGCAACAACAAGATCAATTTTTGCAACGACAACAACAACAACGGAGCAGTGACGATGCAACAACAGAAGAGATGGAGCGAGTTCTGAATCAAATCTTCCAGGAAGCTAAAACAGAGGTCAAAGACGGAGAGACGGACGGCAAGGCATTGAATCGACTGATGAAGGTCCGAAGGCACATTAGGATGGGCACCAAACTGTAGACTTTTTTTTTTTTTTTTTTTTTTTTTTTGACTGGAATGCAATAAAAAATAAAAAAAAAATCCGATTCTTTGGTGGCTGAACTGATCCCTGAACATGCAATGCATGTCGGTCTGTGCTTTTATTTCCTGTAAAAAAAAAAGTGCTATTTGATGTCTTGATGTCCTTTGTATGCAATTGCGTAGTTACATTGTGTAGCAACTTTCCTTGCTCCGTAGCCTGGAAGGAAGTAAGAATTGATAGCAGGGTAAAAATGCCTGACAACTGACCTTGTCCAAACCAGACAAGTTCATTTCACTTCTGAGGAGGCTGTTCTCTCTGTTCAAATGAGAAGCAACGATAGCATGGATTATTTGGGAAAGCATGTTCCGGAAGAACTTGAATTATCATTTCCATCTCATGTATTTATGATGATGTACTGCTGTACATGGATGGGCACATGAATAGAGAAATATTAAACACATATTGACCCTCACCTTTTGTTACATGGGGATGTTCAAGTAGCATGGAGCTTTGTTCTACACTCTAGTATGTGTGTGTGAGAGAAAGAGGCGATTCAATCCAAAAGGTATCAGACTCTTTTTTTCTAGCTCTTTCTTCTCTTTTATTTTTTCCTTACCCCAAAATCACCATTCAACACTCACGTTTCTGTCACTTTCTCTTTGTTTCGCATTCTTTTACACATTTATTTCCATACGTTTTAGCTTGTCTTGTCCCTTCCCTCTAAAAAAAAAAAAAAAACAAACTTTGAATTTGACATGGAACGTTACCAAGCACTTGAAAAGATCGGCGAGGGTACATACGCAACTGTGTACAAGGGCAAGAACCGGTCTAATGGCGACGCAGTGGCTCTGAAAGAGATTCGCTTGGATTCAGAAGAAGGTGCACCATCAACAGCGATTCGTGAGATTTCATTGATGAAGGAACTACGCCATCCTAATATTGTGCGATTGCATGATGTCATCCATACTGAAAACAAGCTCACCCTTGTCTTTGAATACATGGACCAGGATTTGAAGAAATATATGGACCAGCATGGAAACCGTGGCGCTCTTGGACATATTGTGATTAAAGCATTCATGTATCAGCTACTCAAGGGTGTGGCCTTCTGTCATGAGAACAGAGTTCTTCATAGGGACTTGAAGCCTCAGAACCTGTTGATCAATCGTAAAGGTGAACTCAAGTTGGGTGACTTTGGTTTAGCAAGAGCTTTCGGCATTCCTGTCAACACGTTTTCTAACGAAGTGGTCACCCTTTGGTATCGGTATGTGTAGACGAAAAAAATTCTTGTTTGTTGGGTTGTTATTATTCTATTTAATTTTACATGTGTAGTTTCAACAGCCCCCCCTCTTCCTACAGCCTCTGTGCTTCTGATCACATAAAAAATACTGCCTCAGTATTATTTCAAAGCAGATTCTTTTTTTTTTTGGGGAGGGAGAGGCGAAGGAAGGTCAGACAAACATGCATCCAAGAAGAACACACATCTTTGATATACGCAAAAAAGGACTGGGATGAATGGGTACTTTGCTATTTTTGCTTTGAAAGCAAAAAGACAATGGAATCCAAATCTCATGTTGTTGATGCGATACAACTGGCCATATGACAAGACTCAAAAAAATAAGAGGAAAAAAAAATTGAGGCGGATCACTAATATAAAAATAACAACGACAGAACCAAACTGATTTGACAATAACAACAGGACTCACAAACAACATTGTAAGAATATCTGAAAAAGAGAGCGAGACGGAATTCACCCCTCTGGATCCAAATAGATTGAATAATGATCGAGCCCCAAAATGTGCGCCAAAGCGAAAAAAAGAAAAAAAGAAAAAAAGAAAAAAAAAAAAAAAAAAAAAAAAAAAAAAAAGAGATGAAATGGTCTTTTCCATATATCACATTCTTCTATTTTGTTACTAGAATGCTGCGGAGGAGTTCAGGGTGTGTACACAGCATGAAGCGCACTGAAGCACATTACTAGCCTTTTTTTTTTTCTTCTTTTTTTTAAAGGAGAAAACACTGTTTTTTAACTCATAATGGTTTGCCTGTAACATTGCTAGTGCGCCCGATGTTCTTCTCGGCTCCAAGACATACTCGACATCAATCGACATTTGGTCAGCGGGGTGCATCATGGCGGAAATGTATCTGGGTCGTCCATTGTTTGCAGGATCCAATAACCTTGACGAATTGATGAAGATCTTCAAGGTGATGGGTACACCGACAGAAGAGACTTGGCCTGGAGTTTCAAAGTTGTCAGAGTATAAGAAGGACTTCCCTTACTATCCACCCAAACCTCTTTCGTCTGTAGTACCTATGATTGACACATTCGGCATGGATCTGCTAATGCAAATGCTGATCTACCAGCCTCAACGGAGAATCACAGCCAAGGATGCACTGAACCACGTATACTTTAATGATATCCGAGGATACGCTAATATTCAGCAGCAACAGCAACAGCAAGCGCAAGCAGCGCAGCAGCAGGCAGCACAGATGAATGGACAGATGATGCCGCAACAAGGTCAGCAGGGCCAAGCACCTATCTCTTCAAGTGCTCAGCAACAGCATGTGTACCAACAACAGCCTGGTATTCCACAGCAGCCTCCTTTGCCATACCAAGCTGTGCAGATGCAGCAGCAGCAAATTCTCCAGCAACAACAGCAACAACAACAGCAGCAGATGCAGCAGCAGCAGCAGCAACAACAGGCATATTCTCAACAACAGCAGCTGCATTCCATGCCTCAGCATCACTAGTCCAAATATGAGGCAACAAACAAGATCTCCCTTTTTTTTTTTTTATCCTAGCTGTTTACTCTAACAGATCATTCAATGTGCTCAATGCTGTTCATTGGGCCAAGGATGTTAGTCTTGTCTAAATATGGCATCAGATAGCTTGATAAATTTAAGAAACCAACAATAAATATAAACATAATCACAACAAAAGATATTTTTTTATATTTAATGCTGTATAACACTCAAAAAAAAAAAAAAAAAAAACTTTAAGCGGTAACAAGCTTCAAGTGGAAAGACTTGAGTCGAGTGATTTGATCATATCCAAACTTGGATAAGGTGCAACCACGACCCGAATCCTTAACACCCACCCAAGCCAAGGCCGGGTCCAGATAATCACATCGGTTCATGAACCAAGTACCGGTCTCGATTTGGTCGCCAATCCTCAATGCGGCATCAGCATCCTTTGTCCAGATAGAGGCTGACAATCCAAAGTCGGAATCATTCATCAGCTGAATGGCTTCTTCATCCGATGCAACCTTCATGATGCCGATGACGGGCCCAAAGGACTCTTCAGTCATGATTCGCATCTCATGAGTCACCTCTGTCAGCACCTGCGGAGCCATGTAAGGTGTACCAAACTTGTCGTCCGGAAACAACGAGACATCAATATGAGTCTTTGCTCCTTGAGAGACCGCCTCTGCAATCTGTCCGCGTACAAAGTCTGCCGCCTTGGCTTTCACCATAGGACCTAGAGTAGTCTCAGGATCCAGAGGATTTCCGAGGCGATAGTTCTATTGGATCAATTTTTTAAGGATAATGAATTTAAGAAAACACATCATTGCGCAGATGGATATACAAGTCAGCAATGTTTTTTTTTTACCTTAGTCTCCTTGACAAATAGATCCACGAATTGATCATAGATGTCAGCATGGACATAAATACGCTCAATAGCGCAGCAGCATTGACCACTGTTGAAGAATGAGCCGTCAACAAGGTTTTCGACCGTATACTTGAGATCGCAGTCAGAACGAACATATGCGGGATCTTTTCCTCCAAGTTCTAATCCCGTCGCTATTAGTTTTTTTTTTTTTTTTTTTTTTTTTTTTTTTTTTTTAAAGAGAAAGGGGGCGAGTATAAATGTGAGGGTTCGTGCTATTCGTACATGTAAAAGATTTTTTTTTTTTTTTTTTTTTTTACCAATGAATTTCTTGCTCGCAGCTTTCTGGATTTGGTGGCCACCATCGACAGATCCGGTAAAGTTGACATAATTGATCAAAGGATTGGCGACCAGGCTCTCAGTATCCGCATGAGACATATGAAGACACTACAAGGATAAAGCGCGCACCAATCATTAGAATGGGGATATACATGAGTGAGAGGGAAAAGAATATTTGTTAGTTGTTTACGGATGGAGTGTAGTGGAATGAAGTGGAATGTGAGCGAGTGTCTTTGTCACAATTGATCCATGTCGATTGTTTCAGCCTTGCTTGTAAGTCGGTTGAAATTTTATCAATATTTCACTCCTCTAGCTTTTTTTTTTTTTTTTTTTTTTTTTTAGTCAATGCCTTGATCCTACTCCCGCAAACGCACCCACCCACGTACCCACGCATCCTCTTTCTCATGCACCGTATTCGTATTTTTATTTTCCCAGTCTCGAAGGGCTGAATCATGTGTTCACATCCATGATTTCTAAGAATCTTGCCGAAAAAAAGACAAATTTGGCACAAACCTGGAAGACATCTGCAGGCAGACCAGCCTCATTCCAGGCTTGTGCAAAGCGCTCGCCACAGAGAGGAGTCTGAGATGAGTGCTTTAAGATCACCGAGTTACCAGCAATGACCGAAGGGAGGACACCGTTCAGAGATGACAGGTATGGATAATTCCAAGCTTATTTTTTAAATGCGTATTTGAGAGAGAAGGAATTTAACATGAAAATTAGCCTTGATTGAATAACGAACGTAATAAAGCGTCATTCACCATCAATTTCCACCGTCATCTATGAACGGAGGGACGAGGAAAGAAAAAGAAAAAAAGCTTACGAGCAATAATTAAGACGACACCGACAGGTTCCTTTCGGATGAATCTCTTGAATTTACCCTCCAATCCTTCTTCATGGATTTCAACATCCTTGAGCGATTCCTCTGCTACATCCACCATGTACTTGCCACGATCTTGTGTTCCTTTAATCTCTCCGGGTGTAAATCGAATAGGACGACCCATCTGCATTGTCAGCTCCTTTGCCAACTCATCCTTACGTGTCCCAAATATCTCAAGGAACTTGCGAGCAATCGCCACACGTTCTTTCAAAGGCACCTTTTTCCATGATTTTTGTGCTGCTGCTGCACGTTCCACCGCAGCTTGCACTTGCTCTGCAGATGAAATCTGAACGGTTTTGTAAACTGATGAGTCCACAGGTGTGACAATCGAGAGCGTCGAAGACATTGTAATAAATGCTTTAAAAAAAAAAAAAAAAAAAAAAAGATAGATGAGACAAAGAGTGGAAGGGTAAGAAAGAAAGAATAAAATGAAAAAAGGGTGGGAAAAAAAAAAAAAAGATCTGACCCCTTTTTATAGCGGACTCGTAGCATTTAATCAAAGACCATGAATAAAGACAAACAGCTCATACATCATTTCAGAAGACACATCACTGATGTTATTTATTTTTATTAAACATTATTATTCTAGATTACTATAGTCCATCGAGGAATATTTCTCGAAAGCTAGACTCTCAACCTCATTCATTTGTCTTCTAAACTTTTTAACTTTTGATAAGAATGCCTTACCTGTTGATGATAAAAATACGTAATCTACTGATAGTAAGCTGGAGACAAATAGCTCCTTCCAGTTGGATTGTTGAACTGTCTAGGCAAACATACAGAGTTGGCAATATGCTGCCGACTCCATGCAATCTTCGTGAAAACCATTGAATTGGCTTTGGGTGGCGCCGGCTTCCTTTTTCAAGCTAGCATGAGCTTAAACCAGAATCCCTTCCTCCTGTAGTCGGATACTGCATCATAAATCATTCTGGTACATCGTCTCCACTCCACCTTCTTCTGCCCTCTACTACTCCTGAATCTCCATGGGCTTGCGCTCTCCTGCTCTATCGCCTTGGAATCAATTGTTTTCTGCTTCATCTCCGCCACTAGAAAGATGGTGCTTTGACTCTAAGAGGTTGGCATATCAAC